TTGACCCTGGCCTGTTAGATCGAGCAATGTTAACTGGCCGATTCTCACAGTCTACGTCATCATTTTTGTCGATCTAACAGGACCTAACAGAGTTAACAGGGTTAACACAAAGATCGTGGATACCCTTATGGTATGAGGGGGTTTGCTTCGAAGAGGGCTTTTGATTTCTTTAACCTTTATAAGCTAGCGTTTACCCCATTCGGCTATTTGCAGGACATATGCCTGGAGCTCCTCCGAAGCAACTGTAGGATCGGAATCAGAAGATAGCACAGCGTATCTTCGGTAAAGGTGCAAGGATGGTGAAGGTGAAGTTGTGATATCTGCGTAGAATCAAATTAATGCTGAATGTTGTACAAATAGTTTTTGCGTTATCTTGAGATAGATTCATTACAACCTGTTGCTGCCAAATTAAAAATATATTTAAAGCGATGTCTAAAGGACAATCTAAAGATTTTACACGATCAATCGTTTAAATAAAACTTAATGAAAGAAAGCAAATTACGTTCAATGACGAATAAAACAAAACATTTAACTTACACAAAAAACAGTTTAAAATAGAAGTTAAACGTTGTGTTGTAAATGTTTGCAGAGCACATACGTTTTACATGTTAAAACTTGCATAACGATTACAATTTTAGAACATTCAAGGTCTTTGTTAAAAATCTTAAGATAGAGATAATCAAAGCACAGATCATATTAAGATTATATTGATTATATTGGTATTGTAAGGTAGTTAATATTACCAAGGTCCGTGGCTGAATATTTGTATAATTAAGATTTGATTAAAGGTTTTGTGTGTTTGTCTTGATCAGTTATTTTGTTCGTAAGTTCGTTTTCGTTTGATGTTATCCTACGTTTTCAACAGTACAAGTGATGCGTACGAGAATCGCAATTTATATTTGTGTTGATTAACCTGTTGGATTCGTACTTTCCCTTGGTTTTCAAGTCTGTTACTCAGCCTTTGAAAACTTCATCGTTTTAGATTATCGCCATGTTGGGCTGGTACCTAAATATTTTTCGGGAAATATTTTAACTGTGGTGTTTGGATAACGGGGTATGAGCCAATTTTTTTGTGCACATGAGATTGTGCCATTTTAGCTTATTTTTTTGTGGTCTTAACGAATGAGAAAAATTAGGGTTATATATCCGATAGCCAAGCAATAAACGTATTTACAGCAAGGCATTGAACTTTCGTATGGTGTTTGTCAAAAATTGACAAAAAAAAATTGGCATTTACCCTTTGTCCAATTACTATAGATTAAGTCGAAAAATTCCTTTGAACGATCTAGTTCCTTGTATGACCTGGTACGAATGAATGAGTCAAAAGCCGAGGATTTAGAGAACCATTCTTCACGGTTGCTAAGGGAGAGAGATAGACAGAGTCAGTATTAAAATCATGGGTAGTGAATTGAGCTTTTGAACCAGAACAAATTAGCATTTATTATTTCAGCTGCCGTAATTTTGAAATGTCGGTAGTTAGACAAAGAGAGGGTCATGCTTAAACATGAAAGGAGTTCGCTGTTAACCCCAAACCTGGGAAGCACAACATACTATCAAGTCACACATATTTTAAAATCTTGAACTTAATATTGGTGGAAGAGAAGCGTTTGAAAGAAGGTTAGATCATCTTATTGTCTATTCAAATGTGTAACATGGAAAAATACGACAATACTACAGACATCGACAACATACTCTCAGACCTAAACTGAAGACATAACACCACATTCTGTTGAAACTGAACAAATATATATATATATATATATATATATATATATATATATAAACTTCTTATCGGTACACTTGTGTTAAATTGATAGAGACATGATCTCGTGGGTTTTGATGCAATCAGATCATGTCATCTTGAGTGAGGAGGTGGCGTAAGCCGAAACGCGTTTGTCTGACATCTAAACATGTGTAACAGTTAAATGTTAGTGATTTCCGATCATTTTTCGGTGTCTTTCTATAAGTTTGTACGGATTAAAGAGGTAGGGTTTCAGCACAATTGTATATCAATCAGACGGCCTTTATGCTGCAGAAGGGCAAATCCGTCCAACAGAGATTATACAAAAAACGTTAAACGATAGTAATGAATGGCTTAAGCAACATGGTTTTCAAATTTCAATACATAAAACAAACGCAGTCCTTTTCTGTAAAAAAACAAACCGCTAAATACTCCTCAATTATTGATTGATAATCGACTAATTAAATTCACTGACTCGACAACCTATCTTGGCGTAACTATAGATAGAGCCTTGAATTGGACTAAGGACATAAAAAAAAACATAAGCAAAGTGTTATGCTTCACTAAATTTACTAAAAACGCTTAATTCCACTAAGTGGGATGCGGATAGGACTTGTATGCTGAAACTTTATAAAGTCCTAATAAGATCAAAGATAGAATATGGATGTAATTCCTACGCATCAGTCAGCACTAGGACTTTACAGCTACTAGCGTTCACAATTTGGGATGTGCTTTCCTTTCGAGTCCAATAGTAAGCTTACTCGTTGAAGCTGGCGAGACTGATTTGTAACGTCGAAGATGCATTTTAGACCACAAACTCTACGTTAAAATTTTGTCGTCACAGTCCCACCGTTTGCTCGAATTGTTCCGGAACACACAACCCATTCCTTACAATGAAGCAATTAATAACTATAAAATTAAGCATTATGCAATCCGTGCCTCTATTAGTTTACATAATCCGGGCATCACTCTACTCCCTATTTTAAAATATAGCATAAATCAGATACCACCCTGGGTATTTCCGACTCCCAAAATATGCCTATCACTCACAAAAATATTAAAAGTAACACCTCACAGTATGTATACGCCAAAGAATTCTTATTATGGGTCCATATCCCCTTCAGGAACAGGAGCCAGTGTAGTTTGTGACAGTAGGAAATACATGTTCTCGCTCCCTAATTTATGTAGAAGTTATACTGCGGAGATGATTGCCATAAGCAAATGTCTAAACATAATACTACCATCATACGACAAAATAGCCATATGCACCGATTTACATTCAGCACTTTTATCAATAAAAAATAAATTTACTGATGAACCTATGATTCTAGACATACTTTTTTCTCTCAGACATCTACACTCAATAGGAACTGAAGTGTTCTTTATATGGATACCTAGCCATTGTCAAATAACGGGAAAATAACAACAGCGCCACATGAAGACGTAGTAAGCGTTTTTAAAACAAAAATTTCGTTATCCTGGCAACAAATGTGGGACAATATAACAGACAGCAAGCTAAACGAAATAAAAAGTAATGTTAGTCCTTGGAAATCATCAATTAGACAATCTAGATTGGAAGAAACGGTGTTAACAAGGCTTAGAATTGGCCATACCCGTCTTACTCCTGGTTATTTGATGTCACGAGACCAACCACCTAAGTGCCAAAACTGTGAAGAAATCCTAACTGTAAAACACTTACTAATAGACCGCCCTAGCTATAATAACAGGAAAAGAATCTTAAATATATCAAATTCAATAAATCAAATATTAGTAAATCAAAAAGAGAACATTGACAACCTGTTTATAGTTTTACGAGTTAATTGCCTAACTAGTAAAATTTAATTTTCATTGTGAATATTATCTATCAAGGCGGACATGGTCCTAGTGGTTAAAAAAATTTATCGCAGATTCCTTCAGCAGTAACACATGTTATGGTTGAATTGTTCAATATTCAAAATTCAACAGCACCTTGGAAGTTAAATAACGGTAGTAACGGAAGTAAAATAGTAGTAACCACTGCTTAAAGTATGTAGTTAATATTGAGTGATATTGCTTGTTTCTGTTCAACAAGCTTTTATACTGAATATTATAAACTTGAACCTGTTATGTACTAATATGTATTGACATTTTTATATTGACTTTTATAATTTTTTTGTTATTTCGCAAATAAAAATATATTTTGTTTTATCATCAAATCCCACTGTGGGATAATCAATTACTTTAAAAGATAGTTCTTACGTAAGAACGTTTTAAGTAGTTGAACAACATACTCACCCCAACTTTATCATTTCTATTAAGTGGAATAATCATTCTGATTTTATCTCTGCAAGGTAATATTGACGTCAGTGAGTCAGCTGTAGTTGTCAAAATATACGGGCTTGGGTACAAAATGTTGGCGTTTTGTCATTTAACATAGAACCATCCCTAACCACCCCCTTTTACGAGTGACAAAAAAAACAGGGGGAAAGAGCACTAATGAAAATAAGGGGTTGATTTTAGTAATACTACCGTCAGTGGTGATTTAATACTAGTTGGCTTTGATGATTTAATTGCACGCCGATTTTTAAAAACATTCGTTTCCGCGGGGAAGAACGATTACACTCTCTCTCTCTCTCTCTCTCTCTCTCTCTCTCTCTCTCTCTCTCTCTCCTCTCTCTCTCTCACACACACACACACACACACTTACTCACTCACTCATTCCTCATTCACCTCACTCACTTCCTACTGTGCGTTATCAAACCCGGTCCAGATCGAGATTAGCCTCAGACTAAAAGGAAACTGCAGCCATATAGCCGGTTAACGGCATACCTGCTTCCATTAAATCATCCGAATTATGACAGTCACTTCCATCCCCGGGCTTATTAAAAGCACACCCTTGTTTCATGTCGTTTTTTGACGACACTCTTTGCATTGGTAGCACAAAATGTTTGTCAGATTTTACATTAAAAATGCTTTAGGGAATCAAATGAAAACAAGCAAACGAATGGATTAAAATGACAGTAACATGTTATCTGGACCAATAGTCCATGTTTTGATAGAAAACAGTGTTGTATAGTGGACATCATAATTTTAACAAAGGTCTGTTCAATTTTGCGAACGTTATTTATTTAATACATAAATCGGTATACTTTGCTTACTCGTAATTTAATTTGAAAATTAATCTGAAAAGTGAAAAGTTAAAGGAGCGTTCTCCGTGGCCATATTTTATTTTTATTTTTGCCTGCTGTTTCCCTTTTTTGGTCTTCAATAATTCGAAAAAGGTCAGCCAGCATCAGTCCTTCCTTTTTTATTCCAGATGCTTGGTCCAACATATGTATCCGTATATGTTAGTATCTCCATATGTATGGCATCCATATATTGGTTATATGTATANAGAAAATTTTTTTAAAAAGTTTTTTTGCTTTATTTTTATTTCTTTGTTTATGTTTGTCACATCATTATTCGAAGATCGTCGTTTATGTTTGTCACATCATTCTATTGTAATAGCATTTGTATTTTCACATAATTATAGTTTTAATTATACCAATTTTGTTTATTCGTCAGTTTTGTAATGTGTTAAGCATAACTTTACATTTATAATGAGGGATTTGTATTTTTTTATGTAAGGCATTATGTGTTCAATGTTATTGTCAATATACTATTTACATAAAACTATAAAACGTCATTTTTATAGTTTCTAAAAAATAAATTTCTTTGCGGTAATACGATTAATTGCCAAATATTTATACCAGCCTTTCGTTTCATCAGTATCCAATATTTCGATTGTCATTCATATTGATCTGTTTATCCTCGCTGGTTTGATCTATCAGAAACGTTTCTGCCATCTTCAGTGTGTTTGTCCTAACGAATTGTCCAGTGGAGACGCTGACTGCTCGCCGTTGGTGCATCACTGCAAGTTGACTGGATTATTTAACTTACTTTTGCCATATTTTTTCTCTCTTTCCTGTGAAATATTGTTTTCGTCTAAACATTAATTTACACAACGGCATTTGATACATTAATCAGAAGCAAATCGTTTTCCAATATTTTCCCATGAAAAAGTTCTTGCCGTTTTTCATCATCCAGCGTGATACAGTTTGCACTAACATAATATGTGAACATCAAAAATTTATCTATTGTTATATGTAATTGAACTACAAACCCTCCGGTTTATCTAACTCTTTCTATGTACAAGTTCCCAGTTGGGAAAATACTGATGATCGAGATGATTTGGGTCATTTGATCGACTATATGCAGGGTGTCCTTTTTATATGGCCCGGCTGAATTTCTCTTGTTATAATGATCCTATCAAAAAAAAAAATACGTGTCTAATTTTTTTTAATGATTATTTGGAGATCGTGAGATGCGGTCTGGTGTAACGTAGGCTTTAGAAAAACATTTTATTTATCATGTCAACGTTTCGTTCTGTATTGAGAACATCTTCAGAGCTCAAAGTGTTTGTTTTCTGTGTAAATGTGTCATTCTTGTGTGTCGAAAAACGAAATAATTTGTACTGCACGTTATTAAATCCATGGCCAAGCAAATAAACCATAATGCACCAAATGGTAAAAGATAAATATCATTCCATCACCCACCTCTTCATTGACATTTATCCCGAATCAATAGAAGTTTATATGATTACCACTACTAAATGATTGTTTCAGCTTTAATATTCTTTGTAATGTGTACTTAGTGGCCGTTAATTAATGATTATTTAAAGATAGTGAGATGCGGTCTGGTGTGATGAAGGTTAGAAAAAAAATTTTTGTTGTGCCACGTTTCGAACTTCATTGACATCATCTTCAAGGCCTGGGATTTATAAACATTGTTTAAATTATACAATATGCATTAATATGAATTTGTACAATGATATACTCAATATAGAAATTTTAAGTTTAATAAATTCATTACCTATTTTCCATTGTCGGTCATTTTCACCTCAAAGAAGCCAACTTCTCATATAAAAACCAATTTCTATCCCTACTTCCTTCCACACTCCTTCAACATATATATATATTTATTCAGATATCGTGAGATGCGGTCGGGTGTGATGTAGGTTTCAGAAAAACATTTTCTTTATCGTGCCAACGTTTCGATTTTTTATTGAGATCATCTTCAGGGCTCAAAGTGTTTGTCTTCTGTGTAATTGTGCCATCCTAGTGTGTCGTGTTGAGAGTGCCCTCTCAAAATCTCACTAACACACTCAACACGACAAACAAGAATGACACATCTACACAGAATACAAACACTTTGAGCCCTGAAGATGATCTCAATAAAGATCGAAACGCTGGCACGATAAAGAAAGTGTTTTTCTAAAACCTACGTCACACCAGACCGCATCTCACGCTCTCCAAATAATCATTAACTAATGGTCACTAAACACAATTTTTTTTTTAAATCTAGTTTCAAATTTTTACCTTTTTTGGAGACAAATTATACTAGATACCTCAGGCTCAGTTCAACTTCAAAATTTCAAATACAACCATTTTACTATCATTTTAAAGGATTTTCTGGAGGAAATTTCCAGATCGTCCCAGAGTAAATTATGATGGTACTTGATGATGACGAGAATACTCTCCTCATATTGCGAGCAACACGAATAAGCGTTTTGTGGTTTTTCTCTGGGATGATCAGGAAATTTCCAGGAGTACAATTCGACTGCACGAAAAATGTGCTCTTCGGTTCATCTTGAATGGAATACTGAATATAACGAAAAAAAAAAAAAATATAAAATTTATTTACTTCCAGGAATGAAGATTTGCTCTCTTAATGCGAATTTGACAAACGATGACAGAATGTAAACAATAAAGGCAATTAATGTGTACTTTAGTGAAAAAGCAAATTATTGGAATTAACATTTATTTAGAAATCGTGAGATGCGGTCTGGTGTAATCTAGGTTTCAGAAAAACATTTTCTTTATGCCAACGTTTCGATCTTTATTGAGATCATCTTCAGGGCTTGGGATTTACAAACATTGTTTACATATAACAATTACATTTTGGGTGTGGAAAAGTGAATTTATACAATACAAAATATATTTTTTATATATTCAATCAAATTGAAATTAACAACGAAACAAACGAAATGCTTTTTTTTCAAACGTTTTGCCATAAATTTGTCATTTTTGACCAAATTAAAACCCGACTGCACCTTTGTTTTCAGCATAAAAAATCTTTAAAATGATGTGTCAAGATGGGTCGTATTTGAAATTATGGTGTTGAATTGGGCCTGAAATGCCTTTTTGTTATAGCGTCATTGGTTCAAGAGAAATTCAGCCGTGCCATCTAAAAAGACATCCTATATACTATTTGGCTAGTTTTAACACCTTTTAAACTATACAATGTTTTAAACCTTCTGATTAGAAAGTAGAATTGAGTCTAGCCTCGATAATGACATGACGGATATTAAAGCCCTCCGTTCAATTTGGGAACAATTAAATTCAATTTAACTTTGGTAAGTATCGCTTGGGATCATGCTTTGATGCCACAGTTAAAGTCAATGACGTCCAGCGATGCAAAGCCTTTGAACAAACTCATGATACTTCCTTTATCAACAAGCTTAACGTGACCGCTACTTGTAGCAATATAAGAAAACATTATTATTCAAACAAAGGTAATATTCTTATTAAATTTACTTAGACGTTACTGTTTGATGCCCCAAATAAAAATTCTTGAACAACTGCTAAATAAATTGAAATGGACGATTGAACATTCACTCGAGGATAAAATTTTTACAGGCTACGTACGTACATACGCGTACAGGTTGGGAATAAACTATTTTCTCTTTCTAAAATTTCAAAATGAATTTTCGATCGAAACTTTTCTTAATTTCAATCCTGAGTGCAGTACTTTTATCTACACTGAGAGGCAAAAAAAGTGGCCACCGTTAATATTTTTAATTACCTCTTAGACGATCCTCTATTGATTATCTTACAACAATATTTGTCCGTTTTAAGGGAATAGAGGAAAATAAAACAGACAAAATCTCCCACTTGTATTTACAATTGTATTTTGTAAATAAATCTTTGAATAGTCAATCTCTTCTTTGTTGGTCTTTCTGTAAAACTTCTTTCTAACGTTCCGGTAGTTCGCTTTTTTTTAAGAAGTACCATTTTTAAGTTTCCAATCGGTTTGATTAATGGTATTAAGTGGTACAGATTTGGCTAGTGTGATAGCATTGTTGGAAGATGGAAGGAGTCAAACTTACGTGGCCAGGGTGCATAATATTTCCCAGAACAACTGTCCGAAGTGTCTTCCATCGCTACCGATAATGGAGGTTATTCAAGAAAGCATGGATCAGGTCACAATCGTGTCACATCTCAGAGGGATGCTCGTTTTAATGTTTCGAATGTATTCCGTAATCGACATTCTACCGCTGTTGAGCTAAAGTAATTACTTCAACAAGTTAGAAATATTAAGGTCAGTTTACGCACTGTAAGGCGAAGACTTTCATAAGCTGGATTACATGCGAGAAGACCTGCCACTGGTCCAGAACTTTTGACAAGGCATAGAACAGATCGGTTAAGTTTCGCAAGAAATTAGTCTGAGACATCAATTAGTCTGAGCAAGGTTGGACTAAAATCTTGTTTTTTGTTTTTTTTTTATGAATCAAGGTTATGTTTGAAGTCTCCTGACGGCCGAGAGATTATGGAGGTGGTGGTATTATGGTTTGGGCAGGCACTTCTACGGAAGGTCCCACAAACTTGATCTTCATCCGGTTTTATTTGTATACATCACAATGCACGGCCACACACACGAGGATCGGTGGTGACGAACTGGAATGGGCTTAAATTCAATATTTAGGGTAGCCAGCATGTACTCCTGATTTAAGCCCCTTGGAACACTTTTGGGACGAGTTCCCAAAGAGGACAAAAAGTATGCCAAAAAATTTACAGGATTCAAGACCGTCGCTGTTGGAGAAGTATAAAAATATTTTACTACACTACATTCAAAACCTCATAAAATTGATACCACGTCGAATGCAAGCGGTGATCAACGCAAGCGGAGGAAATACTCCTTACAGTATTTCGTTTATTATTTCCATAGCAAGACTTTTGGCAAAATTGTTTTACTCAGTTTAATTTTTTATTTAGCTATCTTATATTTTCTTCTAAATATCCAGTAAACAATAAAAAATAAAATTTATAACGGTTGCAATTATTTACTAAAAAAGGAGGCTGGCCTATATATATCGTTAAAACTGTAACCAACACTCTCTTTTCTTCATCCTAGTGCTTTCCTCTCTTTACCTCAGTCCCTCGTCAATTGTGGATAAAATAACAAATAACAAACAAAAATACACAGAGACACCAAAAACTAAACATTCTGGTTAGCATTCATACTACCCCAAAGTACTCGATATTCCTCGATATCCTAATTGGGGTAATTGGGGATAACCCCTCCATTCACGCTAGTAAATTACATTCACACACCATACTTCGTTCACACAACTCGAGAGTAGTCGATATTCCTCGGAGTAATTGCGGATAAGCCCCTTCATTCACGCTAATAAATTACATTCCCACATTCATTCAAATTACCCCAGATTACTCGGATTTTTTTTTACGAGGGTTCGCAACAGCAGAGATCATATCAACCCTCAGAGTGACGGTGTTTTTGAAAAAAAGCCCATTTGTAAGTATGTCGGGTTCGAATGCAGGGCTCTGGATTCGAACCCAGGAGCTTTACCTAAACCGTTGCGGCGACCGACTTTTTTTTTTTAACGAGGGTTCGCAACAGCAGAGGTTATATCAACCCTCGGAGTGCAGGTGTTTTTTGAAAAAAAGCCCATTTGTAAGTATGTCCCCGGGACCTTTACCTTACAGTGATGAGCGCCGTGTCAACGTCTAAACCGTTGCGCCCACCGACGCCCCCCTTTACTCGATATTCCTCAGAGTAATTGTGGATAAGCCCCTTTTTGTTCGCACTCATAAATTACATTCCCACATTCATTCACATTACATCACATTCCTCTATATTCCTCGGAGTAATTGTGGATAAGCCCCTTTTTGTTCGCACTCATAAATTACATTCTCACAGTCATTCACCTTATAACAGATTGATTACACGATATTCCTCGCGGCAATTGGGGATAAGCCCTCCATTCACGATAATAAGCTACTATGTGTTTTTCATCAAAACTTTCTCTTAAAATGGAACCCTGGACAATTTGTTTAAAATCGTTTTTGTGTTTGAATTGATTTAGTTTAAATCTAGTCTAAATTTTCGATTGTCTTTGGATTTTTCCGAACAAAGGTCTACCCATTCATAATCGTTCCTATTTTTTTAGTTGTTTCGAAAACGATTTTAATGTGTAGAGATTAGTGACCGTTAATCGATAGTTATTCAGATATCGTGAGATGCGGTCGGGTGTGATGTAGGTTTCAGAAAAACATTTTCTTTATCGTGCCAACGTTTCGATCTTTTATTGAGCCCTGAAGATGATCTCAATAAAAGATCGAAACGTTGGCACGATAAAGAAAATGTTTTTCTGAAACCTACATCACACCCGACCGCATCTCACGATATCTGAATAACTAACGATTTTGATGTTTTCCTTTTTGAACGTTCAAACTCACTTTTGTTGCTATTTTGCAGTACGTCAGCAGTTTAAAAAATTAAAGCTCTATTATTAGACACTCGTATCGAGTAATCAGATCCAATTAATGCTGGGACTTCACGAAGCAGTTCAACTTTTCACCGAGTTCTGTTATTACCCTTGTTGACATTTGCAAATGGTAAACAATGTATAAATAATTTCATCAATTATTTTGATTAAGTGGAAACAAATAATACAGTGGAGCTTTTTAACATACCTTACTCGTTTTCATTTTCTTCTCATAAAATTTCTTCCTTCTAATACCGTCAACAAGGAGAGGCTATGGACGTGGGGACACCATTTCCATTGAAACTTTATTTTAATGATACGTTTCATTAAAATCTGTGTTCCCTCTTCCGTAGCCTCCTCTAGTGAGCATAAATACGTAATATATGTACTAGACTATTCACACAAGTATCTATTATTATAACGAAGCTAATTGTACATTTATATACAATTTGCAATATCACGTAGGATTAGCCTTTAATAAATCAAACCTGATCCTTCTTCATGATCAACACTAGAAATGAGCTTCTAGCGGCAGATATTTGTTTGATATATACTTATTTATTGTCACTGCATAAATAATAACAATCATAATGATTAACTTCAGAATAACTCACGGCACTTTTTTCTGATGAATATTTTGAAATATTTTTCAGTAAAGTAAAGCTTAATTAGGAAATACATTAAGTGTATACTCTACGACTAAAATCTTCCTTCTTCCTAACCCAATTGCGCATTCCTTCTATTGTAAAATTAGTTTTCAAGAGAAACGTTTTGCATAAATTACATAAAATCACATAATTTATCAAATATTCGCGGAAAATATCGTTATTCTAAACAGCGACTTTAATTCTAAACAAGCTATACATGTGACAGATGAAAAACGTGACTTGAACGAATTTATGTAAATCAAGCCGGATTAAAAATGTACCAACGGGATACCTAAGGATCGTGGTCACAATCAACTCTCGAAAATATTATTTCACGCGTAGCCTTTCAGTATCCAACGCGGCAAAAATATCCTGTATTATTTCTTTAGGTATTATCAGAAAAGATTTATTTTAATCAGGAATGGTCCATTAGTGAAGCACTTGGTAAATTCTCAAAGTGTACCAGTAACTCAAGAAACCTCAACCAGTGGACCAACATAAACAAGCAAAAAACAGGAGCTATCTTATCTCAAATAAAGAAAAACAAAGGACTTAAGTACACTAGTTTTCGTGGTCCGCTTGACCAATTAATTAATATCTTTCAATTAATTAAGGTTTTTAGTTGAGATAAAAATGGCAAAAAGGATGGAAAATTCAAAAGGTGGGGTTGAGATGGGAAGTTGGTGTCCGAGTGGATCGAAGTCACGATAGCTCAAGTGATAGAGTAGCGGCGTATCTAGCCGAAGGTCGTGGGTTCGAATCCCGCTCGTGACACTGACCTTTTTTATCTCAACTAAAAACCTTAATTAATTGAAAGGACTTAAGGTTATTCTTTGACTAGGTATTCTTTTAGGAGACACATCGAGGGCTATGAAAGACAGTCCCAACTCTTGCTGTGACACTCGACACACGAAAATTGTTTAAGTTTCCAATGCTGTGATATGTAAAAATTCTAACAAACGTGAAATATGTCAGGCAGATATACATAACTACAAGGATTGAACAGTGTAACTGGTTCTCAATTTGGTGTTCTATAAATATCCAGAGATAACACAGTACAGTTGTAAGTTGCTTTTGAAATGGTGTCAATGATGATGAAAGCAGACAAAAAGTTGGGGTTTGTGTTCCTCAAGCACTGCAGCCTTCTGGCTTATTGTATTTTCCTAGCTCCTTGGTTCGGTGCAATCGACTCGATCCTTCTTTTAAAGAGTACTAAGGCATTGACTGCCATTGCTACAATTCCTTCCCTGAGTTTCTTTGTATTCTAGGTTATGCCTCCAGTGAGTACTTGCTTCACATTTGAAGATGAGATGGGTGGTTGTTTCTTTCTCTTCATTGTAAAGCCTACTAATAATAAATTTGAAATAATAGTAAGTTTAATCAAAAGAAAATTAACTGAAAATATCACCCATGACAGGTTGAACAACTGATAAGGATTTAACCAATTTAGAGCATATGCAGTCGATATATATGTTTTCTGAAATAACCATTGAGCACCAGGAAGGGTGTTTGCATCTCTTTATGCTGTAAAACTGTTGATATGGAATACCAGCCTTCAGAAACCTCATGAAAATAGTTACAGAACTAATAAACTTTGTTCAAGTTGCCCCATTGCAACATTGGTTTTTCAAGGCCCTCCAAGAAAGCCCTGATGATCCTGATCACACTTTGCATAAAGTACTCTGGCAAGGCAAAGGCAAAGTTCTTTCAAGATTCATATATTAACTCTAAATAAATAAAAAATATCTTAATACCCAAGGTAAATATTTTGTTGGACTGATGATGGATTGAGTGGTATGAATGATGGATTGGAAAAATGTAATTATTTTTACTTGAAGCTTCAGGAAAGAATCAATTTAAAAAAATACCAACTGAAAACGAACCTTTATCAAATATAATTATAAGTAAAGATATACATATTTAATGAAGGGTACATGGAATATTTTAAATCAAATATGGGGGGACCGCAGTAGCCGAGTGGTTAGCATGAGAGACTCTCACGCCGCGGTCGTGGGTTCGATTCCCACCGTCGCCTCTGGCCCTTTTTTCCCGATAACCCCCAATTTGTACACACAAGAATTCGTACCATGGCTAATATGCAAGATCATAAGGCCAATAAAATAAAAATTTAAAAAAAAAAATCAAATATGGAGTGAAAATATAGTACAGTTGCCCTATGTATCATTTGAAGAAATATTTCATTAAATGCATCATACTTTCATCATTTGTCTTCACTAAGCATGACTTTTGCAATATTTTATTAATAATAATTGTTTTTCATTTTTTGTTTCAGGCGAATATTAGAAAATGGCAGTCTTTATTTACCCCCTTTTAGTAGCGACCAGATTAGAGATGATATCCATACTACAACTTATCGGTGTTTAGCTTCTAACTCAGTAGGCAAAATAGTTTCTAGAGAATGTAAATTAAGGCCAGGTAAGTGAACCTACCCCAAATGATACAGTGTACAGCAATTGAACTTATTATAAATATGTAAATGCTTTCCAGAAATTATAACTGAATTTTATGCTACTGTGGAAAATTCCTTTACGGCAGAGAGAAATGTAGGAGTTCTGCATTGTCAAATACGAGGTGGATCTGGAAGAGTAAAAGTGGTAAACTGGCTTAAACAAGAACCAACTGGACACCGGACTGTCCTTGTGCCTGGTTCGAGCTACTCTGTAACAAGTTCAGGGTCACTACATATTAGGGCAACGACTATGATGGATACACAAGCGTCATATTACTGCCAGACTGTCCATACACTTACAGGAGAGCGCAGGCTTAGTTCTCCCGGGAGAATATTTATAACTGGTACTTTTTGATCACTTTACTATTTTACTTGTGATTTATGCGTTTAACTGTAATATTGTAGAAATCGAATCAAATACTGCCCCACGAATTGAACATACATCCACAAATGTTTATGTGAGGCCAGGGAGCCCTGTTGATTTGCTTTGCCCGGCTCAAGGTTCTCCTCCACCCATCTACAGGTTGGTATTAATTCAGTAATATACATTAACTTGGTAACACCTTATTCTCTCCAATAAACCTGCATAGTCGCACATCTCACAAATCCAGTTTAATAAATACTGTGAAAATATTGTCATCAATATCTAGAGTCATCTAGTATTAGACATCATTTATCCAAATCTTTCAATAGAGTGTGGTGTTTAGTGACCATTACTTGATGATTATTTGGAGGTCGTGAGATGCGGTCTGGTGTGATGTAGGTTTTAGAAAAACATTTTCTTTATCGTGCCAACGTTTCGGTCTTTATTGAGATTATCTTCACGGCCTGGGATTTATAAACATTGTTTAAATTTTACAAATACGTGTAGGATGTGGAAAAAAAATGAATTTACACATTGCTAGAAAATTTTAGATTTAAAAAAATGAATTGAATAATATGTACTGATTATAAATACGAAGTAGGAATCTGAACATGCATGTACAGAGTTGAGGCTATTACTTTCTGGAGCAGACCAGCAATTACAGTTTTATTCTTTCTTTAAAAACATTTGTAAGTATGTCGGATTCGAATGAAGGGCTTCTGGATTCGAACTCAGGAACCTGAACCCCTTTTACCTTACAGTGATGAGTGCCATGTCAACACCTAAACCATTGCGACCACCAACACCCCAAAATTCCAATTCCACCTTTGCAATTTACAATAAATTATCGGTAGGTATCGAGAATCACCTACCCTGGGTATTGGAACTCTGGGGATAGACCTCGGTCTTATCTCTCTAGCTATTCCTCCATTACCCTCTACATATATTATATAACTAATATACTTGAGGGTCGATTAGTTATTGGTTACTCAATATTCCACCATTCACTCTCTCACACTACACATTCATGCTAATAAATACATTCAGTCTCAATATACACAAGAAACACAAAACGAGGTGTCTAAAAAAGTACTACATTCAGTAAAACAGTCCTGTTTCCTCTAAAAATCGGAACTGGAGACCCAAGTACTCGCTGCCATATTCAAGCACATTCTCATCAGGTGGCAATCATATACCCTCTCTATATGGAGCCGAAAAATGGCACCCCTCAATTAGGTAGGACACACGGAGTAACCTTTCTCAACATGCTGAGCACAAACCCGGGCGTTGGCCCAAAAGTAAGTGTCTATGTGTCTAGCTCGCGTGGCTTATTCTTAATCAGGTGAGGATGACCCTTCTTCTATCCTCCAAGTCAGATCCTCTGAGGTCCACCTAAAGACAGTGCTATTAATACACGAGAGCTTCTCTGCTGATCCAGCCCACAGACACTGCCACTTTCTTTTATTCGTGTTTTTTATGAATTTTTAGTGTCAAAGGGATGGATTGTGGTTTGTACTTAAGATATGTCTTATAACAGTGAATACAAAGAGGTTATTAAAAATGTTAGTTAATAATAATAGTAAATAAGAGTTGTTATGCCACATTCAGAAAGTCACATTTCTTATCTAACCATCCAAAGCAAAGCACTTATGTTCAAATTATTTAAGATGAAAAATTGATATCAGATGAAATGGCATAAAAATCAACATAATACATCTTTATATGAACATAATTTCATTTATGCATGTTTTTTGTTTTATGTGATAATAATTAAACATTTTTTATTCAATTATAATTATTCTAATGCAAATTATATAGTAATAAAACAGCTTATGTAGTTGATGATAGGCTGTATTTTGTAAACATGATAACCTATAACCCTATTTCAAAAGTTGATTTTTAATGTTGAAAATTATGTTATTTTAATTCAATAATCACTACTGAAGTTGTACCAACTATGTTTTAATTTTTATAGATGGTATAGGGAACATAGTGGAATCCTTGATGAAATACACAGAGGATCACTATCAATAAGACCTCTCGATTCTATGCTCTCATTTGCTAATGCCCAAAGGCAAGATAATGGGCATTACATTTGTGTTGTAAGTAACGCTTTGGGAGAAGATAGAAAAAAAATTAATCTTGTCATCAGTATTCCCTTGTCTGTTACTATTCGGCCAGATAGACAGGTTAAATAACCCAAAATTAAATTGTATATTTTTAGTTTGACCGACTTGGGTTATTAAAGTTAGTTGTTTTAGGTTGTTGATGGTGGAAGCATGGCGACATTTAACTGTTCCATTATAGGCGGAAATGGAGGGCATAATGTTGCATGGCTCAAAGATGGTAAACCGATTCATGACAATAGTGATGTAAGACTTCTAAGTAATGGAGAGGTCCTTTTACTGAAGTCTGTCAAACACGATGATGGAGGAATGTACCAATGCCTTGCAAGGACCTCAGATGAGACTGAGCAGGCGACTGCACAACTTATATTAGGTGGTAAGGATTATATTGTCAGGCACTTTTGAAGAAGTAATACTTGCAAGTATTTTTAAAAAAATATTAAGTTGATTAAAAAATTGAATTTGATGTGTGTTTTTTATATACCATTTCATTATTTTTATTACTATGTTTATTGTACTATGTGAACATAAATAATCACATAATCAAATAATTGAACTATTAATACAGCTTCGTGTTATTAACATTTACCATGATTTTATTATATTTTAAACAGCAATTTACCAAATGTTTATTCATTACATATATTTCTTTTAAGCACTCCCACCTAAGTTCCAAAAAACATTCATAGAACGAACAGTTCAACCTGGGTTTCCAGTATCTTTAAGCTGTCTTGTGTCTGGTACACCTGCACCCAGAATTTCTTGGTTATTGGATGACAATCCCTTGCCTCCAGAGACCAGTTATATTGTTGGATCCTCACCAAATTTAAAGGGTTTAGCAATTAGCTTCCTAAACATCACATCAGCAAAAGTACAGCATGGTGGCCTGTATTCCTGCTCGGCTAAAAATAGCCTCGGAACCATTGTCCATTCTGCATCCCTTAATGTTTATGGTAAATCCAATCACACCTTTGGATCCACACAATAAAAGTCTGTAAAGTCTAAATCTGTAATAACTTCTGTAATTGTAACAGGGCCACCAACAGCAAGACCTCCATTGAATTTAACTGCCGTTGATAGTGGAAATGCACTTCTCCATTGCCCAGTTGCTGGTTTTCCTATTTCAAACATTATTTGGGAGTACAACGGTGAAAAGCTTTTAAGAAAACACCAGCAACTTCCAAATGGAACAGTACTACTTAAAGATTTGGAAATCCAAGAGAGTGGAGAATACAAATGCTTGGTTCGCAACCAAAAAGCCCAGACTGCCTCAAGTAGTGTGTTTGTCAAAGTCATGAGTAAGAAAATTTATAATGATCACAATTATAATAATATAAACATATATTTTATAATAATATATGGTTTTTAGAACCTCCCCAAATACAAGAATTTAATTTTCCTTCAGACTTGCAAGAAGGCAACAGAGCACAAATATCCTGCACAGTGATTTCAGGTGATTTACCTATGGATATAATTTGGTTAAAGGATGGCGAAAAAATGCAAAGTGAACCAGATGTTCAAGAACAACACCATCCATTTGTGAATGCGTTACTTTTCAGTAACATCGCGGCTAGACATTCAGGAACTTATACTTGTGTAGCGAGAAATGCAGCTGCTCAAGCTAATTATACATCTAAGCTTGTTGTAAGAGGTACTGTTACATATTTTTAACAAATTTCTGAGAATAAATTTTCTAATTTTATATTTTTAGTTGCACCGAAGTGGCTTGTTGAACCGGTAGATACTGCAGTGTTATATCAAGAGCCTGTGTTTCTACATTGTCAAGCTGTTGGACACCCTCCTCCGAATATAACATGGTTGAGAACAAGAGGTAATATTGATGACAAAACCTCATTTGAAAAATCATTTTTAATTAATGTGTCATATTGCAGAAGACAGTTTAGATTTTGTGCCTGTACCTTTAGAGGTGGACGGGTTTATTCAGATGGAAAACAATGGGACAATAATAATACAGTCAGCGAGTAAAAGCCACAAAGGGCACTACACGTGCGAAGCTAAAAACGGCATTGGAAATGGTCTAAGAAAAACTGTTCGACTGGCTGTAAATAGTATGTAAATTATTAATAGAGAACATAATTACATTCCATTAGGGCCAACTAATTAAACCGAAATAAAAAACAAAAGGAATATTTGTTGAGGATAATTTTTCTAAAGACACTTTTATGCTAAAACATTTCAAAATTGAATGTAAAATATTCAGGTCAGAGAAAGCAGTTTTAAACTAAACACTACACCTGAAAATAATTTGATTTAATAATTTGTTAAAGTTGTGAGTAGCGGTCTGGAAAAGTATTTTAGAAAAACACCTTTTTCATTTTCTTGTTGATATTTCGACCTTTAATCAGGTCATCTTCAGGATCAAGTATTTCATACTCACATAAAGTGTGATGCTATGCTTGTGGTGTCATATAGCACCACACTTTATGTGAGTATGAACTACTCAGTGCAAAATGTATATTTACATCTATATTGCATTTTTTCCAATCAACATATATTTTGTAATTCACCCATGCCCTGAAGATGAATACTTTGCTTTAATTAAAAATATAATATACTCACCATTTTTTAAGATTATTTATACATATTATGATTAATATTTAATAATAATAATGTATCATACATTTATGATATGATTTTTTATCCAAAGGTTGAAAAATCCCAAGTTCTCCAGATTTTTCAACCTTTGGATAATAATTGCTATGAACTGTGAATTTTAAGAAAAGATTATTTTTTATGTAATTAATGAGCACAGTAATAATTATTAACTGAAATGAAAGGAACTGTATTGATTTCCACTCAAACTTGATAATTTCAATTTATCATGATAAATCAATGAATTTTTGACTTTTGGTATCATTACTTTACAAATGAAAGGATTTTCAAAATGTGTGACAAAATAAGGCATTAATAATTCTACGCATAATTCTAATTGCGTTACATAATTTAATATAACTGTTAATGATAGCTAAGAAGCTGCTATAACAACTTGTAAACCATGTGCATTTTATACAGTTCCAGCATATTTTAGAGCATTACACATTAATCACAGTGGAGTCGCAGGGGAAACTTTTAAATTGTTTTGTGAAGCTGAAGGGGATTTACCTTTGCATATTTCATGGGGAGAATCGCCAAGGTTAGTTTTGCCAACACCCATAGCAAAAGTGACAGCAACTGGTATGACTTCTGAAATAGAGCTTCGCGACCTGTCATCTTACGATGCTGGAAAATATCACTGCAACGCTAGAAACGCTTATGGATTTGATAACATGGTGGTTGAATTAATAGTCATGGGTAAATACGATTAAGTGTAATTTCAAAATTGTCAAAACGTTTAAAGTAATGTGTGGCAATCTGTCCTCCTGTAGAAACTCCTGGTGCGCCTACCAATGTTGAAGTTTTTGAAGAAGGGAGCAGATGGGTTAATATACGTTGGGAACCTCCTGGGCCATCAGGAACACCCGTAATACATTATGTTATTCAGTTTAGAGAACATAACACTAACAATATTTGGAATAATATGACTGTTGGGGGACAAACTCACAGAATTAGATTAGGCACTCTGATAGCTAACACTGCATATGAAGCACAAATATTTGCAGTCAATAAAGTTGGCGTTGGGCCTAAAAGTTCAACAGTTAAATTCTTAACATTGCAAGAAGGTATGATTGAACAAACTAAAATATTAAACAGCTTAAATTTCTATACGAACAATTACAATTTCCAATGTTACACCAACGATAAGTAATTAATGTAAAATAATTTCTAGCTCCAACAATGACCCCAACTGATATTACTGTGGAATTGATTAATTTCAAGAATTTAAAAGTTCAATGGAAGGTAATTTATAAGTTCTGTGAATCTTAATAAATATATTTAAATTAAATGCTTTGTAATATTGGTTTTCCACTCTTTTACAAATTATTTTATGGTTTATACCAGCCAACTTTCAAAAGACAAACTGTTTATAAGACTTTCTCATAGAAATCAAAAAAGTTAAGTTAAATTATGTCAAAATATCCAAACCACATGTCAGTATATATAATTTAGTATGGAAATAATAATATATATTTTATTGTTACATTTGGTTAAAAATAGTTTTCAGTTTAGTAAACAAAACGATTAGTGTTTGAAGTATCTAAAGTCTTTAAATAAGAATTATTTGTAATAATAAATTTAAATAAAACCTTTTCTCTGCATTTATTTATACTTATTGTTTGATTTTTCTTGTTTTTTAAGCCAATCAATGAAAAAGAAAGTGATGTCAGAAATATAGCTGGTTATCAGGTTGAATACAGTGAGCTCGGTGATACCAATAAATTGTATAAGACTGTTTTTGGGCAAAAAGTCAACTTAGCAATACTTGAAAATCTAAGAAACTTTACAAAGTATGAAATAGCTGTACGAGCAATAAATTATATTGGGCCTGGTCCATCCACTCCTGTGCTTATATTTACAACACTTGAAGGTGGTAAGAAGACTTTTTTTTTTTTTTGACTGGGGCTTCTGACAACTAGGTCATTTCAGCCCCCAACTAGGTTTATATTCTATTTACCCTTTCAAATACTACATTCATAGAAATAAATACATCCATAAAGTACACTCATTCCGTTTGGTCGGTGGAGGAATATCTAGTATCCTATACTCAAACTAATCTAGATTGGGGTCAATGGAATACTTTTATAAATATTCCGCCATCGACCCCGAACACACTCTTACCTCTCAACATTCAAGGGGCGATGATGACGTTATATTTCACCCTCACCCCTCACCATTCACGCTAATAAATACATGCACACAAAAAAACACAACCATGTCATTCATATGATGATGAAAGACTCACTTTTAGATAATGTGTGATTTATAAACTATTTTATTTACTTTATAATTACATTTCATAAATTATTGATAATAAAACTTAATTTCTTGATTTGATATTAATCAATATTTTAGTTCCTGAAGCTGCTCCAACAGATTTGAGATGTGCGGCCTTATCATCTCATAGTATAAAAATAAAATGGGAACCACCACCTATTAAGTATCATAATGGAGTCATATTGGGTTATAAAATTTTTTACAAGATGGGTAAGTACTAAAATAAACATTTTAATGTGCTGTGAATCATACAATGGTAGTGAAATACATATTTGAATGATATTCTAGCTTCTGAGCTCAAAGTGACAAAGACTACAAATTTAGAAACACACCTTCATGCTCTAATACCATCTACAAATTATACTGTAAGGGTTCTCGCATATACAGCTGTAGGCGATGGTGAAGTCTCTGCTAATGTGTACTGCACAACTGATGAAGATGGTAAACTCTTGAGTTATCTTTCTCTTTAAAAATAAATATTGAGCTCACTTTCTGAATAATTTCCTTTGGCAATTTTTAAAGCACAGTATAAATAGAAACATGAAATATGACATGATTAATTGTATATACGGTGACTGGCCAAGACCAAAGTGATTGTCAACTGTGGTCTTTGATTGAGATATGTCTCAATTACAATCTATTACTTTAACAAAGATTTAGATGAAATATAAAAAAGCACTTTAATGAACAGTTCCAGGACCTCCTGGTAACGTCAAAGCCTTAGTGGTGACATCGAACAGTGTATTGGTTACATGGTCAATACCATCTCAACCAAATGGTCAAATCATCCATTTCAATGTGTATATAAGACGTTCAAATAATGTAATTATATAAATTTTTTAATATTAAGTAGACCTAATAATTTAATAAATCAAATGGCTTTTCTCTATTCTATACAGGAATTGCAAAAAGATATGGTATTTGGAAGCAAAACTCTTGTATATGAGTGCAGAAAGCTCATAGAATTTGAACGCTATGAATTTTGGGTTACAGCATCCACAAGTGCTGGGGAAGGGGCAAAGAGTAATAAAGTATCTCAAATTCCACTATCAAGAGGTAAATATCATATAGCTAATAATTTACAAATAATTTTACAACTTCAACTTTCATCTTGTGTTTCATTCTTTTAATTGTATTATAAAAAGTGTAAAAGATAAAACACAGGCAAGGCCCAGTCGTAATTGTTTATAATTTAAATTATTTAATTAATATCTCTTAACTGTGATCATCATTTATGAATAATTACATTCAATATGGACCATTCAATATTGTGCTTCCTTTGTTAGTTTACTTTTTATATTTTAGACATAAATAAATTTTGTAAATAATTTGTAAACTATATTATATGATTATTTAAATAAATTACTTAATAACTGAATTTTTAAAATATTTAAAATGGATATATCTATTTATTTAAGAAGCATACAAAAAGGCATGTGCCTCATTTAGAGTATGTGGCAAAAACGACTTTAAAAATATTGCAATTGCCATAAAAAATCAGTTCATATTTATTATATTACAATAACAAAAGTAAAGCAAACTATATAGTATAANAGGAAGGGGAAGCAGGAAAGGAGAGAAAGAAGGAGAAGAGAAATATAGAACGAAAGAAAAGAAAAAAGGAAAGGAAAAAAGGCTATGTATTAAGTACAAAGTATTCTTTGCAACACTCATGAACCCTGGATAACCCACCCCTTTTCTCACTTCCGATGAAAGTGAATTCCAGACTCACCCTGGCCACTTGGCAGGAAACATTAAAGGGTCATGATCGATTAAAAATGAGACTCAGTTGATAAAAGTCTTTTTGGGTTGCTTTGTAAGAGTAATGAACACAAATAAGGGGCAGAGGAATTGGTGAAAATTTTGAAAATAAGCGAATCAATCCTCAATTTGTAATGATTTTTAGAGGAATCCCAACTAACGAATTCTCAAAATGTGAATAATCAAGCCTGCAATGTGATGCACATAACAAATAACCAAGTTAAAAGCAACGTTAAGCTGGTAACTAAAAAGTGTCTAACTAAAAAGGAAATCACAACAGAGGAAATGTGGGAAAATAAGAAGCAGAAAAAATCATTTCTTGCACCTCAGATGGGCTTAAAGTGAAACCATTTATTATTGACCATGTGGAGATGGAATTAATGTCATCATTCATTCGACTAACACCATCAATAATATTCTCACCTGTTACAAAATTTGCAAGTCATCTTTAAACGATGGTACTGGAGCTTTTGAGGCAGATCATTAATAAATAATGCAAATAAAAGAGGGCCTTGTGAAATTCCAGAAGTGGTCGATATATATAGACACTTGTATGTAGTTACGAGGCACTGATGCAGGGCTGTTAATCTTTGTCGAAGTAACTATTTATTTTTTCAACAGTCAGGAAAAATGGAAGAGGTTATGGCAAAGTTAATAATATGACATGGTGAAGAATCAGTGGACAGAGATTCTTTATGATTATAACTAGAATTTCATCAGTACCAACAGCCAAAGAAGAAATGAAATTGAGTGCTTTAATAATATCAATATGCTATAACATTTTTCAAAAAAAAAAATTGTCCTAACAGAACACATTGGATTAGAATAAGGGTATATTTAAAGATTTAGAAGAACTAGTAAAGTGCCTGTTGACTAGATCACAATCAAGATAACACAAGAATTGGCTTAATTCTTATGAATTAAATGTAGCCTGAAGTTCTGATTTGAGAGCGCAGTTCTCTTGATGGAAGGGAAGTGTAAAGCCGTATGCAATATTCTTTCTTAGCATTGCAAATAGTCTGTTTAGCTCTGTTATGCAGAACTTTAAATGAGGCAAAATCGGCATTGCACAAAGATCTCCTCCATTTACTGTAAGCAAGGTCCCTAAGTTTGAGCATATTTAAAATAGCAGGAAAGAACAACGTTGGGAAATTCTGTTTAATGGTAATTTTTTTAATGAGATCTAAGACTCAAGCACATGCACTAACTACGAATTAAAATCACTTATCATAGTATTGATGTCAGTGTGAACATAAATAGAATTCCAACCAAGCCCCTCTTCCAACAGTTTGGGAACGCCAGCTTTGTTGAACTGTCCATACTAGCAAACAATCTTCTTTTTTGACAACATTAAGGTCAATGAGAGATTTTTTCATGAGTTGAGCCAGATCGAAGGGAATGCAGACCATGGGAATTCACCATTTCAGTTAAATTTTTAGATGAATTTTCAGTAGAGATATAATAATATTAAAGACCCCCATTAAAATGAAATGACAATAAGAATAATTAGGAAAGAAAGGATAGGTTCAATATTAAGAATGTCAGAAAAAGGAGCTGGGGGCCAATAAAGAAAACCACATTAATATTTCTGACCAGCAAAATGTATTTTAACAAAGAGATACTCAATGTTGGATGGTTTCTGACTTAGAGTAGATGATGGGTTTTGGTCTGCGAGTCGGTGAACTCACGTTGAACTGGCACAACTGAGTTTCTCACTGAAGATGGTGCAATGCCGAAACGCATTTGAAAAACTCAACTCAAACAAAAAACCCACGAGTAAAGACAGACTCAGTAGTGCCCGTGTGCCGGTTCAGCATGGTTTCCGACTTGTTCAATATTTCGAAGGAATTTTGATATTGAGTCCAACCACACCAACATTGCCTATATTATCATTTCTCCAAAAAATATATCCTAGGTATATCATACAGTATAATATACGATATTCAGTGTAACACAAATTTTTAAGAACAGATAAATGACATTCAACATATTTATTACTATAAATTGAACCTGCAATTAAATTACAGCACCTGCACGGATCGTTTCCTTTCCTAGTAGACTTGTCGGAGGAGTGAATTCCAATTTAGCACTAGATTGTTATGCAGTTGGACTCCCTAGCCCAGTTATTTTATGGAAAGACAAAAATGGGGTGGAGTTGACCAATAACAATAAAAATTACAGGTAAAAATCAACTATATATTTATTTTTCAATTTATTTTTATTAAAATCTAATTTCAGATATATCGTTGAAAACAGTTTAATATTAAATCCATTGAGCCTTGATTATTCTGGAAATTATACTTGTACTGCGAATAACGTTTATGGAATGGATGAAATTATGTATGAGGTGGTAGTGCTAACGTTTCCAAAGCCACCAAAAGTCTTGGTTGTATATACAACAATAAGTAAAATAAAAATTCACTGGAAAGTTTCAATGGATGACGTACAACATATTACCAGTATGTATACTATTTTCAAATATCCTCTTTTATACATACTTAAATAATTCCAATAAGCTGTTTTTATTTCTAGTCTTTGTTCTTTAAGTTAGTGAGTACTTCCTAGTGAGTAGCAATGTATCTAACAACAATGTTATTTTACAGGTTTCATTGTGAATTACAAAGGACCAGATACTGAATGGAAACAAATAACTGTTGAACCAGATGAAAAACAATATACACTAAGGGGTTTACGGTGTGGAAGTGCCTATCTCATTACAGTTCAATCATCCAACAAAGTTGGAACTAGTGACCCAAGTCCAATAACTGAAGCATTTACGCAAGGAAGTGGTAATTATTAAATATTCTTAAAAAACTTGTAAAATGTTCATTTGTGAAATAAAATTTTAATATAAAAGAGTTCGTACTATTCAGAAGAACCATAAGTCAAAAACATGGAAAATATTGATGCAAATAAATATTGGTTTACACAATATGTATACATGACAATTAATTAAGGTTTTTAGTTGAGATGAAAAAAAGTTAATGGCACAAGAGGGATTCGAACCCACGGCCTTCGGCTAGATACACCGCTGCTCTACCACCTGAGCTATCGTGACCTCAATCCACTCGGACATCAACTCCCCATCTCAACCCCACCTTATGAGTTTTGAGATGTGGAGTTGATGTCCGAGTGGATCGAGGTCACGATAGCTCAGGTGGTAGGGAAGCGGCGTATCTAGCCGAAGGTCGTGGGTTCGAATCCCACTCGTGCCATTAACTTTTTTTCATCTCAACTAAAAACCTTAATTAATTGTCATGTATTAATTGGTCAAGAGGACCACGAAAGTAGTGAATTAAGGAAATATGTATACATTTAAATTTTATTTGTCATTTTTTTTTTAATATTGATTTTCTTTTACGCTTAACTTGATGTATTAAGATATATATATACAATATAGTTTCCAGGATGCCGGATAACATTCAGTTCATACTGTCCAATTCCACTACTGCTACAGTCTATATGGATTCATGGCCAATAAACGGATGCCCCATTTTGTATTTCACAATATCATATAAGCTGCAGGAAAGCAACTTTTGGACCATTAACAATCAAAATATATCATTCCCTCAAAACTTTGTACTTAGAAATCTTACACCAGCGAAGAAGTATGACTTGTATATAAAGATATTCACTGAAGCAGGATATATTCTCCAAGAATTTGAATTTGCTACAAGAACTATAAATGGAGGTAATGAATTACTTTATTACTTGTAAAATAAAATGCACTGTTAGAAAGAGATCAATGTTTTTTAAAATGTTTGATATTAAATCATCCTTTCAATTTTAAAAATTTAGCTTTACATTTTTATTCACAGAATTATTATCAATTAAATCACTACCAGCAAATACAACTAATATGTTTACTTCTACGTACTATATCGTTCCAATTGGAGGAGGCATTATAGGTACATTAATCTGTGGATTATGTCTTTACCTCATCTTACAAAAAAGAAGGTTAGTTATTATGAACTAGAGAAAAAAGAACTTAACCGTAAGCATTAAATTTGTTCAATTGAATACTGTAGGTGTATGCCTCGAACTGAATCTAAAAATTTAGTTGAAGTAGGCACACAAGAAAACGAAGTAGAAGATGCGGGTAGAATTTTTTCTCCATCTCCGACCAGAAAGGTCAATTCTTCACTGAGTGCAAACAAAGGTAGTGACACATCAGGTCAGTTATTTAATACGATTTTGAAATGTGCTAATACACAAGTCGACCACTTGTTTCGTAGGTGGAGCGGAATATGAAATCAGTCCATATGCAACTTTTAATTTACCATACCAACCCGTAACACATCAAATGAAGTTTCAGACATTTAGCCAACGTGAATGTTATGAAGCTTATAAGCCCAAAGAATATTATGGCTACCATGCTAGAGCAAGATCTCGTTCGAGATTAGGTACATCAAAGAGCCCTCCTGATGGCCTTAGTCTCGGTTAGTATGAATTTACTGAATGCAAAAGAAGTTTCTTTGCATGCATTTATTTATTTCAGTTTGTTAAAATATTGGGTTATCCGGAAAATAATGCAGATATATGTTTATAAAATAAAAACAATTAAATAAATTATTTTAAACATTTTTTAATAATTAAAATACCCCCCATCACTCTCAATACACTTCTCCCAACGTGATGGCAACTTCTCTATATCCTCTAATTAACAAATTCTGTAAACGCATTTTCTAACAACTTTTGATCAATTTTTTGTTGTAAAACATTGTCCAGGTGTCTGAAAAAAAATGGTAGTCAGTAGACGAGAGGTCTGGAGTATAAGGAGGGTGAGCAGAACCTCATAACCAAGATCCAACAGTTTTCCTATTATCACATGTGAAATATGGGGCCAAGATTTGTTGTGTTACAGAATCAGCCTTTTCCAATTGACCAAAGATGGCTTCAATAATACCAATTTCTGGTGTACTGCTTCAATTTGAGAGCAATACATTTCAGCATTGATATTTCGCCAGGAATCAAGAAACTATAATCAGCCCAAATTAACCCCCCTTCCCAAAGTATAATCTTTTTTTGATGAATTGGGGGCTTTGGAAAATGTGGTGATGTTTGTCCTTTGTCCAGCCACTGTTCAAAACATCTGCTGTTATCTTAAAGAATCCATTTTTCATGACAAGTAACAATTTGTTAAAACCAGAAAAGGTTCATTTCTGTTCCAGCAAAGAAGTGTTGCGTAAACTTTATAATAATAATTTTTTTAGCAGTCGCTTAATGCATGAGAAACCCAACTATCAAGCTTTTTCACCTTTCCAAATGCCTTAAGGTGGTCAGCGGTGGTCTATTTCCTAACTGAAAGATTCTCTGCAAGTTCTCAATCATTTGTTCTGTGATTTTCTTTTACCAAAGCTCACAAAACATCATCATCTAGGGAAGAAATCCTTCCATAACCTTCTTTAACTTCAAGGAAATTTTCCTGTCGAAATTTTTTAAACCACCTCTGAACAGTGCTTCACTCACACTGCAATCGGCCCAGACTTCATTAATTATTTCTGGCTGTTTGGGCACCATTCCAATCGAGTTTATAAACAAAATTATGCGAAAATCGCACATGACATCATAGTAGAGTGAATTATTCCCCAGTAACAAAATGCTACTGAGGTAAACTAACATTTTTGATTGGAAGAGGATTAAATAGTGTTAAATTCATATAGAATAATCCATCAAATGAATACAGTTTATTATATAAAGGGGTAATCGAAAGAAAAAATGAAAACCTGCATTATTTTCCGGACAACCCAATAATATAATAAGTTTCTTATAATATCCCATCTCCTGGTTCACTACCTAGTACAATGAGCAGAATTAATGATATAATTTACATTTTAAATTAATTATATGTTTATTATTAAAAGATTGATATGTAATGATGTTAATAGAAGAGAAAAAAGATCACCACCTTCTTGAATTAGATATATTTTATTTAAACATACGAGTAGTTTGAGGTAAAAAGTGCCAGTTTGTTTTAAGCAGTGGACAAATTGTCTAATACATATTTTTAAGGCAATTATTGTTCTCCCATAGCTAACATATAAACTGTAACTGCAACTTTCTTAAGCACAATACATTTTTTTTTAAATAAGGGCACGTGTGCATAAAACTAAATTAGACTAAATGATGTTTTTTTTTTTCTTTTAGAAAAAAAATTTGGTACAATATTAAGATTTACATTCCGCATTTAAATAAATATCGCATTGTTCAAATATCACGTTAAACTTTTAATTAAAATGCAATTTCTTTCTTGGTAGGAACTTTTAATATTAAAACAAAAATAAAATTTTAGTTTGCAAAAAAAATATTTTGCACTTTTTACGGTTATGTTTAATTTCTATTATTTAAACATTTATTATGAGATTTACAGGATTTCTTAAATGAACTACACTAATACTACTACAAAACTTAGATGAACCTTGAATATTACAAAATGATGTCACAAACAAGCTTAAAAATTACATTAACTCTCAAATTTTTATGTGAAAAATGTTTAAATTTTTTGTTTTTTTGTGAAAAATATAGTGTTCTTTTCACTTTTGAAGATGAGTATTTTATCTCTCTGCACTGTAAATTTCTTTTTATTTTTTCATTTCCTAATAAATCAGACTAAAGCAGTTTCATTAAATGGCAATTTATCAATTCATATTTATGACTTTATAAGCTTATATATAAATTTAGTTTTTCAAAACCAACAATTTATGAAGTTATTTTAATTAAAGCCTAAAACTTTCAATGATGTACAAAATTGCTTGGCACTAAAACATCTACATTTGCATGAAGTAGAAAGTTTAAATGAGAATCAGCCTATGATTTGAATAATAAATTCTTTACAAGCCCAAAATTTTAACTTTTATAAGAGGGTGACCTTTTTTGTGAGTCAGTAATTGTCAAACAATTTTTTGTCAGAAATATCTTGCATCTCAAGTCAGCAAAAATTGCCCATAGAAAGAACAAGCCATTGTGAGGATGAAGAAGATATGTTTCATCTGAGAAGAGCTACAACATCATTTATGTCAGACTCCGAAAGCAGTGGTGAAAAACATCCTAGATGCCATCGAACGCTACCGCACAAACATAGGCCAGGTTTCAGTCCTATTTACGATCTCAAAAGTTATACAACCGTGCACACGAACAGTGTGATTTACGTTTATATTGTTTTTTATAGAGTCGACGGTTTTTGAACATGAATCAAGCACAGAATCAGCAGAAATGTCACCAGAATTGTCTCGGCGTTCCAGAATTAGGCGAGCGACATCTTCTCACAGTTCTTCCAGGTAGCTCATTAGATAAAACAGTCAAAACACTTCATAAAAAAAGAAGGAAAAGGTGAGATGTTAGATAAATTAAATCGCCAATGTTTCATAAGGGGAATAAATTACTGTTTCATATGAGATAATTACTATTGATGAAGTATTATTTTAAAATTAACGAAAAATTATTGAAAGTTTAAAAAAAATATAAAGTAAAAATATAAAATATATTGGATGTAAAACAAAACTTAAGAATTATTGTGAATTTTCAAATTGAAAGTACTATAATGTGTAATTAATATATTTACAACCAAATGGTACCTTGAGTGCCCTAGTTGTTTTTCTCTAAAACCTGACTCCAAACTTTACTCCCTAATATACTTGTAAAATGCATCTTTAATTCTTATGCATGTTAAACATCTTGAAAAAATTACAATATTTTTACAAACATTAATTTTTGGGAAGTATTATTTAATCTTCAGTACGAGCTTGTATAATTTATGAAAATACAGATTTTTGCTTTTTTTCTTTCAATTTGTATGAAATCTTGTTATAATAATAACAATTAAATCATTTAAAAACTAAGAACAGTTTTTATTTGGCAAAACAATTTTCTGTGTTATTAAATAGACTTACAGCATTTTTACCAAAATAAAAATGTTAAACATCAAGGCTGTATTTTAATAAACCTGATCGGGCTTCAATAAATGACTGGAAAACTCAAAAAAATATGCAACATACATTATACGATTTTCTGTGAATTTATTTATCATTTGTCCAGTTTTTAATTTTTTCTACATTGTCAACAACATTTCCAGAATTATAGTTATAACAATATTATATTTCTTAATTTGTTGGATTCGTGGAAGCGATCAAGAATGAATCCAACAAATTATTAAACAACCGGTCACTAAAAACCACACAATATATTTCTTATTAATATCAAGAGATAATTATATAATAAAATATCAGGGATAAGGCAAATTTGAAAGAAAGAACGTTTATTCAGATGAACGAAGAATGTTTATTCAGTTTCTTTGTCAAGCTTTCAAGTGATACATCCCCTTCATCAGGACTTTGAAACTATCACTAATGATTCAAACGTTTTACAAATATAAACATCTACCTGTGATACTCAAAATTATCGTTTTAACCATAATAAATATAAGAATGGATGAAATCTTTCACCCGTTCATTCTATGCATGAGCCACCCGAACAGTGGACCCACCCATCTGATTTTCCCAAAGTCCAGGACATCTACAAGCCAGGAAAAAGTTTGATCATTTACCCGAACAGAAGTAAAAAGGAGGGACATGTTGGATGTCTTGTTGACGTCTTTGAAAAAGTGAAACACACAGCCTAAAAATACAGATTGGACGAGAATTGCTCAAATAAACAAGCTGAATTATTTGGGATTTTAAACACACAACAGTGGATGGCAACAACAAAAGAATATCCTAAAAAAAGTGTTAATTAACATTTTGACAGACAGTCAGGTATCTCTTGATATCCTAAAAAATCAAATAATAGGGACAGTTCTTGCATTTTTTTTTTTTTTTAATTTGCCTTTATGCCTGATTTTTTATATATTAAGTTAAAATTATTTTTGTGCGGTGTTTAATCATTAAATAATCATTATAATTATTAAGGACGATATCAATCATATCAAGTTAATTAATAACAAGAGATTAAATTTAGGTTAGGTGTTATACTTATAACTAATTCCCATCCACAAAGTATGCATATTTCGTTTTTTAAGATCAATTTGAACTTTATTTATGTTGTATGTACTGGTGACATTGGTGACAAATATCTAGATGTTTTCTATTCACATTCACTTTAATAACAAAATAGTAAAACTAAAAAAATAATTAAACATAATTACATACATTACATAAGTAGTAGAAAATTAATTTTTAAAAACACACACATTACTATCAATCTGTCAGCTAGAGTAAAGAAAACCAACATATTGATTCAGAAAATATATTTAGTCATTTATGTTTTCTGGGTAAAGCATGGAGTTTTGGGGTAAATATGTAATAAAAATTAAAACTGTCATTTTTTTTTTTAAATAACTAAAAATTAAAGTTAGTTTTTTATAAATTGCTATTAAGAGTCTTCACATAAAATTTCATTATTAAAAAAGCAATTCATATTTACAAATTATTATATAAATACATTAAATAGGTCCATTTTTGCTAAAGTACTTAAGTTGTTACTAAAATGTTTCTTCAATACCTGTTTTTAGAACTCCAGAAAGCTTCATGTGGAAACCATCAACGAGATTTTTAGTATGTCCAGACCAGTTTGAATTGAAACAAGACAAATTTCATCAAGAAATATATTACGAAGAGATTGATGGCCATCAGAATTACATGGTAAAAAAATACAGGCAAAATAATGTAACAAGTGAATCAATAGAACATGGATTTGAAAGGCAAATACATTTAAAAAAACTACATTTTTTACATCATATTTATAGCCATATGTACATATATATATTTTGTCGTTTTTTATTTACAGGAAAAGGTTCCAGTCCCATGGAGATAAGGAAGATTATGCCATACATGTTTAACTACCTCCCCCTCCAAAAACCCCGAAATTAAAGTACATCGAAGCCACAGTAGCGTAATTTCTGGCTTCATATCTTCAGAGCTTTACAAGCCACCAGCAACGTGCTCAAAGATATTATATTAATTGATGTGTTCTTGTAATTACAATTATGTACTTCATAAATGTTTATATATGTTTCAATAAATGTCCTTTACTCTATACACTTTCATTTCTTCCAATTGAAACTTCCAAATAACTCGCATTCATGCGTACGTATGCGGTTAACTTAATAATAAGCTTTACATCATCTCGCTGGTCTAAATGTCAAAATAAAACTACAGCAATCCATATTCAACCATTAGCAAAATAAAAACAGAAATGACTGAAAAGTCTGAACTTCTGTAACTTGTCAAATTAATTTCATTGAACGACAAGGTTAAATATATAATATTAACTATGTACAAACTATGTAAATACTTATTCAACTATTCTTTGTCCAAAACTGTGAACTTGTGGTTGTGTCCATTATATTTCCCTTATTACACCGAAAATTCCTCTCTAAATTTCAAACACGAGTCGAACCAAATTTATATTTATGCAGATGTGAAAAGTGTACATTTAATTTTTTTTTAGATTCAAAATTTTATATATGTATATAAATTGAGATCCTAAATTTGATGAGAGTAAATTTAGGAGTTACTGTTAATACAAGAGTACTGATATTTGAATTAAACATTTGTCTAAAAGTAAATCATTATTCCAAAATGACAATTTAAAAAATGTTCCATTATTACAATTAATTAAGGTTTTTAGTTGAGATGAAAAAAAGTTAATGGCACGAGAGGGATTCGAACCCACGACCTTCGGCTTGATACGCCGCTGCTCTACCACCTGAGCTATCGTGACCTCGATCCACTCGGACATCAACTCCCCATCTCAACCCCACCCTATGAGTTTTCCCTCCTTGTTGTTCCATTATGTTATTATTGCTGTTGTTGTTGTTACTGTCATTGGAATAAACCAATTACTAAATTCATTCCTATGGCAGTTCAGTGTCAAATATTACCTGTTGATAAGCATTTACGAAATGTTTTACAATTTTTCTAAACTCTACCCCTTAGAATTAAGGAAGTTGAAAGAGTCACTGAATAAATAATTATTTAAATTATTTGTATTATTTATTTATATTTATATACATGTTCAGATTTCTTATATAAATCCAGATAAGAAACATCTTTGATTGATGATTTTAAAAATTTGGAAAGTTGAAAATAAATAAAATGTTAAATATAATAATCTATATACTTGTAGTTTTATCATTTTTGTAATTCTAAGTTCTCATTGCACTTGAAAGAAGTATGTTCTTGTCGTAAGTTTATATATTGCAAATAAAAATACACAATTATGTTTTTTCTCATACTTGTAGATTGTAGATTATACGTTGCTTATAATATATCATCCTTTATCCCACTTTCTACATACTTGTAATTTTTAATACATTTCAAAAGTTTTATTATTTTTACTAAGTATGATTGTAGACAATTTTTTTTCCACTTTTGTAGAATCTACATATGCCGTGATAAATCTCAAATTTTCTTTCATGGTCTTTTTTTTAAATATAACTTTTTTTGTAATCTGCTGTGAAATTCCGGCAACATTGCAACTTTATATGCATTGTTTTTCTGATACAAATCCGGGCAGGAAAGTCGGCTTTGCAGTCTTGTCAGAATAGAATACATGTCATCGTATTCATATTGTCTCATGATCTGGCACAATGTTTGAATGTAAAATGTTCCTGAAAAAGTAAATAAGGTAAATGTGGATGAGAAAATATAGAAACAATAAGTTTACTACAGTAGGCATTAAGCATTTATTCATTGTAGTATTGTCTTTTTTTTTCTTAAATATACACAACATATCTATTTGTATCCTATATATGTTAGTACAAATTACAAATGTGATCACATCATTTTTCACATGATCACAACACTAACACTAATGCCAATGCTGGCACTCAACATGAATGATTAAGAGAGATTAAAGTGACGGTTCTTGGGATAGGAATGTGTAGAGAGGGCTCGAGCTGTACGGTTAGGATGGATCGAACATTTAGTGTGAAACTTTTGAAATTGGGAATGATCAGTTCGTCAACAAAAGTAATGTTGAGATCGTTGTGTTATAGTCGTGATATAGTAAGGAGCTTGGTCTGAGGACTTTTGACTAGAAGGATTGGGTGCACTGGATAGCAATTGGCTTGGCAGAACCCCACAGTTCCACTCTGTAAGTCCAATATGTCCAAAATGGTGGCAGTAAAGTTTTGTATAAGGTTAGTTCAGTGTTGACGGTCATTCTAGATTTCAGTCCTAGAAGTCTTCGTAGTTGTCCAAGTCTTCTATTACACTGTTTTTTCTTAAATCTTGTGGGGATTCCATGTCAGTGGTTTGGTATAGTCCTAAGAATTTGACTTGCATGGAAATCAGTATCGCTTTGTTGTTGATGTACAGTGGAGGGCAAGACTGTTTTTTCATCACAAACACTGCGTTCATTTTTCTTCATACAGTCTTGTCCTCCTGAAGATAGCAAAAAAATGTTATGGTTTGCAAAGAAAAACCAAATAAATTATAAAATAGTACTATACCTTTTTCAATATGTCTGAGTGATAAAAATCCAGGGCTTGATGGCATGCAAACCAGTAGATTATTCAAATCATTTACAATACTTATCTTAGGATCGTCAGACTCAATTGGGGCTACAATGCAATTTAAGAAAAAATATCCATGATTACATACATAGGAATTGACAAAATTCATGTTAAGTATTCAACTTACAATATATTTGTTTCCCCTGGCAAGCTTGTATGATTAGAACGATAGGCCTTCCATTAATACATTTTGAATTTTGAATTGCAGTTTTTATCTCTTTAATACTTACTTTGAGTCCATCATAACCATACACAGCTCCTAAAACTAGGTAAAGGAAGCAGTAAATTTTTCCTGCTTTTTTTCGTGTTAAAGACTAAGTTCTTTTTGTATTGTTCAAATTTAGTAAAATTAGTGTCATTTAATTTTACCTTCAACACCATGCGACATAATAATAATAAAAAGGATTGAATGCTTCGGTTCAAACTTCTGCTTTATTGTTGTTGTTAAGTAATTTTCCAACTCGTTTGCATTAAAACTTTTTAAGAAATCCGTTTTGAAATTGAAATGTTTCATCGTTTTAATAAGTGTAGCAACGTCCAATAAAGAACCAACTCTGGCACTCATCCCTTCCTGAAAAATAAATAAATAAAATTGCATTATAGTAATACAGTTTAAAGTTGAAAACTGGAAAAACAAATAATTATCATACAAATACAATCATACAAATCATTTATCTGCAAGTGTTAAAGCTAATTTGCTGTAATCATTTTGGTTTTATTGTAATAAGAATTTCAGAAATGTCATTCTATTTCATTTTAAAAATTTTGCTCTTACAATCTAATGTTTTCTGTAAAGTTTTAACCATAGATGAACACATGTATGTTTTGTTTATCAAATGTTTTCTCGGCTTTTCAAGTTTTAATGGGACAAATATTTTCTTACGAATATTTCAAAATTAATGCTTTGCCAACTTACATCCAGTACAAAATAACTATAATAAGAAAATACTGCAAATGCAGAAAATCATTTTTAAAATGTTAGCACATAAAGTTTTACAGAAAACATCCAAACTTCATTAAATACAGGAAAATACAAATTTGGTATACTTAAAAAACTTGCAAATTAGGTATAATTATTATTATTATATTAAATGGTTTATTAATATTAATAAAAGAACAACCAAAAAACAAAAATATATGCAAGCATTGGGATAACAATATCATTTATACAACATATAATACATGTTATTTATTGGAATGAATGTATAAAGGGACTTATCCCCAAGTCCAAGAGGAATAACAAGTACACTGGGGTAGTGTGAATTTAATTTATTAGCGTGAATGAAGGGACTTATCCCCAAGTCCCAGAGGAATAACAAGTACACTGGGGTAGCGTGAATGTAATTTATTAGCGTGAAAAAGGGACTTATCCCCAAGTCCCAGAGGAATAACAAGTACACTGGGGTAGTGTGAATGTAATTTATTAGCGTGAATAAAGGGACTTATCCCCAAGTCCCAGAGGAATATCAAGTACACTGGGGTAGTGTGAATGTAATTTATTAGCGTGAATGAAGTCACAGAGGAATATCAAGTACACTGAGGAAGTATGAATGCTAACCAAGCTATCATGTTATATCTGTTTTTGAGTGTGTATTTGTGATATTTTGTCCGTGATTGATGAGGCCCTGAGGTAGAGAGAGGCTAGTAATAGGATAAAGAAAAGGGAGATTCAGTTGTTGTTGTATAATATAACATCATAACGTGGCTGGAGAAACAAGCAAAGAAACAAGGTTTTAAACATAAGAAAGAAAAGATAAGAAAGACAAATAACCAATGTAGTTTGTCAGCCCTAAAACTAAAAAATGAAATAATAACAAGACTTGTTAGAGTTTAAATGCAGATGATGGGCCAATTCATTTAATTTTGAATTATTAATTGCTTGCTTTACGAAAGTCACTTAAACAAATAACGTAAAAATAATAACGCAACAAGCATCAGTGTGTATAAAAACAATATTGAAAAATATAATGTAAAAAAAGAAAAATACATGTGTTACTTTTGTATATGCATCTTGTCATCAACATACAATCCATGTAAAGTATAATAATCTTTAATAACAATCATGATGACATATTAAACAATTGGCACTTGATCACTCTGCTAGGTCTGTCTACACTCTCACTCTCTCTCTCTCTCTCTCTCTCTCTCTCTCTCTCTCTCTCTCTCTCTCTCGGAGGTTTAGATTTTGGCTTACATCTTCAGTGAGGGACTGTACATGACACAAGTAGAGTGATGACATGCCGATAGGTTTAATATTTGACTCGCAGACCTACAGCCACCACCAACTTTAATCATGATGACATTCATGCCACAACTTTGCAATTTGGATGTTATAAATGAACAAAAATTTTTTAAAATTAGTCAACAGATTTCTATTGCAATGATAAAGAAAATAAATTTTAAACATTTTCATCTTAATCTGTTCATACATGTCTGTATTTTTTATGTACTTTTTAATAAACAATTTATTTGTACTCGTACATATGAAAATGCATATTACAAATTTAGGTGTATAAGTGTTTTTTTTCTCCCAGTCACAACTGTAACACTATGGTCAGCACCCAGAAGACACAGGTTAAGAGACTTACATTATAAGTCAATATTACTGATTAAGAACGGAGGAGGTCTCGTGCCTATCGTCATTTAAACCAAAGTGGCAGGTTCATGGGATGGAAAAGTCCGAAACTGGAGTGGATTTAGACAGTAGGATTAAATGGATCCAAAGCTTGGTATGGAACTTTTGGAGCAGGATCAGATCAGTTTGTTGACCAAAGTAATGTAGAGGTCTTTATGGTTAGGTTGGTGATGTATTAGGAGATTTGACAATTTTGCCGAGGACTTTTGAATGGAAAGATTAAATACACTAGATATTAGATGTCTTAACAGAACCTCAAAGTTCCACTATGTATGTCCAGAGTGGTTGCAGTAATGTCTTGTATAAAGTCGAGTTTTGGTAGTCTTTGTAGTTGACCAATTCTTCTGTTAATAGTTCTTAAGTCTTGTGTGGGGATTCCACATCAGCCGGCTGTCTAGGTATAGTCTTAAGTATCCGACTTGATTAAGAAATATTTTTCCTTCCTTGGTATCTGACAATAAAAATAATCATTTTATGAAACCAACATTACTTTTTTTTATGGTTCGAGTGTGACGTAAACAATTTAAAATTTAATCATTTGAAACTTACAGGAGCAAAATTTTCTTGATTCACTATGATGCATAAACCAACATTGTCGGTGTCAAAAATTGGATAACTTTCATCCTCAGTGAAATTTGCTGCATTTTGCTGCACATCATTGTCAAATTTAACCAATTCGTATTGAGAAGTGAACTTTGTTAGTTCTTTGGACAATTGCTCGTTGCCGATAGTAGACACTAATTTTGTGACTCGATCAAGAGCGTAAGGCAGTGTGATGCTTATTGCATTTTTGCATATCCAGTCAATAAAAAGAAGTTCAAGACATGAATAATTTAATTCGCCACATTCCAAAGAGTTGATCGCTTTGGCACTCTCAACGGGCGTGCAGTTGTTACAAATCGAATATAAGACTTTTTTCGCTGGGGAAATACTCGATTCAGCATGTGTAAAAATATAATAAGCGTCATACTTGTTCACGCCAAAATGTTTAAGCACTTTATAATTTTTAGTTATACATAAACCTTCCAAAAGTTTAATTAAACCGGGCGAGTCGCAGGAAACCCATTTGGTAATCGGTGGAGTTTTACCCGTTTCGAGGAGGACCGAATACATCGAGATGTCATCGCACACCAAGAACATCAGTGATATTAAATCGTCATGACTTAAAAGCTTTTCGATTAATTCTATTTTAAAGGTAGACACCTCCTTAAAGACTGATTCTTCGATCTGGTCAATTTTTAGATCCGCATTTGTACTATCTACTGCAGAACCCGTTGGTAAAATAGAACTGATACTTGGTCGATTCATGATACAAAATTCAACACAACTCGGCGATCCTCTGTAGACACTGCATTCCAACCGATTTCTGTTCAATTCACAGCCAAGAACAACAGAAAGACCTCAGTAATTTTTTATGTCTGAGTCTTTTTACTGTGATACACAGTTGAACGTCTACGTGGAATCGACTGATAAATCAATTTACCAAGGCCAAAACAGAACAGGAGAAATAATAAAAAAAATAACCAAGTGTTTTTATATGCGTGTCGGTCGTTTATTTCGAAATACTTTGTATTTTTTACTGTATCGCCCGGTATACAATATTGTCGCTTTAGCTAATAAGTTAGTCACTAGAAAATTACAGTAGTCAAAAGTAACCGTATTGACTAATTGATTTTTAGTTTTGACAAGGATGAAAGTTCAATACTTTTGAATCGATCGAAAATAAAAGTTTATACGAAAAAATCGAATAATCGAATCTGCGGGCTGTTGATCAAAAAGCAATTTATTCCGATCTTTTATTTTAATTATCTGACACCGACAGCCAAAATTAATTAATACACTAGAATTGAAATACACTGACGGAGGCATGGCTGATAGGCTGGATTTGGGTTTCCAAAATTCGATAAATTGAAACAAAAATTTTTATTTAGGGGTTTCAATTAATGTACATAAAAAAAAGACAAATAACAGACCATATTAATTATTATTTTTATCTATGCTTTTGGAATCGAGCCGAAGATCGTGGGTTCGAATCCCGCTCGTGACATTAATTTTTCATCTCAACCAAAAACCTTAGATAAAATGAATAATTATTTGGAATAATTAATATTGTCAATTATGACCACTAAGCAAATATGGATAAATTATTAATCATTATTATACTCCGGTAACGACTTCCCAAAAATCGAAAAATTTTGAGGTTCCAAAAGTCAGTAAATTTAAATTCAAACAAAAATTTTTATTTAGGGGTTTCAAAAAGTGCTAAACTAATAGTTTCAGGAGGGAAAATTATCGCCTAGTTTACTTGGAAAATATTTGGTTTTCAGGAATTTTTTAGTTATTGATAAACTTTTATATGTTTTACTATATTACTATTGCAACGTACATAAAAAAAATTAATTGACCATAATAATTATTCCAATTAATTATTCTTTTTATCTAAGCTTTTTGATTTATGAGAAATAAGCAAGGGTAGTTGGTTCAAATCCCGCTCGTGACACTAATTTTTCATCTCAACCAAAAACCTTAGATAAAAAGAATAACTAATAGGAATTAATATTGTCAATTATAACCACTAAGCAAATAGTATTAATTATTATTATACTCCGGTAACGACTCCCAAAAATCGGAAAAATTTTGGGGTTCCAAAAATTTCATATTACTTTCAGGGAATAAAATTATGATCTAGTTTACTTGAAAAATATTAAAATTTTTTAGTTATTGATAAAATTTGATATGTTTTAATATATTTTTATTGCAATGTACATTTTAAAAAAATGATGTAAAAGAATATATTCAGATTGTTGTTTTGAGCAAATAAAACGGCGAAATAAAATTAAAAATCAGAAAATTTCCACTTTCAATTTTTTTTGTAAAACCAGTATTCATGTTAATCATAAAAAGTGGCGTATACGTGTCGATATTTTTTTGAGTGTAGAATCACCAAAAAAGTTTGGTCCAAATCCGTGACCCGTCAATTTGGTCGTCCCTTTGTTAGATCCAATATCGAATTGTCGTTTCTTTGTAAATCCACAAGGTAGAAGCAAAATCGTTTTAGTTTTGAGTCAATTTTACTGCATGCGATTTGGTTTTACTGAAAATCCAATATGACGTTTTTTTTTGTTAATTCGCGTCGTGTAAATTCGTTATTTCGTACAATTTTTGGCAGAAGGGCGAGGTTTTTTTAAAAATTCGTCCAAAAGCTATCGCGATCTAGAAGGCAGCGGAATCGGAGCACTTTCGTATTTATTATTGTGCTCGGTGTCGGTGATGGCTGTGAGTTTGTTCCGTGCTCGAATCATCCGTTTTTCCGAAGTCGATTTCGAACCGGGGGATCAAACGGTTTGACCGTTTCCGCCGTGAAATTACCGTCCCAGTCGAAAAAGGTGGCCCGCGACACGTTGAAATCGAGACGGGCCGGCTCTCAAAGTCGAATTATGTGTTTACAACTCGACCCGCGGACCAAAACATTTACGACGGCCTCCCGTCTACGACAAAAGGACGAGGAAGGACTTTTATCGAAAACGGCCGCCTGATATGTTTTGACGAGACACGATAAAAAAAACCCTTCGAGCTATAATGAGAGTGTCCCTCATTGCACTCTTCGTATACGTTTACTCCTTAAAAGGGATCCGCACCTCGGTAAAATGTCACAACCAGTGCAGTTGTCTGGAGAGCTACGTCGACTGCAGCGACAAACAGCTCACAGGCATTCCAGACAGCTTGCCCAATTGGGCGAAAATACTGTGAGTATTTTCTTTTCTTTATATTAGAGCGAGCGTAGGCAGACGGTTGGCCGTCGCTACGTGAGAAAATTGCATCATTTCCCCAGCTCCCTCTTTTATTTTTCTCTCATTCTTGCCAATTTTGCCTTCTTTTTTTTTAAATTAATATTTTGCAGAAAAACTACTCCCGGGCCAATCACGGGCTTTCCCAGACAGCGGGGCTCCTACTCAGGAAAAACTCCCACTTGCGCAATTCTTTATTTCATTACAATCTTTCAATTTTGATTTCAATCCTTTGACCTTATCTCTCTTTATCTCTTTATAAGGGCAGAACAATAAAAAACTTAACAAACATCCTACATAACAATCACTACCCTAAACACATAATCAACAGAATAATGAACAACTACAACACAACACCATCTACTATTATTAATAACTCATTTATGTTTAGTGGTCTAATTGACCATATTAATTATTCTTTTTATGCAAGTCTTGGTTGAGATGAAAAACCTAGTGTCACGAGGAAGATTCGAACCAACGACCTTCAGCTCAATAACGCCGTTGCTCTAACCACTTGACATACCAAGACTTTGATTCCTCGGACACCAACTAATTTAACTTAATTAATTGAAATAAGTAATTTGGTCAAGTAGACAACTAAACATAAATGGATTAATATTTAATAACTAAAGAAGTATCACTTCACTAACAGCTCCCGTGGCCACTTCATAAGTAGCTGAGAATCGAATCCTGATTACACGACATTTGAAAAGTGGCTAAAAGAGGGAAAATTCGAATGGTTGTAGGTTGAGATAGGGAGTTGGTGTCCGAGTGGATCGAAGTCACGATAACTGATTTTAAAGGCTATTTTAAAAACTATAAAACAATTCACACACTTTTTTCCAAAATTAAAGATCCCACACCAGTACCAAATAAGTCGACGTAATTTACAAAATTAATTGTTTAAACTTACATCGGAATTACATCTGGCTAAGGGAGTAAAGCAACATATGTATGATTGCAAAAAACCCAAACAAAATCCTACAGCACTCGCTACCCACCATTTTCAACACCAACACAATTTTGACTTCAACAATCAAAAAATATTACACACAAAACAAAAATAAACGTAACTTTTTAGAAATGGTTTACATCAACAGAGATAAACACAGCATCAATTACAGAACAGATACATGTAAACTCAGTCATAGCTATGCTAATATCATTAATCAAATTCAATATCGATAACATATATATAGCACACAAAACATATAATACAACATATAAAACAATCATTACATTCCACATATCAAAAATTTCTACATAGTCTTATTCGTCAACAATTTGACTTTCCTCTTCCTAATTATCCCCGTCTATACAATCCTGAAAGGATAATCCACTGGTGGGTTTTCCACTGGGGAAGTAATTTTTTCCCGTTGTCGGCACCTTTCACCTCAAAGAAGCCGACTCCTCTTATAAAAAATGTTTTCTGTCTCAACTTCCTTCCCCACCACTTCAATGTATATAAACATAAAACATCAATATCTCACTGGCACTCTCAACACAACACCCAATAATGACACATCTACACAGAAAACAAGCACTTTTAGTGAGTACAAATACTTTGATTGTCTAAAAATTTTAGCATTGTTTAAATTCACTTTTTTCACATCCTACATGTATTTGTATAATTTAAGCAATGTTTATAAATGCCATGCTCATGATCTCAATAAATATCGAATTGTTGGCATGATAAAGAAAATGTTTTTATAAAACCTACGTCACACCAGACCGCATCACACGATCTACAAATAAAGAAAAAAAAACAATGCTCACAGTTGAACGCCTCCAAACAGACGTTTATAGATTTTTCAATTCAATAGTCAGTTATATGCAGATAGATAAAAGAAAAACAACCCAGAATTCTACGAATGACAGATGTCTCTGTACGCCCCATGCTCGAAGGCTTTGGCGCTTTCTTCAGTTCTCAGTTCAGTTAGTCAGTGAAGATCACAAGATGGAGGTGGTGACAACTAAAACCAAAAAAGTGAAAGGGTTGAAGTCACACAAGTCCATGAGAAAAAGAAAATTATTTCTGTGCTTAGATCTGTGTACATAATACATACATTAATTCTAATTCAATTGATTTTTTAATTTGTTTACTTTCTTTTAACTTGCCTAATATTTTTTCTGTAATTTCATTGTTGCCAATCCGATGAAAGATGAATCTTATGAGCTAACCCTCACGAAAGGCTTAGGCGCTTCTTAATCAGTTCTCAGTTCATTTAGTCAATTTTAGATTGTGATTGTGACAAAACGATTAAAAAACGAGTGGCAAAAAAAGGTTCTTTCTGTCAGAGAAAGGGTTGAAGTCACACAAGTTCATGCGAAAGAGAAAATTATGTCTGTGGTTGGATCTGTGTACATAGATATGTACATACATTCATTCCATTTTGATTAATTGTTTTACTTCCTCTTAATTTACCCATTTTTTTCTGTAATTTGATTCATACCAATTAATTTTTGTCTTCCTATTTCATGACAGATAAATTATCAATGAGTAATTGAGCTTTGAAATTTTGATTGAATTGAATTGAGAATTGACTCAATGATTAATAATTATTAATGAGTTACTTTTAAGCATTTCTCACAAGGAAATCTCACAAAATGATGACTTTCTCATGTTATCCCAATTAAATCGAAATAATTAGTTGAATTAGTGAGGAGCGTTCAGGAATAAATACAGCAAGGAATAAACAAAGTACCCAGATATACGCATCCTTTCAGCTGACAAAACAAACAGTTGCCATTAATAAAGATGAGATGTACAACTGTATACAAAAACTCAGCACAATTGTAAATGACACAAACACACTGAAATCAGACCCCACCCTGTCACTCATCCAGTTGTCTAATAAAATTCTACAGGCATACACATCACACAAAGAAATAGACATGCACATGTATAACTCTCTCCAGAATAAATCACACTCACCCCCAAAACGGAGCTGTCAAAATCCACAAATCCAATAAATCAAAATGTCTATTTTGAGTGTTTTTTTAGTGACCGGTTATTTAATAATTTGTTGGATTCGTGACGAGTGGTCAAGAATGAAGATGAACCCAATAAAGGTCGAAACATCGACAAAATAATGAAAAAGGTGTTTTTTAAAGTACCTCATTCTTGACACTCCTCTTGAATCCAACAAATTATGTCTATTTTGAGTTGTGTCTGAGCTGAATCTGGCAGCAAGTTGTTTGTTGCATGCGTGTAGATTTGTTTGGAAAAGAATTGCCTTGCGGTTCCATAATTCTGTACCAAGATATTTCTGTCTTCTGGAAAATCCAAATCCTAGATAACTCTCTCCAGAATAATTCACCCACACCCCCAGAATTGTACAGAGCTGTCAAAACCCACAAATCCAATAAATCAAAATGTCTATTTTGAGTGTTTTTTAGTGACTTTTTAAAAAAGAATCCAAATCCTTGTCAATCGTTGTTTCTCACATGCCAGGGACACCAATCGTACTCTTCAAAAATTGATTTTCACCATCTATATCTTCTTTATTTGGGAGTCGGAAGCTGAGGATCAAATTAGCCGAATGAGCATTAAATACATAAGTCACATTATTCCAACTTACAGTTGACACACTGTTCTGGGTTCGAATCCCAGCATAGCACTTGGACATTTATTTAAGAATAATTTGGAAAAAAAGTACATTAAAGTTCTGTCTAATCATCCTTAACATCTAATGAGTAGTTGAATGTTAAAAGTTGGTTTGACTATAAAGAGACCATTCCTAGATTTTGACAGACCAAAACACCTGGATGGTAATTCTGTCATGTACAGTTGTATATGTACCATGAACCATCCCCAACTTATTACATTTATTTACCACACAAATGCTTATAAGAACATTTAAGTTGGTCTCTGTTAATGTTGATCGGTAAAGTGCCAAAATAACAATAATTCAGTGTTTATTTATGTATATATAAATATTCCATTAAAGTATGTTAACACGATAACATTTTTTCCCCCTTTCAAAGAACATAAGTTAAGCATTCACAAAACAAAGACTGTAACCCTTGGAAAATTTTCATAGGCAATATAAATTGTTAAAAAAAAAATCTATTGGAATTCAAAATCGATTAACACCCAATAACTTATTTAAGATTGTGAAAATTGGCACACTTGAATTAAAGTTGAATTGTTGTTGTTTTTTGTTTTTTTACTCTAGGGAAGCAAACAAGTGCACTGTTCATTTTCACAAGAGGGAAAAAGTCAGATTAGATAATGAACAGATAGCAAATATTTTATCATGAAAGTTTTGATATATGACAGCTGTCAAATGCAAACCAACGTCAAATGCCATCAACGTCAAATGCCGAGATTATATTAAATATCATTGAAACATTACTTTGTTCTCTCCATTAACTTTTGATTGCTTATTTCCTTGTTTACCAGGAGGGATGATATAAGTCATTGTCCTCATAAAAAAGTACTCAATATCCAGTAGAAGATTCTATCGTGTATATTTGATTTCAGGTTTTACTTTTTACCTTCAGGGTTCTTCTGGTTGCCATAAGTAGTTTCTCTTGTAAATTTGAGGATAGGTTTTTTCCCCTCAGGAGTGTGGACAATGATAGTGAAAATTAGTCATAAATCGCAATTTCCACCCAGAGAAGTTTAACTTTAAACACACTTTTTATAGTGATAATAATATAATTTTTCAGTGCACTTATGTTTCTCAAAGTACACATAATTTAATCGTTCATTTACTTTCTTATACAAGTACTGAAGTTCATTTACTTACTATTAGGGACCGGATTTTATGTATTCATATTTTTTTTGAGCCTTGTACACCATTTTTGAAACTTTTATTTGATGTTGTTTCGCGCTATTTAAAAGCAAATAATTACATATTTTACCTTAATTTTTATATTTTGGCCCATAAAATAAACAATAAAACAAAAAAAAAGTTATTGAAAATTTTAAAAAAAATTAGCAACAATATAATAAGGGTTACTAAAGAAACAATAAACTTTTTACAAAAAAGTCGATTGACATACTCACCCCACCTTCATTATTTCTATGTAAACAATAAATGTCGAGAAACTTAAAAAATGTACGTTAAATCAAATAATTTTGAAGATTAAAGCTTTCAATTTTTATTGTTTATTGACAAAAATTTAATAGTGTAAGTTATTTCAAACGTATTTGAAAATTAAAGATTTATTTTCTATTTTATTAAATTGTTAAATTCTTCCTTTTATTAACGATTATTCGGAGATCGTGAGATGCAGTCTGGTGTGACGTAGGTTTTAGAAAAACATTTTCTTTATCAAGCCAACGTTTTGATCTTTATTGAGATCATCTTCAGGGCATTGTTTGAATTTAATAAATACATGTAGGATGTGGAAAGAAAAAAAAAGAATTTATACAATGCAAAAAAAAAGTTTTTATATTCAATCAAAGATTTGTACTCAGTGAATGACAAAATTATACAGAAAACAAACACTTTGAGTGAGTACAAATACTTTGATTGAATATAAAAAAAATTTTTTTTTTTTTTTTGCATTGTATAAATTCATTTTTTTTTTCTTTCCACATCCTACATGTATTTATTAAATTTAAACAATGTTTGTAAATCCCAGGCACTGAAGATGATCTCTATAAAGTTCAAAACATTGGCATGATAAAGAAAACGTTTTTCTAAAACCTACATCACACCAGACTGCATCTCACGATCTCCGAATAATCGTTAGTTACAAAATTGAGATGGTCAAAATAGTAACATGCTACTAAGCACATTATATATAATGAATCTCATACACAAGCAATAATTCAGTTTTATCATTTATGTCATTAAAAGAAAATATTATTTTCAGAGACTTGAGCAAAAACAGCCTTCACGGCCCTAATGTTTCTGAAGCGCTAAGTCATTATCAAGAGTTAAATGAAATGTAAGATATCTTCTTTACTAATTTTTAGTTACATATAATTATAAGTTTTTACATGTAATTTTTACTTTTTTTTACAGCAAACTTGATCACAATGAATTTACTTTTATCCCTATTGAAAATACAATGCACAACCTAATTTCTTTTAGCATGTAAGTACCATTTAATACATATTTTTTAAAAAACTACTATTACCACTACTTCTTCCATAATAATAATTAAATAAAATATTTTTAGCACTCATAATAAAATAAAAATGTTTCCTGATCATTTTTGGTCCAATGTACCGAAGTTGATTAGTTTAGATGTTAGTCATAATGAGCTCAGCATCATCACTCCAGGCATGTTAGTTAAGTCGGCTAGCCTTACGACATTGTAAGTACTTCTGAATTGAAAAAGTCTGTGTGTGACCAACTATTAAAATCTAAATTTGTTTTCAGAAAAATTGACAACAACTATCTGATAGACATACCTATAGCAGATCATGTAGAAAGTCTTACTACCCTTAGCTTGTAAATATTCAAATTTTATTTTCTTTATTTTAAGCCGTACAATTAATTTTTATTATCTTTATTTAGGGCGCACAACAAAATAAGTCAGTTCCCACCTATGTTATGGGAAAATCTTCCAAAACTTTCAAACTTTGATATCAGCTACAACGATTTAACTGTTATTGGTCCAGAAATGTTTTCAAAAGCAACTCATTTATCTTCACTGTAAGTTCATATAATCTAACGTGCAACGTCAACGTGAGAGAGAAACTTGGTCAGCTCATATAATCTTATCATTTTAGAAATTTGAACAACAACAAAATTTCATCTATAAAAAATGGAAGCTTCAGTGCGATGAATAAGTTAACAGATCTTAAATTGTCAAAGAACAACCTGCTACATCTGAAAAAAGAAACATTTAGAAACCTTACCAATCTAAAAAAACTGTAAGCTTAAATATTCACGTCTTAATGTCTTAATATGAATTTGTTCATTTTAATTAATTAATCAATGAAATTATAATTCCAGCGAATTAAACAAAAATGCCTTATCTACAATTGAAGGATTAACGTTCAAAGGTCTAGACAAGTTAATTGTTTTAAAAATCAGACAGAACCCTATAACTACATTGCAAGATGGTGCTTTTTGGGGACTTCATAAGCTTCAGATTTTGTAAGTAATGTCTTTATATATTTACTTTCATTTCTAGAGGATTTTTGTTGAAACGCTTTTAAATATTACGATATTAACGATTGTAAGTTAAATTGGAATTTCATTCATTTGTTTATTCTTATCTTTAGAAAACTGGATCACAATGACATTAAAACCATATGGAAAGGGTGGACATATGGACTTGAATCGTTACAAGAATTATATCTTAGTCACAACAAAATTCATATGATATACGACGATTCTTTAGATGCTTGTAAACACCTTCTTCAGTTGTAAGATCATTTGCGATAATTTTCGTCAAAATATCTTTATTAATGTTGCTAAAAATGTTTTCAGGGACCTTTCAAACAATGAGCTCACTGTGATAAAACCATCGTTTTTCAAAGGTTTAGAAAAACTAAAAAAACTAAAACTTGATGGAAATAAAATATCAACTATCGCTGAAGGCGCTTTTATTTCTACACCATCTTTAGAAGTTTTGTAAGTTTGCGTGTGTGCAATTACAAACTGAGTCATCGTGCTATTTTTTTTCTCTGATTATTTGTCTTTTGATTTCAGGGAATTGAATCATAATTGTATTAATTGGATTATTGAAGATATGAGTGGTGTTTTCTTTGGCTTGAAACATCTTAAAAAGCTTGGATTAGCTGCTAATCAAATCACATCAATTAATCAAAAAGCATTTGTGGGCCTAACTAGTCTAACTCAATTAGATTTAAGTAGTAATCTTATAAAGACGATTCAGGACAACACATTCGGCCACATGCCTTTGTCTGTTTTGACGATGAACACAAGCAGTTTACTGTGTGATTGTAACCTTGTTTGGTTATCTAATTGGATCCAGGCTTCATCGTTGAAGTTTTCCAATGCTTACTGTGATTATCCAGAAGCCCTCAAAGGCAAACTACTTGTGGACATCCCCATTGAGCAACTCCTTTGTTGTGAGTATAATTTTTTTTTACAATATCCATCGTAGATACTCATAAAATTATTCCTTCCAGCCAATTCGGCTTCGTTCCTCATCATTCCACAATCGAACAAGTTTTTAGAGTAACTGCTTTAAAAGATCTTATTTTCAGTTTTTTTTATTTTTTTTTTATTTATTTTTATTTTTTAATGATATGGATTCCAAGCATTAAACGCTCATCATCAGGTTGATGATTTTACTCTTGATGATCACTCTTACAATTCATTTCTAGAGATTTGTTTGTGATACCTTTGAGTTGATGATGAGTTTGTAATGCTTGAAATCCAGGTCATTAAAAATCACCTTATGCTGAAATCCTGTCGACCACTGCTTCAGTGTGAAGTGCAGCAACGAGTTCTTGAAAGTCAGAGAGTACAATCCACCCAGAAGGAGCATTCTTGGTCTCATTATATATACAGCTGACTTACTATATACACTAATACCAATCACTGGTATACCACCGCAATTTTGTCCTCTTAACTAAAATCCTATCCAAGTTACCCTCAAACACCCAAGAATACCTTGAGCATATCAAAGACTGATCTGTTCGATACAGGATGAATTCTGGGAATGACACCATGCTGCGCAATGTCACCTTCATAGAGGAAAAGTATCAAGTGACCGAACATCCCAAGCGACTAAAAATCGGTATCTCATACCGGTCACTTGCCAGTGCTGTCTGAATGGCTGTTTCTGTCCCTACATTACATCGATCTCCTTGAAATCAATCTCTGCGAACTAATCTTCTTAAACTTTTAGCAGTGCCTTTTTTTAATTTATCAAACCAACCTTCGCCAACAAATGCATATACTTATAATTTTTTTCTGTAATTTTTTAATGGATTCATAGTATTTCTTAAATTATATTTGTGATATTTTGCAGTGGAAAATGATAGCCCTAAACCAATAATTACCGAAGGCCCGAAATCATCTGTTGCCGTATCTGGCAAAGAGGTCAAATTATCTTGCCATGCTTCCTCTTCTTCGAACTCATCTTTGAATTTCAAGTGGAAAAGAAACAATGATGATGTCACTGTTCAACACGCTACAGCCATAAACAATACATCTTATCTCATATTTTCAAATGTCGAGTTGTCACATGCTGGGAAATATCAGTGTATTGTTTCTAATCGTTTCGGAACATCATATTCTGAGAAAGCTACCCTCAGTGTTCTAGGTATATTTTGTAATAACTGATATAAAGAACCAAATCATCAGTTTTTATAATCTTGAATTTATCGTTGTTTTTCTTACAGTTATGCCTGTAATGACTAAGAAACCAGTGAATGTAACAGTAAGAGCTGGCAGCACAGTTAAATTAGAATGTGCTGCTAGTGGAGAACCAATACCTCAAGTTGGCTGGAGAAAAGATGGTGGCACGGAATTTCCTGCAGCTCAAGAAAGAAGGATGCACGTTATGCCTACAGATGATGTATTCTACATTGTGAATGCCAAGCCGACCGATTCTGGCTTGTATTCTTGCATAGCAAAGAACGCTGCTGGAACGGTTATGGCAAATACAACATTGACAGTTCATGGTAAGGCATGTTGCATTTTACATTAAACTTAGGTTATACCCTTACAGATTTGTGAATAAATATATATATATATTTTAATTTTTCCTCAATTGAACATTTACAGAAGCCCCTTCTTTCATCAAAAAGATGGAAGACATTGAAGTCGGTATTGGGAAAACTACAGTGTTGGAATGCATGGGTAGTGGCTGGCCTAAGCCTAAACTTCGTTGGTGGAAAGATGGTGTCTCAATTACCCCTGGCCATAGACATATTCTAACAGCTGATGATCAACTTTTAATAATAATGGATGTAAAAAGTGCCGATGCCGGAGTTTATCAATGTGAAATTACTAATTCACTCGGAACGGAAAAATCAACAGCCCAGTTAGTCATTGCACCAGGTACATTAAAAGCGATATTAATTCACAATACCCCTCGAAATATTTTTGAGCTTGTAATAAGTTTATAAGTTTATGTTCTTGTTTTTAGCATATAGTGCCACAGCGGACAACATGACTGGTGTTATTATCATAACTGTAGTTTGCTGTGCTGTAGGAACTTCTGCTATTTGGGTTATCATTATTTATCAGACCCGGAAGCGATTTCAAATAAATGAAATGGCCAAACCGGTTGGTAAGCTAACCCATTTAGATAATAAATCAGAACACTCTGCATCTAGCAAAGACAGCGGTACAGGTGATTCCACTAAAAGAAGTTCTGATGAGATCAACATAGAAAACAGTAAGTAACTAATAAACACCATAGAACACACTCAACTAGAAAAATTGGTGGAGATTAAAAGTCGTGACTAGTACGGATCAATCTAAGATTTTACAGCATGTACACGATTGATGTTAGCAAATGAAATATTTATATTTTATGATGATAATGGTGGCCGAGTGGTTGGGTGTCTGCCTCGTCAGAAAATACAATAAAAATTTTTATTGTAAAGTGATTTCTGATCTCATCTATGAAACCCATCGGGTAGCCCTCCTGTTAGACAGGAACAACTTCATTTTACTTATTTATATTTTATAATTCCTCTGGATCGTCTACATCAATTGGAGGCACATTTTTGATATTGTGAGACTGCGTCAGTGTAGAGTGCATTGAAATTGGCCGATCAATGTGGCTAAGCTGGTTCGAGATTGTTACATTTTCTTTTGCTTCTTTCTTCCTCACCACAGATGATCTCTCTGCATCCAAAAGTCCTTTCGGTCGATCACAATTTGGAATTAAGGTGGATTTTTTATCTTATGTTTTTTGATCTCGGCAATGGTTTTTCGGTTCCCAAACACACCTATTCTAGAAGATCCCCACTTTCTGAAGCTTTTGCAGGGTGTTGGTTTTTTTCTTTCTTTCCATTCTGGAATGACAGTATATAAGGAACGGTCTATTACATCATTCCAGAACAACATTCATAAAGGGGCGTTGGTGGCCGCAAGGTTTAATCTTTGACACGGCGCGTCAAGGTAAAGGTCCCGGGTTTGAATCCAGCGGCCCTGCATTCGAACCCAACATACTTACAAATGGGCTTTTTTTTTTTTTTTTTTTTTTTTTTTAAAACACCGGCACCCTGAGGGTTTATATGACCTCTGCTGTTGCGAACCCTCATTAAAAAAAAAAACATGTTAATTGCATTGGGCATATTACATACATTGCCATCACAACACCTATGAAAAGAATAAGAATCCATTGATTTTACTTCATTGTCTTACATGCTTAACAAACTTTAAATACAAGGACCACGGTAACCGAGTAGTCAGTGTAATAGACTGTCGGCTAATAGTTCCCGTGGTCATGGGTTCAATTCCCACCGTCGCCCCTGGCCCTTTTTTCACACAACCCTCCCCCCCCCAAAAAAAAATTTATCACATAAGATCAATCTAAGGCAATTAAAATAATAATAACAATAAAAATGAATCCAGCAGCCCTGCATTCGAACCTGACATACTTACAAATGGGCTTTTTTGCAAAAACACTGGCACCCTGAGGGTTTATATGACCTCTGCTGTTGCAAACCCTCGTAAAATAAATAAATAAATAAATAAATACTAAAGATTTGTTATTACTGCTAGTTTCGTCTTTCTGTTCACGAACATGTCTTTCGTCTACCTTAAAATTTACAGTATTGTAAAGTTTAAACTTAATAGAAACTAGTTTTTATGTGTGCTTTGTGTAAAAACAAATGCGATTGTTTTCTTTTGTATTTTAGGTAGAAATCTTAACGAGTACAGAGTTGAAGGACTGGATATAGTCGAGGCATCATTCCCCTTATTGAGTAGTGGAAAAAATATCCATTCGATCGAGAACGCAAACGACTGTTGCTGCAATCATTCACAAAGGCAGCATACCAGGAATAATCATGATCGATGCAAAAACCACCGCCCCTATTCTATGCCAGCAAAGTCTACAATAGTAACATCAAACAGTATTCCACAGCTTAATTCTTACATGTGTCTTTATGTCGCTCCTAAACCTACTCCTATTTAATTAACAGTGTATATATTCATTTGTATTATTTAGACTTTGTAAGTTTGGTGTACATGTATTGTTTTTTCTTTTTTCCTACTCCTACAGCGGTTAGTTAGATCACTACTATTAGCATTACTACTTCATTATTTATTTTTTTGTTGCTGCTTTAATAAATTTTAAGTCATCATTCCATAAATGTATTATAAATAATTTAAATAGGTGAAGCTGTTTTGTATGGAGTATAGTCTAGTGAGCAAGAATTATTCGTTTATATATAAATTAATGTCGTTATCGCCGTTTTGTCATCGTAACTTACTTGATTTGAGAAGTTTTAATAATAGAATGGGTCAGTTTCATTCTATAAACTGAGTATTAACTAGCTTTATGTGTTTTCTACAAAACATCTAGGTTAAAACATATACATACGGCATAAATAGAAATAGTTTAGAGAATTTCCACAAGTGAAATATTTAATTGAAAATATTTATAAATTATTTCACATTAACTACTTCAAATTAACTTAATGTTATTGACAACTCCCAATGAACTTTATAAGACAAAATTATAATTGGGACAGCCATAGTTTCATACAAATACTAGTTGCTGCTTACACCTACTGTCGGTTGACATACATTGATAAATCTATATATTTGCTTCAAGACCTATTGTAACAGTAATTATAAAATCAAGATCGTTGACATTTGGTTTTAGCTTTGTAGATGTAAATTAATTACTTCATTTTAGTATTTTGATATAATGTTCATATATGTGGACTTAGAAAGAGTTGGATAGAGCTTTATTACTTGCCCCAAAAGTATTTTCCTGGGGTTATAATTTAGTTTAATAATTTTTTTTTGTTTCATATATTTAATTCTAGTCTTGAATTATTTTGTTTTAGAAAGCCATTATTGTAATTTGAGTGCATCTTTCTTTATGCAGTAAACTATAATAAATTATGTCAAATTATCTAAATCATGAAGTGTTAATATTTTTAGAATTAGGTTTATCTGTGTTAGAATTGGATATCTTTATAAAAAAAATTTAAATAAGAAAAGTTAATTATGTTCGTAAATTTATTTTAATGTAGTCATGGCAATAATACATTCCATAAATTAATTTTTGTGATTAAAAATGGACACAATTTGAAAAGATAATAAATAACATCGTAGACAATTAAATCTTTATTGGTGTTCTATTTTGATTGAATGCATAGTCTGAGCCATAAAATAATGTAATATCCCACATCGTTTATTTTTATAATTTATTTTCTAAACATTGTAAATTTGTAAAACTAATCAATTTAGTTTAAACCTAAAATTATTACGTAACATCCAACATTTCTATATAAATAATATTTTGTTTACACTACTTGCAATTACTTGTGTTCAGTTACAATTATATTTTTATTCATATATAAAATTAAATTTATTAACATAAATTAATTATTGGAGAAAAAATATATCTCTGTCAGATAATAATTGTTTGTAAATATGCCGTGTTTGTTTTGTTAACTTAATTCATAAACTTGGATTGTTGGATTTTATTCAATGCTGATTCCTGAATAAATAGTATGTTTTCTACATGATTTTTTTTTCAAGATATGAAGAAAAATACGTTTCTCAAAAAGTTTTTCTGTCAAGTAGTTAATATTAGAAAGCTACAATGAAAACTCATATTAATGTGTATGTCAGTTTCATAACTGATGCTTTATGAATTCATTTGTAGTTTCATTATCTTATGAATGTCGCTGGTAAATTTTGAAATAATTTTGCTTTGCTTAATTTAAAATCAGCAAAATTATAAAATAGTTATACCAAAGATAAGTGTTTCACAAGTGCTTTACGCTCTGCCTTTTATTATACTAAATAAGTGTGCCTTAAGCAAAAAGCGCCTAAGTCCAATGCCACAAAGCTCTCTATTTTTGGGAAAATTTTTTTTGACTTTTGTTAACTCTAATAATGTAAACTGAATAAAATTTTAAAACGTGCAATTTGCCTTATAAATTAAATTATTGTGATCAATTTTTAAAATTTATGTTGATATTTGCTTCAGCTATAATATGAAAAACAGAACTATTGTAAATAAATGTAAAAAAAATATAGGAATTATTTGTTAACCTACATTTGGAATATCTGGAGGCGTTAGAAGGTTGTACTATTACAATATTATTTGTGAAAAAAAAAATGCCTGAGTAATCTTTTATAATAGTATCAAATGCCTTGACATATAGAAAAATGTAGTAAGATTTTTTTTAATTGTTAATTATGCATTATGTATGTTTTGTGTACATAGTTTGTCTATGAACAATACAAATGTCAGTATATTGAGATTTTTATATAAAATATAACAAAAAGTCGACTAATCTTGAATTATTTATTTATTATTCCTTTATTTTATTTTTTGTAGTCCATAAAAACAAACATGATGGGAGAAGCACCATCAGTAAAGAAAACCCCTATGTCATTGCCTCTTCACCTAACTTAAAGGATTTCCTGGTAGGGTTAGGAAGAAAGTTGTTGGACAAGAGGGTTTGGATGTGTCGAAAAGGTATTGTGGACTTTCTTATAACAAGTTCTCACTAGATCTTGACCTAATAGAATATGGAGGTCAGTGTGGATAGTTTAATTGGAGACGTAGAGGGGAAGATTTTGGATTGGAGGACTGGATACAGAGTTAATTGGAATAAGAAGCTAACAAATTTATGAAGTTTTTTTGCCAGTGTAACTTTTTTAAATTTTCCATGGCACAAGCATTGATGGCATGTATTTCTGCTTGAAAGACCGAAGTGTACTTCCCCAATGAGTTTGATTGCTCATATTTTGATACAGAAAATGCCCAATCCGGTTCCTTCATTTGGTTTGGGGCCATCTGTATACCATATCATTTGATTTTAAAGTTTAAGCTACCTTGTGCTTAAAGATTAATTCAAAAAGTATGTTTTTACTGAATAAACATGGAAAGCAACATGAGATCGGAAAGACTTTATCAAAAGATGTTTGAAAATTTGTGACCAATGATGGCTGATGGTGGTTATTGATTCACTCATAAATGAACAATACAATTTTCAGCAGAGACCTAGCTAATATTTACGAGGGTGTATCAAATATAAACAGGACTGATTTTCTTAAAAATGTCAAGAGGGGTCGTAGACCTTTAAGGTATTTGCCCACTAGAACGTAACATACTAGGACCGTGTCAGGCACGAAAAAAACCGCTCCGGTCACTACTATGCCCACTGCAACGGATGAACCGTGTTCTATACCCGTATGTAACACGTATGTAAAAACGTTTTGTAGCCGTCCTGCTTCAGTCGCTGTCGTACATTTCTTTTATAAAAACGCGTCGTTTGTGAATTTTTGTTTTCTTGTGTGGAGTGAATTTGTTAAATAAAGTATGGCTATTAGAAAATTATACGAGAATTGGCCATGATTGCCATTATTTTGGACGAGGAAGAAGAAAACAAAAAAACACTAGATGTTGTAAATTGTATAAAAACTCGTAATTACGAACATATTCTATTAGTTGTTCATCCTCCATTTTTATTAAGACACAAACACTCATAATACAATAAAACAAACACAGATCTCTTCGTCAAATGCAAAGAACTTGTGTGGAACGGACAGCAACACAGTAGGCCGGATGTGCACAACGGTCACGTGTCATACCCGGAGTGGGCCAACACCTGCAAAATATTCTCGGCAGCCGATTTTTGACTGAACGAGCACGGCACGGTACGGTGTTGGCCGGTGACGGAACGGTGTAGTGGGCATTTTCTAATACTAAATGATGTAAAGAATATTTATTTGCATGTGTCGGTACGGTTACGGTCCTAGTATGATAAGTTCTAGTGGGCAAAGACCTTTAAGGGGTTGATGTGTAGAGAGTATACTGTTAGGAACAGGGAAGAATCGACTGCAACTCTCCCAAGTCCCTTTAATATCAATAAAAAAAATGAGTGAGAAAGAAGTGCATGTCTCTGTGGAGCAACAGATTATTATGAAGTTTTTGACCAACGAGGGGGTGAATTCAACTGAAATTTTGGGGTGACTAAAGGCACAGTATGGGGACAACAACCAGTTTCTGCTTGGCACAAAAAATTTTCATGAATGGCATGAAAAAAGGTCGAGAACGAGAGCAACAATCGCCGTCCAAGGATGAGTGTGACCGAGACTACCATGAGGCTGCTTTTCCTGATCTTTTTATGCCTACATGATCAACGCAATTAAGGCGCAATGTTATTGTGAATTATTGGATGCTGCAAAATTTTTCATTTCGAAGGAAAAGGAAGGAACAACAGGCCAAAAGTTTAATTCTGCATGGCATCGCCAGGCCTAGTACACTTAATGCCACAAGGCAATAATTGGATGCAATATTGATTGATAAATGATAGAACATTCATCCTATAGTCCATACTTGTCACCTTGTGATTTTCATCATTTTAGAAGCACTTCGAGACAAACATATGCAGCTACAAAGTGGTGAAAGCATTTGTGCTCCAAATACCATGAGAATAACCCAAGAATTTTTATAATGACGCAATAAAAAAATAAAAATTTAAAAAATCCCAATCCGATAGATAAAAAATGTATTTTCAGGGTGGGAGAATATGTAGAAAAATAATATATTTTGTATAAGCTAAAGAAAATAGATTTTTTTTTTGTAAAATGAGTCTTTCATATTTGATACATCTTGGTATTATATGTATTTATTTGTGAGATATTTTGATAAATAAACGCACTTTTAAACACTTTTCAGGAATAACTACATTTTCATAGGAAGGAGAAATTTAGATGAATGGAAAATAAATAGAGCAAATGAATCCTAGTATACATAACAAATTTATTTTCTTTTTTTTAATAATTGTTTTGAATAATACATAATGTATACAAAGTTATTTACATTATAAATTTTACTTATATATATATTACATAAATAACAACCCTGTGTATATATAAACACCCCCTTTTTTTAAAGGCACTGTTAATGTCACCAGTCCCTATAGCCATATCCCCAAAATGTCATACATTTCTCCCTCTGTGACATGTGAATCATTATCAATGTCATTTGCTAATAGTTGAATTAAAATTACTTTACACGTACAACGTATTAGATTAAATAATTAAAATGACATTGAAATAAACTATCACATTATTATGGATGTATTGTGATTTGTGTAGAAACTACAAAAAAAAATTGTGTATGCACTTCTTTGAAAAAACCAAAAAGTATGCAGATTGTTAAAAAACTCACACAACTTATCACAAAAGAGTACATTTCTAAAATCTAACTTTTATCTGTATTCAGTTTTTAGATAGATTATTTAACAACTTAAGTACAAAATTCTATTTGTACTGATTGCATACAACAGGAAGCTGTCTGTATATATTTTGATACAAACTAATGAACAAACATATGGTCTAATTTTGATTCAAATATATCATTTTACCTATAATTAATAACAAGGTTTTTTTAAGCAGTAAATAATGTTAATGTGACATACTGTTATCACCATCAAATTATAACATATATCCCCCTTCTAAACAAAAATTAAGTTAAAGTCCATTTAAAATAAATATTCAAGTAGATAAAGTTTAGCAAGCTACACCCAATATTTGGCAGTGATATTTACTAAACCACTTTCATATAAAACATACCCCAAAAAATAAATCAATTTTAGTCTTTATACAAACTTTTTTTGTTTTGTTTTTATACTAATTGTAGGTAATTTAAATGTTAAGAGTAATAATAATACTGCTGTGCTATATAATAAACCTATATTAATACTGTATTTGGCTGTAATACCCGTTAAAACAAAGAAGGATTATCCATTTGATATCCTTAATTCTTGTGAAGAGCTCACTTTTTGAGTCTGTTTGTTCCTGGCTACATCATTTTCATTGTTTAACTTCTGAAAGCTTCCAGGATCGTCAAATTCGTTTGTTGCTATCTGCCTGTTTAAAACTTTGTAACTGCCCGCACTGCATTGTGAATCTGCGATCGACCTTCCATCCCCTTCATCCCTTCTTGACAGTTCACTACATGGAGAAGTACTTCTCGTCTTTCCTTCAGACTCTACAATTTCCGTCGGATAGAATCTCTGCAGTTCTGCGGACGATAGCCACGCTTTATTTTTATCGCTGTTTTCACTTTCATTTTGAGAATCGACAATTTCATTTTGTGGCAAAAGCAACTTGGTGAGCGGAGGTGCTAAACCTAACCCGATATTTCTTTCATGGTAGACTTCAGATATAGTAGGCGTCAAATCTCTATTAAGCCGAGTCATTTGAGTAGCCCTAATTTGATCTTGTATTCCCGAGGAAATGGAAGTTGTAGTCCCATCGTTAGATGACGTCTGTTCTTGTTCAGGTGCAAAATACAACATCCTGGGTGAAGTGATCAAATGTGAGTCGAACATATGAGCTCCACTGTGCTTGTCATTGGACACACCGTTGCGAGGAGTATGTTTCGTTCCAACACCATTAATAACATTTTGCGATCGCTGAGGTAATATACTCAGTTCTTCTACCAACTGGTTGTAGAATGGAGGCGGTGGAGGTTTTCTTGAAAGTGGAGGAAGAGGCGGAAGCCGTCTTAATACTGTCGCATGCCCTCCGCCTTCCCATTCAGTGGCAGAACTCGACGAGCACGACGAATCTGGACTCCTTTGTTGGCAATTGACCTCTATCTTTGTTTCTGCCATTGATGAACACAGATTTCTTAGCCTAGTCTGGTGGGCAGCTTTCAGGTTCACTTGTTGGTCAGTTACACTCTGAGAAGCAACAGGAGGGCTAGGAGTAAAAGCAGCATCACTTTCTCCACCACCTGGACGACGAACCTACAAAGAAAATTATTTTATGCTGAATAACGTAGAATTGTAAATATGTAAAAACAATATCATAAAAGCAATTTTATACTTTGCATATGTGGTGCTTTTTGTTTAGGTAAATTAACTATATTTAAATTGTAATCAGTTTAGAAATAAAACAAAAACATTCTCAATTTCTTCTTGTCCAATATTATATGATTTTTTTCTCTTTAGAAATGCTATTTATTTATGCTTTTTTTAAAAAAATACATAACTACTCACTACATATGCCTGATTTGTTAAATATTCTTAAAATGTAAACAACTAATATGCCACATAATTACATTTGATGATGTTTCTGAACAAGCAGTTCTCCCGTCAGGCTCTCCTCTTCTTCTCACATAGCTAGTAAAGGCACCAGGAATTCTATTGTTATGATGAATAATTGATGATCTCTCCGGGCCGTTTTCTAGAGACTGTAGACTCTCGGCAGAACTGGTCGATGCAGCACTGAGGGCCTGGGGTATTGACGTTTCCTCCTGAATATCTGTAATAATAACCAATGATTTATGCCAAGTTATCAATTTGAGATGAAGATTGAATTTTCATCAATACCATTGTTTTATGACTAATCATTATTCAATGTAATGCTAATACAGAGGCGTACTGGCCCCCAACTTTTTGAGCAAACACGGTGACTCAATAAAGGAAGTGTCACCAATTTTATACTTATTAACTTACATACTTCCAATATTATAATACAAAATCATACATTGCATACTGCTGCGTTACACAAAAAGTTAAAATGCAAGTACATAATATACAAAACAACAACACAATTGCTAGTGGAGTCATGAAAATTTCACTCATATTGAATAATATGAATTTTCTTTTATTTCATTATTATTAGTATTTTATTTTTAATAGGCCAATTTTAGAAGGTAGATGCATTAAAGATGATTCTTTAGGTTACTATGTTTTCGCATCCTAATTATGTACTTTTAGTTTTTGAATAGCAGATTTTCAGGATGCTGAAACACCGTAAAACGAAGAATCAGATTTAATCTATCACCTACCTTCTAAAATTGGTCTAGCAAAAGTAAAATAAATAGTTCATAATACAACAAAGAAGAAGCGCAACAATACAAAAAGAAAAAGAAGAATTAATAGTAAATGAATAAACAATTCAAAATAAGTTTATGTAAGTAGTACAGTTGACATTTTTTCACAAAAGCATGTCAAATTGGTCAAATAATATTTTCATGTGATTTTGATTTCCCTATCTTCCAATAATTTTTGTCTTTCCAATGTTGACTATATGTATTAGACGATAAGCATTTATGTTATTTAAAGTAAAAAAGAAGGACAATAAAACAAAGAGAAGAATTAATAGCAAATTAATAGACAATTAAAAAAGAAGTTTATGTAGACTTTTTTTAACAAGATACGTCAAAATTGTGCAGATAATATTTTTATGTGATTTCATTTCGCCTTTTCAATGTTAACTATATATGGTAAATAAGCATTTAACAGCATAATGATAAACATTTATGCTATTTAAAATAAAAAGAAGTACAACAAAACAAAGAAAAGAATTAATAGGAAAGGAATAAACAATTAAAAAATAAGTTAATGTAAGTACTACAGTGGACATTTTTTAAACAAGAACATTTTTATGTGATTTTCACTTCCCCATCTTCCAATAATTTTTGCCTTTTCAGTGTTGATTATAGAAGATAAACATAAATATTATTTAAAAAACTGTGAATATAAACTCACCAATTGAATTTGCTTTTACAACTGTTTTAACCTGTATACACTCTGAACTTCTTCGATTGTCATTAGTACTATCATTGGGATTTGTACTACTTTCTGACAGCCTAGGACTCTACAATAAAACATTGAGAATTAATTTTAATAATAGAAATGTTTATTCAAAAAATATCAATTACAAATGTTATATACATTACAATACAAAAACATTAGCCTTTTGTGCCTTTCAGCAGAATATTGAGAATTGTGTACGCGATTAAAACTAATCAGACGTGTAAAATGTGACAAGGCAAAAAGCCACCAACATTTGTAAACAAATCTCGGCGAAATTGTTTAAAGAAAGGAACAATTTTTTCAGTAGAGTGGGCAGAGTGGAATCTTTAATGAGTAACGGTGGAAAGTATGTTTAAATAAAATGTTATAGAGATAGAATACCTGTAATTGTTCAAAAGTTGAACCTGGTTGAAGATCAAAGTGTGATAATTTAAATTCATTCGAATTTCTCGATTCTCTCCTGATTGTTTCCAACAGATGGGAGGCTTGTTCAAACTGATTTTGTAAAGAATCGACATGACCGTTGAAATTCCATGTTGACGACATAAGCCTGTGTCTCAGATCTAAATTGTCTGCAATATAAAGTGCCTTTTTCAAATTGATAATTGCTTGGCTAGTGTTTCCAAGAAGGTGGTGGATACGACCTAAACATAATAAAGAAATGCCATTGTACCATAAAAACATATATCGATGTAATCTTTTCGATTTGCATACCTAATGAGCAATGCGCTACTGCTCTTGCAGATTTGTCATTCATTTGATTAACAATGGCTAAATTTATTTCATGGTGTTTCAAAGCATCTTGAAGATTGCCCATATGCTCATACAAACTGCCCAAATGGGAATGTGCACTCATCTGCATTATCGGTATTCCGACTTCTTCCGCGATATTCAATTCTAATTGCAAATACCTTAGTGCATTACTATATTCATTCATTTGTTGGAATAGTTGTCCAAGGCCTCCAGCAGCTTCACCCTCAGATACTTTATCTTTTGCTTCCCTATTAAAAATTTAGTAATGAAAATAAAATTAAAATCTGTAAAATAAGAACTGTATACGTACCGGGCCATTGTGAGCAGCTGTTCAAGACATGAGATAGCCTGTTCCCCGTTTCCTAATAGCATGTAAATATATCCCAGTTCTCCATAGCAGGACATTTTCATTTCTATACTGTTCATTTCATGGGCAACCACTAACCGCTTCTCAAAACATATTAACGCTTGTTCATAATTTCCTTGGCGCTTGTTAGCATGGCCTAGACCTCTGTACGCTCTTTCTAAGTCTCGGCAACTTTTTAATTTTACGGCTATAGCTAAATGTTGTTCATGGCACTTTATAGCTTCTTCCAAATCACCAAGCGCATCATAACAATCTCCTAAATTTCCAAATGCTCTCCCCTGAAATTATTATTTTTTCTTCAAATTTACTAAATCAGCACATTGGATCCCTTAATAGAAAGTACACTGCTATCTCCTTAATCCGAAATTCGGTACTCTGAACATTCCAGTAATCCGAATTTTAAAAAATTCAAGAAGGAAGAAGGCAAGAGAGGGAGAGAAGGTGGGGGAGGAGAGAGAGTGACTAAGTGAGAGAAAAAGAGTGAGTAATAGAAAAAGGGTGAGTGAGAGTGAGAGAGAGAGTGAGTGAGTGAGTGAGTGAGTGAGTGAGTGAGTGAGTGAGTGAGAGAGAGAGAGAGAGAGAGAGAGAGAGAGAAGAGAGAGAGAGAATAAGAAAGACAGGAGTGCATGAGAGAAAATGAGTGAGAGAGTGAGTGGAAGAAAGACAGGAGTGTGTGAGAGAAAACAAGTGATTGAGAGAAGGAGAGTAAGTGAAAAAAGAGGGTGAGTGAGTGAGTGAGTGAGTGAGTGAGTGAGAGAGAGAGAGAGAGAGAGAGAGAGAGAGAATAAGAAAGACAGGAGTGTGTGAGAGAAAATGAGTGAAAGAGTGAGTGGAAGAAAGACAGGAGTGTGGGAGAGAAAACGAGTGAGTGAGAGAAGGAGAGTAAATGAAAAAAGAGGGTGAGTGAGTGAGTGAGTGAGTGAGTGAGTGAGTGAGTGAGAGAGAGAGAGAGAGAGAGAGAGAGAGTGTGTGAGAGAGAGAGAGAGGGGGGAGAGGGGAGAGGGAGAGAGAGGGAGAGAGAGAGAGAAAAAGACAGGAGTGTGTGAGAGAAAATGAGTGAGTGAGAGAAAGAGATTAAGTGTGTGAAAGAAAGAGAGTAAGTGAGAAAAAGAGGGTGAATGAGTAAGAGACAGTGTGTAAGAGTAAGTGAAGAGTTATCCGAAAGTCCAAGACTTGTTAAACTACATTTTTTATAATTTTTGAGAATTTCTTTTGTTTGATGAATCCCTCACTGAGTACACTCAAGTAAAGTAGTGTTTCCAAAAAAATTGTAATGTATATAAAACAAGTTTTTGTTTTCAATACTTAATTACTATATTTTTTATTTAATACAGTCTGTAGTAAGCATTAAATAAGTTAATAAGAAATAACAATTCTTTTTATCATGGTCAATATTGTTTTTATGTTGGGCTCATGTGGAGAGGAAACATAACAGATATTACTCACTTTATCTATGATAGCTGTAGGGATTGAAAGTTGTTCCAGTGTGGCTAATTGCTGTTCGAGGAACCCGATGGCATCTTCATAATGGCCCATATTTAATCTAGCAATACCTAAGTTTCCAAAAGCTTGGGCTTCAACTACACTTTCCCTTAACTCTTTGGCTCTATCAAGCTGTTCTTCATAGCACTTTATAGCGTTAGTGTAATTTCCTAGTGACATATGTACTGCACCTAAATTTCCATGAGCTCTGCATTCTCCCTTCAGATCGTTCATCTCCTGCCGTACTGTTAGCTCCTGTAAGTGTTAAATTTTATTTACATTTTCATTATTTTTAATAAAATTTAAATAAATCTAAACATTTTATTTGGAAGACTTTTTTTTTGTAGTTTGCAATATTTATGGTGTATTACTATTATTTGTTCTTTACTTGAGTATGGAAAGCTAATGCTTTGTCAAAATATCTTAGTAAACGGTTTGCCAGGCCTAAGTTTCCATATGCCGACGCTTCCAAGGCTCTATCCCTTCCTTGTCGCGCAAAAGTGAGCTGACGTTGATACATTTTTATTGATTCTTCTAAATCACCCATTTTCATAAGCACATCACCAATATTTCCAATAGCTCTGAATTTGCCGGAAAGATTTTTAGTCATGTGGGCTATGGCTATTTAAAAAAATAAAAGAAATAAATAAAAAGTTAAACATGCCACAAGGCTTGCTGTATTTCAAAATTATTGTTACCTAAGAAGTATTTTTGGCAATCAAGCGCAGTCTCAAAATTTCCTAAAGCAAAATGGGCCAATCCGAGGTTGCAATATGCACGGCCCATGTTCATTTTATCTTGAAGATCTTTTGCTAGAGCTAGATCTTGATCGTAGTATCTTACTGCTTCTCTATAATTATTTAAACAATAGTGTGCATATCCAAGGAAGTGGCATGCTTTAGCCTCCCCTTCAACATCATGTAATTCCTAAAAGAGAAACCATTTTATTAAAAACAATCGTCGATAGTTAATTGGATGTTAGTTATCCATTTAGTGTTTATTGTTTGTCGGTAGTGATATTTATAAACAGGAGTATATATGTTAAACTGATCGAAACTTCATCAATCTGTTATGCATCTCAATGACGTCTTAGTCCGCAAGAAAGTAAACAGACCTAGAATAGTGATCCAATCCCGACCAGCTTAAGATGTATCACAGACATGCAGACCAACAACCACCACCAAGAATACTTATGTAAGCTTGATCTAAAAGCTTGAGTTAAAATGTATTTGAAGCAATAACTCAATTGTAAAATATTTAATTTAAAATAAAATCTTTCCTTGATACTAATTATTACATTGACAAAAAAATTTTCAATTTATTAACTATTATTTCACCTGAGAGAGCATCAGATAATTTTCATAGTAGGGCACTGCTTGAGCAAACTCAGCACGAGAGCTGTGGCAATTTCCCAAATTAAGTAAAGCACATGCTTCCCCGGCGGTGTCTTTCAATTCTCGAGCAATATTCAAATGAGCTCTATAATGGAACAATGCCATTTCATGTGCTCCTAATGCTTGGTAAGCTACAGCGAGATTACCATGAGTTGAAGCCTCAGAACTACGATCCTTCACTTCTTTTGAAATCATCAACTCTTGTTTATGGTATTTAATAGCCTAAATAGTAAAAACAGGTGCTTTTTCATTCACTAATCAAATAGGTGCTTACAAGTATATAAAATTCTCTGTTACCTGCTCATAGTATGCCATAGCACTATGAGCATTGCCTATGTTGCCATAAGCACGACCCATTCCGGCCTTATCATTTAAAGCTCGGGCTATATTCAAATGTGCTTGGTGGAGTTTTAAAGCAGCATCGTGTTCTCCTAACAACTGGTAGACGATTCCAAGATTCGAACAAGCTCGGCCTTCCCCAACTCTATCTTTCATACTAAGAGCCATTTCAAGTTGTTTTTCATGCCACTTTTTAGCCTAAAATAAATTTTTAGTAATGAATTCATTCATTCTCAAAGAAAAAGCAATTTAAGAAGCTCTTTTTATAAAAATACAGCGGTATTTGATTTTTCCACATACCTGATTATAATCTCCTGCACAGCGAGCAGCATGACCAAGACCTGCAAAAGCTCTTGCTTCCACAGCTTTATCCCCTAGCTCTTGAGCAATTTTTAATACATTTTCATGATATATAATGGCCTGAGCAAAATTTCTTCTGTAGTGATGGGATGAGCCTAAGTTGCTGTAAGCTCGAGCTTCTTCAACCTTAAAAATATTAAATCCATTACATTTAGTGATCTGATTGACCAAATTACTTCTTTCAATTAATTAATCTTTTTATGTAAGGTTTGGTTGAAATTAAAAAGTTAGTGTCCCGCTCGTGGCACTAAAGTTTTCATTTCAACCAAAAACTTACATAAAAAGATCACTTAAAAATATTTTTGAATAATTTATGTAACATATTAACACAAATATATAATTTATTTTATATTTATCTAATTAAATTTTATAACGAAGAGAGAAAACAATAAGATTATTTTTAGACAATATTAAAAAAAAGGAAAAATTGATTATGGTTTAAATAATTTAAATCAACAGAAAAAAAATCATACCAAATTGCCTAATCGTCTTGCTAATCTCAAGTGCTGTGTGTGACAATCCACAGCACTTTCAAATTCACCCATTGCTAAATAGACAGCTCCAACGTTTCCAATTTCCCTAGCTTCTTGCAGCCGGTCACCCATTTGTTTGACTAATTGCACGCACTGTTTATGAGAAGCTAACGCATTAGGATAATCACCGATCGCTGTATAAACATGACCTACAAAGTTGGAAAATTAATAATAACAAATAATTAAACGATTGAATAAATAAACAAACCTAAACTTGTTAGAGCGGATGCGGCTGCTTGAGTGTCTTTACATTTCATTGCTAAAACTAGTTGGTAACGATGTGACGTCAAAGCTTCTCGATAACTTCCTTTACTAAAATAAGCCGAGCCTAAATTCCCATGCGCTCTACATTCGCCATTTGTATCACCAAGAGATTTTGCGACAGCAAGATCTTGTTGCATGTAATTGATCGCCTGCATTACAATTTTTACAATTAAAATTTTAGCGTTGAATTTTTTTAAAAATATTTTTTAAAATTTACCTTATCTAAAGAGTTTAAGGCCCAATAAGCAGAAGAGAGTGCTGAAAAAACCGACCCGCGCAGCTTAAGACTGCAGGTTCCAATTTTCAAAGCTGATTCCAGTACAATTACGGCTGGAGAATATTGTCCAGCAGCTATAAGTTCTTGGCCAACTACTGATATTATTACAAAAGCGCATGTATCCAAGCGCATAGTTTGCAGTTGCTTGAATGTTGGCTCCAAAGCATCTGTAAGTGAAAAAATAAATCAATACTGACAAAGTCAATTTTTTTTAGGCAGAAAATTCAATTTCTTTAAAATAACACAATTGTTAAAAATGAATAAATAATATTGAATTTACCTCTAAGAGGAGATTTTAGCGATGCTTCGACGAGGCCTGATTGCAGTTGGGTTGATTTCGGATCTTGAGATAGACCCGAGCTAAATACGGCTAACGCATCTCCATGACGTCCAAGACACTGTAGTGCTACTCCTTGGCGATAATATGCCTGAAATATGTATTCCACATAAAATGACCCAAATTAACTAATTTACTTTAAATTATAATTTTACTTTAAATATATGTAAAATGTATGTTCTAGATTTATAAATAATTCCATTAGACTTCGTGGTCCGATTGACCAATTGTCTTTTTTCAATTAATTAATTTTTATGTAATTTTTTAACTCAACCAATACCTTACATAAAAATTTATAAATAATAATGACCAATTTTTTCATGCTGCTAAAAAACTGAAATTGAAGAATTCAAGAGAAATTACATAAAAATGGAAAAAATTTAGTATAAACAAGTGTCAATAGGATTTATATAAATAAATAATAAGAATAACATGGTAATAAATGAACACGGCAAAACATAAACTAAAAATATAAGAAATACATTATTTAACATACAAAATTACAGGATGAACAATGAAATTAAGATGAAAATCATAAATATCATTACAGTAATGATGTTAACATTGTACAAATATAGAATTGCTCATACTTAGAAATTATAAATGATGGGGTGAGTGTGGAGTTCAATCCTTTTTTAAAAAGATGGTTCCTACTCACATTAAGCAAGATTGTTCATACTTTGTTTTACTTATTGTTTATAAGAAAAGAATAAAAGTACCTTCGGCCAGTTTGGGTTCAGTTCTCTTGCTTTTGTTGCGTCTTGGAGGGCTTGTGCAAATTGTCCCATTTTTACATAAGCCGCTGAGCGGTTTGAATGTAAAATATGGTTTGTTGGATCAAGCTGTAAAGCGTCGGTGTATAAAGCAACAGCTTTAGCATAGTGTCCGGCTTGGCAGGCCTGGTTGGACAGCCTGACCTTTTCGATAAAAACTGCTTTACTAGCAGGTGGAAGTTGAGAAGTACCTTCTGGCTCAACCTGCAAAAATGTATAATATTCGTAGAATTTAAAATTATTTTCAGAAGGGCTAGATCAAATAAATTGATATAAAATTAATATTACAATGATTAATAATTTTCAACATGAAAGCAACGTAATAATTCAATGGTCAAATAAATATTGAATAAATTAACATTTATTTAATTAATATTAATAAATGTTAATATACTTTATAACGAAAATAAATCACTAACTAATGGCATTTTATGGATAAAAATTTGATTTTATTACCAGCATGTTTGCAAAATCTACATTTTTTAAAATGCCATATCTTTTAGTATTTTTGACAATAAGATCTCTTTGATTTGATAAGATCAATAAGGTCAAAAGTACATTGACTTTTAATAGTTAATAAATTTAACAAAAATAAATAATTTTTTTAAATTTGTTATTACGTAAACAAACAACAATTAAATAAAGGAGATTTAGGGGTTATGTCAAAATTAGACTAACTACTTTTTTAAAATTAAAAACAACAGTTATAGTATAATAAAATCTTACTTACAATGCAAAAAATTTCAAATTGAGAAAAATTAGATGCACTGTGTGAAAAAGATTGGCTCAAATTGAATGTACGAAACTTTATTAAATACATATCCAACTGATACATTTTTATGAATAGAAATACTTAAGGTATATAAAAAATAATTAATGGTACATAACAGAACTAACATGAAATTTATATAATATATTCCCTGCTTTGGTGGGTCGGAAAAATATTTCATAACCTTCAGTGTTTGACATACGTATATTTGATAATTGAAATAATAAGTAATTTTAATACGCTAAATTATTCCACTTAGAAAATTTGGTGTAATTAAAAAATTTTCTTTAGTGACCTAACGGCTCTGTGTAAAATATGACAGCGAGAGATTATTGCATTATTTACTACGTATCAGCAGGACTAAAATAAATTTAGAAAACACATTTCTTTTTGTTCAATTTCATACATATCTTATATTTTTAATGTATAATTAAGACTTTCAATAATTTATGTGTGCATTTATTTTAATCATTATCATTCATTCCTTGTCTTGTTTCAGTTAAATTCATGTAGAACTAAATTTACTTAATTTACAAGTTTTCTTTGATGGCTTAAGGATTCACTTCATCAATTAATATCTCCGGCAGACGGTTTTTTATCCATGCCGTTATTTTATGTTAAGGCATATGTTTTGTTTTGTAAACATTTTTTGTACTAATAAAGCATTATTATTATTATTATTATTATCAATTAATACATTATTAACAATAATAAACTAATTATTTTTTATTTTCCAAATCATATTGTTTTTGCTGAGTCCTTTTTTTCTAATTTATTATGGTATATATTATCTAGTCAGCTTTCCAATCAATGCTAACTTCTTAATTATCTATAAATTCTTACTCCATGTTCATTTTAAAATACCAAATGTGGGTAGAAATTTTTACATTTTATGTAATATTATGCTTTATTTTTGATAAGGATTAATGCATTTGAAAACTATCGGTTATACACTCAATGTTGATTTTATGTGTTACTTCCTTAGTTTATAAATATTAATGATGAATAATCTTTTTCCATTGTATGTTTTTTAACTTTTATTATTTTATCAGGTTCACATTAAGCCACCAAACGTTGGAAGAAAGTTTTATTTCTTATGTAATGCATTTTTCTCAATTTTTCAAATAAAATGTAGCCATGGAGAATTCTTTCTTTTTTAAGATATAACTGAGATAAGATGAGCCAATTTCATAGCTGAAAGACAGGTGATTTTACATTATTTGGTCAGGCTGAACAAACAAGTTTAATAATACATTGAAAGTCTAACATTTAGTTGACACACTGAGAAGCTAGTTACTTTTCCAAATTGTATGGCATGGAAAGTTTTTTGCTTCAATAGATAAATAATATTTTCAATTCTATTGTTGTTGTTTCTTAAGTTTTATTATCATTATTAGGTTCACTTTAGGATACCAAATGTTGGTAGAAAGTTTTATATTAATATTAACCGTTAATTAATGATTATATGGAGATTATGACTGAGTGAATACAAATAGTTTGATTGAGTCTAAAATTCCTAACATTGTATAAATTTATTTTTTCACACCCTACATGTATTTGTATAATTTAAACAATTTTTAAATGTTTATAAACCCCAGGCCCTGAAGATGATCTCAATAAAGGTCAAAACATTGTCACGATAAAGAAAATGCTTTTATATTTCGTGTAAAACATATTTTCTTAATTTTTCAAATAAAATATAGCTATGTAGATTTCTTTCTTTTTCTAAAGATATAACTGAGATAAGATGAGCCAATTTCTTAGCTGAAAGACATGTAATTGTCATGTTTTGGACAGGCTGTACAAACAAGATTTATGTTAATAACACTCAATGATGATTTTATATCCAACCCAAACTTTTTCCATCTATAAATATTATTGATGAATAGACTTTTTGATTCCAATGTTGATTTGTTTTAAAGTTTTATTATAGTTAATAGATTTGCTTTAAGACACCAAATGCTGGTAGAAAGTTTATATTTTATGTGTGGTGTTTAGTGATCTTTAATTATTGATAATTTGGAGATCGTGGCTGAGTGAGTACAAATACTTTGATTGAGTCTAAAATTTCTAACATTGTATAAATTCATTTTTTTCACATCCTACATGTATTTGTACAATTTAAACAATGTTTATAAACCCCAGGCCCTGAAGATGATCTCAATAAAGGTCAAAACGTTGTCACGATAAAGAAAATGCTTTTATATTTTATGTGAAACATATTTCTTAATTTTTCAAATAAAATGTAGCTACGTAGATTTTTTTTTTTTTAAGATATTACCGAGATAAGATGAGCCAATTTCTTAGCTGAAAGACATGTAATTGTCAGTTTTGGACAGGCTGTACAAACAAGATTTATGTTAATAACACTCAATGATGATTTTATATTTTACCAAACTTTTTCCGTCTATAAATATTATTGATGAATAGACGTTTCGATTCCATTGTTGTTTTGTATTAAAGTTTTATTATAGTTAATAGATTTGCTTTAAGACACCAAATGTTAGCAGAAAGTTTATATTTTATGTCAAACTTATTTCTTAATTTTTCAAATAAAGTGTAGCTACATAGATTTCTTTCTTTTTTTAAGACATAACTGAGATAAGATGAGCCAATTTCTTAGCTGAAAGACAAGTAATTTTCAATTATTTGTTCAGGCTGTACAAAAAAGATTAATCATATTGAAAGTTTAACATTTAGTTGTTACACTGAGAAGTTAGTTACTTTTCCAAATTGTATGGTACAGACAGTTTTTCCCCCCTAATTGATAAATAATACTTTCAATTCCTTTGTATGTTTTCTTTAAGTTTTATTATCGTTATTAGGTACACTTTAAGCCACCAAATGTTGGTTGAAAGTTTTATTTCTTATGTAGAACTTTTTTTCTCTCAATAGGTACGTCTTTTTCAATTATGGTCCAGTGTACAAATGAGTTACAAGGTCGGACAGACCATGTAATTAGTACGTAAATGGAAAGTTAATTAGTTTAAATTTTATTTAAGAATGACGGTGTAGTTAAGAGAAAAAATATTAAAAAGTAACTTGTCTTATCCGGTCGTTAAAGTCACCGAGAATGAACGGGAAATATTTGACAAGGGATGAGACAATAAAGAAATAATTACCTCTGATAGGTCCCTCTGCGACATTGTTGACTAAAAGTTGACATTTCGCTCACTTAACACAAACATAAAATTCTCTGCTCACTTTCTTATGTAGGAATTGGGTGAAAAACAAGTCAACGTAACGAGGTACATTTTCAGCCTGGACGGAGAGGGAGGAGCGCGCGAGGAAAAGGCGAATCGATCCGAATATTTGTATAATAGGTCGACGAAATTCCACAAATCTACAATGGATTTTTGAAGAAGACACTTAAAACCGTCGCGAGTCGATGGATGTCGGGTCGACTGTTATTGACTCGGCATAGGGTCAGGTAGTAAAACTTCGGTTCTGACGGAGGCCCGACGTGAAATCGGTAGGTCAAAAATAAGACAGGAAAAGAAAGATTGTTGAACTGACTGAGGTTTCGTTTCACTCCTCCCCTTGACCTCAAGCCTGACATTCCTTTATGCGGCCATCTTTAAATACCTCATTTCCTTTTCACTTATCCCCTTGACTAGGATTTCTGTAACGACATTACGTTTCACTATGACTGCCAGAACATTATAAAGTTTTAAATGAGCTGAATCTATATTATTGAAGAAATAAACGTTCCCAAATTAACCAGTCGTTCACAATACACGATTCAACATGAGTTCACGTCTTTCAAAATTGGGCGGGTTTTCTTTTTATTTGCTCTGTTTTAAATTTTTATGAAACCGAGCAGCAAACACTATTTAAAAAAAACAATCAACAAAAACATCAACGATCATAAAAGCCTATATAAATTTATCCATGAAAAGTAAATTTTGAGACCATTATAAAACTCTCGATGCCATCTAACTCATCACGCCTAATTTGATTTAGAACTACAGTGGGTCAAAAAGTTAGTCTCCAACTATTAATTTTTGGTGGCAATAAAGTAAGCGAATTAAAAATAAGATTAAAATAATAGATAAGAATATGAATTAAAAAAAAGTATTGGCATGTAAAAACATTTTTTTAAACAAAATTTATCTGATGATGATAATGGATATTAGGAGGTTTTTGCTCCCTAGGCACTGCAGCTTTCTGGCTTATTACACCTTCCTAGTTCCTTAGTTCAGTACATTCTACTCGATCCTTCTTCAAAGAATTAGTTCATCGACTGTCGTTGCTGCAATTCCATTTTTTTTTTTTTCATTGTATCCAAAGTTATGTCCCAATCGAGCAGATGCTTTGCATTCGAAGATGATATGGGTGGCTGTTTCTTTCTTTCTTCCTCCTTATTGCATAATCAACAAATGTTATTATCATTGAATATGCCAATGTTGCTTACTGTTTTCTCATATGCCAGTGACCAATAAACAGTCCTATCACTCTCTGAGTTTTGCTCTCTCTAACTGTAGCAATGAATTTGCCAGGAGGATTGGTTTAGCATAAGTTTGCTGTGTCTAGTGCCACTAGAGTTTATCCACTTTTCCTTTGTCTTTTTCGATCCATTCTGTTCTGGAGGATTCTGCGTTTGTTTTTGTTATCAAAAGAATAGATTCAAGGCCTATATATGGTCTTGCAGGTGATTCCTCTGGCCAGTGTGTCTGATTTTTTGTTACACACATACATACACACATATATATTTACTGTTGGACAAATTTAATGCACCACTCAATTTATTTACAAGGGGTTCCCAGGTTGGTGTGTCTCGGATTTGATTCCTTCTGGCCTGGCTGAAATTCTTGGTGTAAGCTAAAACACCATTTTTCTGAATAACTAGTAGTCGCATTTTCATGGTTGTTGATTTGTTTTAAAGAAATTGTCAAGTACATTTCGATCAGAAATTCTGAGAATGACTTCTTAAAAATCGGAAAGATTTTAGAGGTCAAAAAATCGATAAATTTAAATTCAAACAAGAATTTATATTTAGGGGTCTGTAGAGGTGCTAAAATGAAATTTTATATTAGTTTCACAAAAAAAAAAAAAAAAAGATGACCTTTAAAAATGTTTGGTTTTTTGAATTTTTTAAACTTATTGATAAACTTTGATAGGTTTTACTATATTTTTATTGCAATGTACATAAAATATTCTGTGAAATGATACATTCACATAGTTGACTTGAGTAGGTAGAACGGTGAAATAAAAATATTAAAAAATGGACAATTTCAACTTTCAAAAATTTTTTTGGTGAAACCATGCCCTATCCACAAGGAATGGTGGATACATGTCCAATATTTTGGAGTGTAGAATCACCAAATAAAGTTGGTTCAAATTCGTGACACACCAACCTGGTCGTCCCCTTGTTAGTTTAAAATTAAATCCATTATATTTCTACATTAGTTACAGGTAATTAAGGGATATTGCAGTCAAAAATAAACAGTAAATAATGCTTTATTTACTTCCTTTGTTTACTTTTATACTGATTAATCCCATTTGCTCAAAGATTAACATTATGCCTTTTCATTCTACTAAAAAGGAAGGCTTGGGGAAGGAAGGTATTTTTTCTTTATTTAAATTTAAATTTAATCTATTCAATAGGGAGCCCTTTGCCATTTACTTCTTTATAATAAACAATATATTGTAAAATTTTTTATATATTTTTTTATGTTACAATATATATACAAATATAAAGAATAAACAGCCGAGAATTTGATGCATTAGTACAACAATGTAATTTGAATAAACAAATAAATAACATATAAATAAATGTTGAAAAAATATATCTTTAGTTTATAAATTAATACAGGAATAAATAAATTAATTCTTTAATTAATAGACCAATTGCATTCTGAACCATAATGAATGAGGATAGAGGATTTTTCAATGTTTACGGAATTTAAAATGTTTATTCAGTCTCATTGGAATTCTGAAGCAATAAACAGTTTAGTTTCAATCTTTGTTTTCTTAATTTCAATTTTTGAAGTTAAAAATGCCACTTAGTGCTGAAGATGTTGCATGTGGTGTAGCACTTATTGATGATGGACGATCCATCCTATGATACTCTGTGAGACACTGTTAGATGTTTTCGAGAAACTGTGTCCTACCATAGAAGGCCCAGTTCTGGATGCCCTAGGGTAACAGAACCACCACCTTTTTTGACTTTGAAAATTTGGCAAAACCGACACCTTACTGTTGTTCAAGCAATTCATCAGCTCCAGAAAGTTCGAGGTGTCCAAATTTCTGAATGGATTGCTCGAAGAAGATTAAATCAGTATGGACTGATGGCTTTTTGCCTCATGAGAGGACCAGAATCGACCAGAACACAGAGAATTTCACAGCTCACATTTACTCGCATTCACAGACATTGGTCTTTGGACAATTGATCTCCAGATGGACGTAAAAGAGTGTGGAGAATGCGAAATGAAAGGTACAAAGCCTGTAATTTTTCCCAGAGCCAACCGTTTCAACGTAGCTCAGTGATGGTGTGGGCTGGAATTTCAATGGAGAGTTGCACAGAGTTGGTCGTTGTTCGTGGAGGGTCTTTGACGGCCACTCGCTATGTGGATGAAATTTTGGAACATCATGCGTTGCCTATCCTCGATGAAATCAGAAACAATCCTATTCTAATGCACGGTAAAGCCCGACCACGTGTCGCTCGCATAGTACAAACGTACCTTCAACAGCATAACATCAGGGTCTTCGCCTGGCCAGCCCGTTCCACAGACTGCATGTCCATCACTTCCTGATACACTCCATGATCTTGAAAGGACTCTTTGTGAAGAATGGGCTAACCTTCAGCAAAGAGACATTTTCGAACTGGTAGAAAGTATGCCGAAGCGTTCAAGATGTAATTAAGGCAAGAGGAGGAAATACGCGATATTGAAATGTTAATTAAAAATCTAAAACAAATTTTATCTGTCCGTCTTTTTTAATTTTTTTTTCATTTTCCTCTGCAATTTATATTTTTTGACAGAAACACAATTATTAAACGTTAAAAAACGTGAAACTTTGATTTACATATAAAAATATATACAAATCAAGTTATATTAAAAGTGGGCGGAATTTTTTGTCTGTCAGTGTGTATAAAAGTGAATGTTCGTATGTGTGTTAATCATAAAAACAAAAACTACAGAACCCTGAACCGGTTTTGATAAAACTTTCACACTTCTTTTTTTTATTAGTGACGGGCGGGTTTAGAGACTATAAAATTGGCGCATAATGAATAATGGGCGTTAGGATTTACAAAAAATATAAATAACACTTTTTATTATCTCTCTGTGCAGCATCGGGTTATAAAACGGCTGTGAGTAAATAAAGTTATTATTATTTTTTACAGGGGTAAGACGAAAGCAAAAGAGCAAAAAAAAAAAAAAACAGGGTAAGTAAAAGTTGAAAAATACAAATATAGTTGTTTTTTTTAGAATTATTTCATGTTTTGCATTACGACTATTGTGACGACATGGCTCTTTTAGCGGCCAGTGGCGGATTCCGCTGGAGTCGCGATCCCCGATTTAGAGTGCAGACTTTCTGATTTAAAAGTGACAGTCGATGCTTATGAAAATAATCTGAACGAGTGGAGTGAGAAAGTAAAGTATGAGGATGTACTGTAATAAAGTGAGATAGGTCGTTGTAAAGTGTGATAAGAGCAGTTACTCGTATAGGGTCGATTGTAGTGAGCCTTGGCCGAGACCGAAGTCTTCTCTCTTGGTTTCAACCCTTCGTAAGTGGATATTGTTTTGTTTGTTATATCAGTCGAGTGTCGATCAGGGCTCGGCGAAGGAAGGAGTGGATGGGAACGTAGGCCGAAGCAGGGGACCCTTGAGGAGTAGGATGTAGACGGTGGGAGAGATGGAGGATAAAGAACCCAGTGCATTAGGCTTATGCCGATGGCGTGAAGGTAATTGATTACGCCGTCCACCTTTTAGGGATATGGTTTTAAAGGAACTATGTCTCTCCCGAGGACCAGATCATTGATGAATAACAGTACAAATGCGAATATAACGGCGAAAGAGGGTTTGTTAGAAGCGCCTGACGGCGAGAACGAGGATAGCCTGCCTTTGAAAGGGACAGCTATAGAAGACCTGACGAAAAATGCCAACGGCAATTCGACGACGACGACCGTGGGCACGATATCCACGACGACGACGACGACCATCACCACAGTCAACGACGCCTGCACGAAAATAACCAACAACGGAGTAGCCGAGACCAACGGCATCAACAAGCTGCAACAGTCGAAGAACGGGTCCAACAAACAGAAACGAAACCTGCCGATCAAGCCGTACGAAGCTGTGAGCGATTACGGCAACCTACTCACCAATTACGAAGTGCACGAGATCCTTAAATTCCCGGAAATATATTTTATAGGTCATAACGCCAAAAAGATACACGGCCTCATCGGAGGGCCGAACAACTGCAGCTACGACAACGAGCACGGCTCGTACATCCACATCGTCCATGACCATGTCGCCTACAGATACGAGATCCTGAGGGTCATCGGCAAAGGCAGCTTCGGTCAAGTCATCAAAGCCTTTGATCACAAGACGAGGCAGTTTGTCGCTCTCAAGATGGTGAGGAATGAAAAACGGTTCCACCGCCAGGCCCAGGAAGAAATCCGTATTCTGGAACATTTGAAGAAACAGGACAAAGATAACACTATGAACATTATCCATATTTTTGACAATTTTATATTTAGAAATCATATCTGCATCACGTTCGAACTCCTGTCGATTAATTTGTACGAATTGATAAAAAGGAACAGGTTTCAAGGCTTTAGTTTGCAGTTGGTCAGAAGATTTTCACATTCGCTCCTTCAATGCCTTGATGCACTTTACAGAAACAAAATTATTCATTGTGATATGAAACCTGAAAATGTTCTTATTAAACAGCCAGGGCGCAGTGGAATCAAGGTAATAAACTTTTACATTCTATAATAATACTTTATTTTCTAGTTTTAAATAGTTGACTGCAGTTGTTGAACACGCTTTGACTCAAAGGGACCCTCGGATCGAGCCAATGTCGAATCGTACCATTTGTGTGGGTTTGTTTCGTTTCAAAACTTTCTGTTATACTACACATCAAACAATGATCAAACTAAAATAGACTTGGAAAAAAATTATTAATTTAAAAATAAATAATAATGATCTAATGGGTGGATATAAAATATTTAATGTGTAGTATTTAGTGATCGTTAATTAATGATTATTCGGCGATATGCGATCATGTGTGATGTAGGTTTAGAAAAACATTTTCTTTATCGTGCCAACGTTTCAATTTTTATTGAGATCATCTTCAGGACCTAGGATTTATAAACATTGTTTAGGTTTTACGAATGCATGTAAGATGTGAAAAAATGAATTTATACAATGATGTACACAATATAGAAATTTTAGGTTTAAACAAAATATTTGTACTCATTCAGTGTGTGCTTTCTGTGTGGCTGTTGTGTGTCGTGTTGAGAGTGTTAGTGAGACATTAATGTTTTTTTGTTTATATATGTATGATTTTGAAGGAGTTGGGAAAGATGTAGGGATAGAAATACATTTTTCTCTGAGGAGTCGGCTTTGAGGTGAAAGGGGCCGACAGTGGGAAAAAGGGTAATGGTTTGTCGTTTGGGCCTATCTTATCTTTTCAGGATTATTAGGGAAAGGAAGGATAAATGGTTAGGGATTTAGACTATGTAGAAATTGTTTGAGTGTGAAGTGTAATGATTGTTTTATATGTTGTATTATATGTTTTTCTCTTATTGATCTTATACTTGATTTATGATATTAGCATAGCTGCTGGTGAGTTTACATGTATCTGTTCGGTAATTGATGCTGCGTTTATCTCTGTTGGTGTAAACTTTTTTTTTTTTTTTTTTTTTAAATATTGAAAGTATATACCATTGTGTTCTATGGTTTGTGGCCATCTCAAGGCCAGGTTTTGGATTCCTTCGCAATACCCCTTTTTGAGTTTTGAACGGAAACTAAAATAATTTTACAACTTTATTTTGAGCCTCATCCAGAGAATTAAAAGTTATCCCTTGAAGATAATGAGCCATGAACCGGAACAGATGGTAGTCAGAATGTGCTAAGTCTATACTGTAAGCAGGGTGAGGGAGAAGCTCAATTCCATCCAATTCTGTAATTTTTTACTTCATTTAACAAGGAGCGTGTGGTCGGGCGTTAGCTTGTTGAAACGAAACCAAATTTCTATTTACTAATCTTGGGTAGTGCTGGGTCAAAACTTAATATATTTTTTGTAACTGCTCACAGTAAAGTTTTAAATCAGTGATTCAACCTTGTAAAATGAACTCATAATGAATTAAGCCTTTGTAATGCCAAAATAGAGAGCATTGTCTTTTTATCGAATTGGCATTGTTTAGTGACTGATAGAGCAAGTTGAATGCAGTCTAGCCATTGTTTCTTGGTCTTGGGGTTTCTCCAATATACTCTATCACAAGTAACTGTTCTTTTGTTGAACCGAAGATTATTTGGGTTTCTAAAAAGTTGTTAACAAATTTCTGCTCGGTGTCGTGTCTGCTCAATGGTCAACTCATGAGGAACCACTCTTAATGAGTGATTCACTTTCCCCAAGTTATGCGATATAACTATGATTTATGATGGATCGGAAAACTCCACGCTCTCTTATCAATTCCCGAGTACTTTTTGTTGGGTCTGCCTCAGCAGAGTCCTGTACAGCTTCTTCAGCGAATGATGATTTTCGTCCAGAACCCTCTTTCCTTTGAAGGCTAATGTTGCCGGCTTTAACTTTCTGGAACCATCTGCACACTGTCCGTTCAGAAAAGGCATCCTCTTCTTCAAATTGCCACGCCATACGGGTTGTTTTGGCAGTGGAAAACTTGCATTTCCAATAATTGCGTAATATTACCAAAATTTCTAATTTTACTGTCATGTTGTTTAACTAAACTTTAAGACAAAACTGAAGGCAAGATGAGATAATTAAAAAAAAAATTCATTTACTATAATCTTCAAATTAAAGTGTTATCAAATCTAATTTGATTTGAAAAACAAATTAAACCTATAAGGGATTACAATTTCCAACAAAATCAAATTGGACATTTTTTGTGACTCCCTTATTATATTGATTTTACATTCCATAATCATACTTGATTTTCTAGTTTTAACTAGTTAACTGCAGTTGATGAACATTCTTCTACTCAAAGTGATCCTCGGAGAACTCGGATGCAAAAAAAAAACTATTTTGAGAAATCGGTCTAATAACTTGATATAAATGTCTTGTTTTTATTTATTAATCACTATTATTTATCAGTGTTATAATACCACTATTTTGACATACTTTTGATTTTGTTTGTTTTGTTATGGGAATTAAAGAGAGAAATGGGACGATGAACTCTTATAAGTTTATTATGATCTATAGAGAACTGTTCAGACATGTAAACATGATTTGACCTCTGTCTCTTTCTCTTCTTTGTTTATTGCTTTCTTTGGATGAAAAATAATGTCTCAGTCATTTTCTAAATGTTACAATGAGTTTAACCCCAAAGCAGTGTGCCCAATTGGCAATTTCATAACATATGTCCAATTAACTTGTAACTTAGATCATATTAAAAATATACGTTTTGGCGATATAGAGTTGATTTTGAAAGCCAGCAGAGAAACTTTGCCTTATTATAGGTCATTTTATAAACATACTTCCGATTTGATTTAATGCTGGTAGAGGACATAGTTGTTTTATATATATTTGTCCTCTTTTGGCCATGAACCTGATCAATTCTGTTTAGCATACTTTCTGAGAATGAACTATGGGAATTTATAATCGACACATTTTGGTTTTGTTTTATACATGATTAATTAACTGGTAATGGAGTTCCGCTGACAGAAGAATCTCCATGCAAGAGGGCTGCAAGGTGTATTTTATTTTAAAGAAATATATGTTTTTTGTAGCCGTGTGGATAAGAGGAAGAATTCTTAATTTCGTATTGCTCCATGTAATTATTCAATTGTGTTGTTATGGCGATTTTTTAATGCACGCCCTAAAATTTATTGAAAATTAAATTCTTATATTAAAAAGTTTAGATCAAGTAAAGTATGTTTTACAAATAAGTGCACAACGCCCCAGTTTTCCCAATTTAATATATTTTCACAAGAACTATGATTTGGTTGTTTTCGTTTAAAATATCTATATATAAATTCTGAAAATTAGAGCAACACCCAAGAAGTGACAATGAATTGATGCTATTAATTATGGAGTTTAGGGTTAAGTTTTTTACAGCCCTGTTCGGGGACCCAACCATTTCCTGACCTTATCATCTCTTTTGTAATTAAGTAGTTAAATGAATTTAAATAGTGTAAATAATAAAATATGTAACAATAAAACATTTGACAGTACCATCCCGCTAGTGCCATTTACTTTTTTATCTCAACTAAAAACCTTAATTAATTATAATTTGACAGTACTTTTTCAAATTATTCTCAAATAAAATTCCATGGGCTCTGCCAGAATGGTCACTGCCATGTCCATTTAATCTGTAGTTCCCTATCAAGATATCTGTCAAGAAATCTTCCTGCTTCCTTTTATACATTCTATAGTTTCTTTCTTTTCAAATTTTGCAAGGACTTAAGGATTGCTAGAAATGATGAATGGTGGAGTGAGTGCGGTGTTCAATCCTTTTAAAAAGATAGTTCCTAGTCACAGTAAGTTGTTTTCCAACGAACCGGATTTCGAGCTTTTAGCTCATCATCAGGTTGTAGAACTCCTTCAACCTGATGATGAGCTAAAAGCTCGAAATCTGGTTCGTTGGGAAGCAACTTACTGTGAGTAGGAACTATCTTTTTAAAAGGATTATGGATTGCTTGTGTCCAATGAGTGATTCCCAATGTCCCCTCACTCACACCTTGCTTCTTTTTTTTTTAATTATCTTTAATAGTAAGCTTATATCACCAAGTGATTCGGGTCATATCAGGTGTGGCAGCTCCTTTTATATAAGGCTTCTTTTTCTCATTATACTTAATACATTATTAATATTAATCAGGGGAACAAAAATATGTTGTAAACACCCTCAGTTGTAATGTAAACATAAATATTATCCACTTACATATTGTTCAGATTCAGGTTGCATTAAAAAAAATATATATATTCTAAAAATTAATACAAATTGATAAAATAAATTTGAATATACATATTTCTTTTGTAGACTTTAGACTCTCCTAAAATCTAATTATGTATATTTTCCCCCTTCAATTTATAATCATGGTTTGTTTTACCGTAGTGCTTGAACGTCATTTTGTTGTATTGTTTCGGGTGATGATGCCAATTTAATTTTGGTGACTCACCGAAGTTTCTTCCTATCACAAGAAAGATAAAAACAAGTCCAGTAATCTTGTCTTTATAATGGCAAATCAAACAGGCTGTGTTGACCATTTTCTGAAGAAATTCTATAAATTGTTCCACAAACAAATGTCGTGCTATTTTTCTCCCATTTTTACTCTTCAAGTGTATTTTACAAAATGCATTACCATACATACACTTAATTATAGTTCTAGTGAATAAATTTACATTAACGATTATCCTGCCTTTGTCGTTAAGAACAAGTTGTAGTTGTTAGTTAACAAATATTTTTTCTCAGTGTTCGTGTCGATTAGCATTTATTATAAAGTAACCTGTTCAATGAAAAATGGGTGTGCTATTCTCATAATTGTATAAGTAAATCCTAGTACTTTTTTTGTAAGAATGATTTTCCTCACAAACTAACTAATTTATAAAATTGATTGATTCTGATATATAGATTTATTAATCGTTTTTATGAAACTTTTAAGAATTAAGTTAATTATTAATGAAATTAATTATTTATTTGTACTGATGTGTGTGCTATATATATTTTTTCTTTTGCAGGTCATTGATTTTGGGTCCAGCTGCTATGCCAACCAACGCGTATATACTTACATACAGTCACGCTTTTATAGAGCACCTGAGGTCATTTTGGGAGCTAGATACGGTATGCCCATTGACATGTGGAGCTTGGGTTGTATTTTAGCTGAACTACTTACTGGATTTCCATTACTCCCTGGAGAAGACGAAGCAGATCAATTGGCATGTATTATAGAACTATTGGGTATGCCTCCTCAGAAACTTTTAGATGCTTCGAAAAGAACAAAGAATTTTATTAGCTCAAAAGGATATCCTCGTTATTGCAAACCCTGTACTGTTAATGGAAGTACTGTATTAACTGGTACATTATCAAGACGTGGGAAACTGAGAGGTCCACCTGGCTCAGTTGGACTGCGCCAAGCACTGAAAGGCTGTGATGACCCCTTGTTTATTGATTTTGTAAGAAGGTGTTTAGACTGGGATCCAGACACTCGAATGACTCCAGCATCTGCTTTACGCCATGATTGGTTAAGGAGAAGACTGCCCAGGCTACCTACTGCTGATTCTCATTCTGTGGGGGTAAGAACACCTACAAATTCCTCATCGAATAGTAACACCAATACAAATACTTTAGGTGCAACTAATAAATTTAGAGTACAATTGTCTGATGATAGAGCTAGTACTATTCATTCTAGACATACAAGTGTACCTAGCAAATTACCACAGATTACAATTAATCAGGGTAGATATGAAATAATGCCATGACATAGCAAAGCATTCTCGTACATTTTAAATTATTATTTGTTTGCTCAAGGTATTATTTGTTGGTATATTTATTCGGAGCAAATGTTTCTTTTTAAATTATTTGCTTTTTTTTCATTGCGGCTGTAAATTTGTTCAAATTCTTCTAATAATGACTTCTGGTGTTCTTGCTAGTTCCAAATCGACAGCACAACATTAATTTTGTTTCTGAATAGGAAAATCATAAATTTCCATGTTTAATTTTGACCGTTGACATTTGAATTTTTTAATCATATTCGTTTTCTTTTATTTTTTCAAACCTATATCAAGCATTATCTAAAAAAAAAAATAGTATCAGTGTTGATTGGTTCCATGGCATTTATCGCTCAACTTTCGGTTATATCAAAATAGTATGATCTAGTATTAGAATTTTTTTAGTTGTTAATTTGCCCTGTGTATGTGTATGCATTTAGGTAGGCTGCTGTCACATATAAAAGTAACAATATGGCTGGTGGCAATTTAAAGGTTGTGCTGTTGCTTTTTATTTTTTTTATTAAATAAATTAGTTTGACAATTTTCATAATTTATTTAATAACAAAACATTGGCTGGCATTGTTTAAACTTCTTTTAGCAAAACGAATCAAATCATATTATCACTTTTGAACTCTAGCATATTTAATTAGAAGGTTGTATTTGTTTGAACTATATTTATATTTCTTTGAAAAGAGTAGATAATGATTTCGACAAGTACACTGTACATCCCATGCAAGTTTTTTGTATATAAATGCATATTTTTATACAACCTGTTTACTAATTTGTATGTTAGGCTTCCTTATAATAACGTATGTCATTGAGATTTGAATGTTTATGAATGTTAAAGAAATTTTTTTTCTAATCAAATTATAGATAAATTAGACATGTTTGAATTTTGTGAAAATATTGTGCTTGTATATGTAGACAATATTATTGGAAGCAATATTAATCCTTTTTTTTTTATTTGTCTGCTGGTCAGTTAGCCCACCAATGAGACGTTGCACTTAACAAACCAATTTTATAAATTGTGCTCAATTTGATTTGTATTTTAATTTAACGATTTTCTCATTCATTAGTAGTGTGTAGCAATACTACATGTTCCATGAAATTATTATTCTGCTTTCCTTAGTCAATTTGGGAGTATAGTCAAGTATAAGTGTGGAAAAATGCGGATTAAAAAAGTTTTTGTTGGCTTTTTAACTTGCAAAATGTTTCTCACTTAGTATTGCTAAGCATCAGAGGTATATTTAAAGGAATTAATTAATATTTATTTTTCCTGAAATAGGTAGTTATTTAACTTTTCTCTTTAATAAATTCTTCTGAACCCATGAGTTAAGGATCTTGTTAGTTGTAATCTTGGCCACACAATAATATTTTTCAATTTAACAATTCAACTTTTAAAAATGAATTTAATAATGCTGATTTGTGATGCTTTATTTATATATAATGGGGCGAATTGTAATTTAAATGTAACAACTCACTCTTATTGATATAAAACTGCCAAGTCGTTTTCTCTTAGCGACACCAGACTGTAGATATTTATTTATTCAATTTCAAAGACTTATGTAATGCAGTGGTGTTCAGTTCAGAACAAATGTCATAGTTCCACTATGATAAAATAATTTACAAAAAAAGTTGTTACATTTTAATAAAAATTGAGGCATTAATTTTATTATTTTAACCCTTTACTATTTTAAATTTTCTGTTCAGTGATCTAGTTCCTGTTTAACATTATATCACATCAACTTCTATCTAATTGTGTATTTATATATGAATTTATTTTGTCTTTCTTTAGGTTGAAGATGGATATTTTGTCGAAACTACTTTTGCATGTTAAACCTTTCTCGAACTAGATCTTCCTTTATCAGTCTTAACAAGTGAAATGAGTACCACTTTTAAACTTAAAAAAAAATTATATTTCATATAAGATAATAGTTTGGTTCAAAGGCTGATTATCCTTTATTTCCTTTTTTCATTTTTTATTATGAGTTTGTGTTATTTCTGTTCCTTATTAGGTTAATACCTGTGACAATTTAATGATTTATATTGTTTTTCATTTTTTTTTACTTTTGTTTGTGTTCTTTGTTTGTTTTTTTGTATGTGTGCCATACACTGCCATGTATTTTATTCTTAGAGCTTATCAGTTTATATTTTGTTTGATTTACGTATTTGTGCAATGTAATTCAATATTGCTTTATATGATTTAACATTTTCTAAATAAAACGTTTCTGTGACATTTGCAGCTATTTCTTAACGGGCAGGATTTCTGCCTATAATTGATGAATGGTTTAAACTAACTTGTGACTAAATTGCAAAGAGAGAAAAAAAAAATTAAAGTCACTACTTACTTGAAGAACATATTAAGAAATTAGAACTGTGCAATTTTTATATGTTTGTTGTATATGTGTTTTGTTAGGTGCTAACAATACATCATTGTAAGATATTGTGTTGATGTCTGCAAGGTGAAGAACTCGTAGTTTCACCATCCCTGATCATCCCGTACTACCCATATTCAGTTTCGGCATTTCGCCCTCTATTGTTGTTGTGTGTCGACTATACATCGAGGATGCCATCTGATAGCAATAACAGTGTTTGGAAAACCTATTTAGTAATAGATGAATCAAAGATGCCAACAGAGTAAAGACTACACCATTTACAAATGCATAATATAACCGACATAATAAAAGATACATCAACAACTTAAGATGGAGAAATCCCGAAAGACGTACAAATCGGAGTGTGAGAATAGGAATGTACATGATGATCAGAGATAATTAAACTACGCCTACCTTTTGTCATTATGAATCTAATTGACAATTAATAATCATTATTACATTTTTAGTGCCTTTAGCCAAATTGTTAGAAAACCGTGGAAATTTTACTTTCAGAGGACTAACAATGAATTATTATTACGTTTGGATTAAAATAATAGACAAATATTATTAATTACAGATTAATATATGTACTGGACCTAATCCAGAAACAAACATTAAAAAATTAAACCTTTTGGTTTTGTTTAAACATTTTTTTTTTCGGTGCTTTATATTTCCTCTAAAGTGATGTAATTTTAAGTTATAAAATATGTTCCATGTATTTTTTTAATATGTTATTGTCATATGATGGTTGTAAAAAAAGATTATCCAAGCATAAAATTTATCTACTGTTAGGAACAGAAGACCAAGAAAAAAAAGTGTGTAATATGCATATGTCAAAAGCGTTGTTTTTGTTGAATTTGGTTGCCAGTATAGTTTTTCATTTAATTGCTTATTATATAAGAGTTTATAGTCAAAATATTGTGATTCAATCAAATTAATTCACTTTAACACCAAGCATAATAATCATAGTATAGTGTTAATACATATCAATTATTTATTACTTTAACACCTGCGCTTTTTTATTTTTATTTTTATTTTTTTAATGTAGGCATACTAATAATCCATACTATGATATAATAATAGTATTAATATTATGTACATATTATTATTATTATTATATTATATATTATTAATATTATATTATGCATCTAATTAATGGCACTGTTAGCATAAAATGTATAATTGACTGATTTCAGTGACCTAATGATCTCAATCTTTACTATATGCTAGCTTTGTGTCATAAATATACTGTAGGATGTGTAAATAATTGAGTTAAGCTTTGAATTAAGTAAATCGGTGGCAGAATGTCTAAGTATTGTATATATACATTACAATGTGCGCTGAACTGTTGTAGGCTCTGATGCACAGTTCAATTATTGTGTATTTTCATATATTAGCGCGCCTTCTCTAACGAGAAGCTAATTGTCTACAAATTACTATAATAGACATTGATTGACTTTTACCTAATATGACGTCCTAAATCTTATATAGCGTGTAGTATGGCTGTAAATAAGCATTGTGCAAATTGGGCGTATTAAGCCAAAGATATTCTTTTTATGTAGAATTGTAGAGATGTTGAGACTAGTTTTAAAAATGCTACTTTTAAGTATGTGTGTTCACATACCCCCCCCCCCCCAATTTGATTGTACTTAATATGAATTTGTTGTCTTTGTTTTTACAAAGGAAACTCCAGTTGTTACTTCTTATTTGCAACTTTCCACTTTAAATATAAAAATTAAACTGGTTGTATTAAGCTCTTGCAAATACATATGCTGTGGTGTCAAGTGTTTTAGTAATAAAACCATTGTACAGGTTTTGTATTTTATTTTTTTTATTTACCCCTCATTCTCTAAAATTTGATAAGTTCTATATTGTTACACCTACCCCTGCATGAAAAATTGGGATAACATAATGCTGTTATTCCAACTGATTATTCTTTTTATCTAAGGCCTATAGTAATCAAATGTGAAATAACAACAAATTGATGGACTAATTTTTTTAGTTTCAACTGCATAGCTGATTGATTATAGTATCTTAATATATGATTCCCTTGCGGCCATCACATTTCTCTGGACTGTTAAACATGGATCGAATGTGTTGGATCTTGTAAGAAATTAATCAACTGAAGTACTTACATCATACTGGTCTATTTTTTTCTTTGGCTCTATTGTCAGACAAATTTTGCCATCTTCAGCTGGAGGTTCAGCAACTTGCAGGCCTCACAGCAGACTCATAAAGTGAATAATAATAGTTGACCATATTAATGATTCCAATTAATTATTCTTTTTATCTAAGGTCTTGGTTGAGATGAAAAGTTAGTGTCACAAGTGGGATTCGAACCCAATGGTAGAAAGAGGGAAAATTCGAAGGGATGTAGGTTGAGATGAGGAGTTGGTGTCAAAGGTTGTGAGTTCGAATCCCGCTCGTGACACTAACCTTTTCATCTCAACCAAGACCGTAGATAAAAAGAATAATTAATTGGAATCATTAATATGGTCAACTATTATTATTCACTTTGTGAGGCCTGCAAGTTGCTGAACCTCGAGCTGAAGATGGCAAAATTTGTCTGGCAATAGAGCCAAAGAATAAAATAGACCAGTATGATGTAAGTACTTCAGTTGATTAATTTCTTACAAGATCCAACACATTCGATCCATGTCTAACAGCCCAGAGAAATGTGATGGCTGCAAGGGAATCCTATATTAAGATACTATAATCAATCAGCTATGCAGTTGCAACTAAAAAAATTAGTCCATCAATTTGTTGTTTCACATTTGATTTCTATAGGCATTAAGTCTTGATATTCACGAGAAGCTGAAGATATGACAAAACAGTATATTCACCAAAATAAGTATAAAAGCTCAAATTTGCACACACGTACAAATGTGTGTACAGATTTGAGCCTATCACTTCTTGCAGTTCAACAAAAATTCCAGCTTATGCAATTTACAATAAATTACCGGCATGCCTCGAGAATCACCCACTTCAGGTGTTGGCAATCAGGAGTCAAACCTTGGTCTTATCCATCCAGCCATTAAGGTTGCTCTCTAGGTGCTATCAACAGCTTTGTCATTTCAGCCCCAAACCAGTCTAAATCCGAACCCATTCATACTCTCACTCTTAAGTACATTCTTTTCTATGTACATACGATTCACTCAGGGTGGTGAGGCACTTAATATTCCAACATCACTTATACATATGATATAACCTAATCCAATTGAGGGTCAATGGAGTTCTCAATGTGGTGTTTAGTGACTTAATTAATGATTAGTTGGAGAACTTGAGATTGTATGGTGTGAATAACATTTTCGAAAATTAGAAAAACATTTTCTTTATTGTGCCAACGTTTCCAGCTTTATTGAGATCATCTTCAGGATTACTCAATATTTTTCCATTGGCCTTTTTCATGCCAATAAATACATTCACTACTTGCTAGGATCACAAACCTATACAATAAAACAACCCTGTTTTCTCCAAAAATCGTAACAGGGGATCTGTATACTCGCTGCTGAGCTCAAGCAGAATTTTCATATTGGGTGGCATTCCTATGTGCTCTATATGAAGCCAAGGAATGGCACCCTTAAATTAAGTAGGTCAGATCAAGCAACCTTTCTCTCATGTGGGAACATGTACGGCCTTTGGCCCTAAAGTAAGAAGCAACCTTGCATGGCCTATCCTTAATTCATTAATCAAGTGAGGATGACCTTTTTTTTCTACGATTCAGATGCTACAAAGGCAATCTATCGTCAGTACACGATAACTGAGAGCTTCTCTACCGATCCAGCCACCGACACAGCTGCTTTCTTTTATACATGTTTTTAATGCATTTTAGCAACAGGGAGGGGTGGATCACGGTGGTTAAGTCCAAAAGTTGGAACAACCCACCCTTAGCCACTTCATCCATCTTTCTGTTACCCTCCAGATGTTTCTGGGTACCCAGACAACCTTTCCCATATTTACTGACCTCCATATATGAAGGTCTTCTTTTTCTGTTTCCCCAGCTGAGTTATAACATTTTATGGTACAATAGTAACCAACTCTCCCTTTTCTTTGTCCTATTGCTAACCTCTCAGTACCTCAGGAGGACCTTGTCAGTTGTGAATAAAATTAGACAAATAAACAAATACACAGAAACAATATAAAAACATGATAGTCAGAATAATGGGTTAGCATTCACACTACCCAAGAGTGCTCGATATTCTTTGGGGAAATTGGGGATATGTCCTTCCATTCATGCTAATAAATTACATTCACTCACCAGACTACATTCGCACTTCCCCAGAATACTCAATCAATTGGTCTGAGCAAGATTGGACTAAAATCTTCTTTTGGGATGATTCAAGGTTTTGGTTGAGGTCTTCTGAGAGCTGAGAAAGGGTTTGAAGAAGAACAGGAGAGCAATAGATCCCCACATTTTCACTCCAGAGAAGATATGGAGGTGGTGGTGTTATGGTTTGAACATTTCTATGGATGGTCACACAAACTTGAGGGTTCCTTAACAGCTGTGCGATACTTTGAAGATGTGATACTAAAAGTTGTTCCTATATGCCACTAATTGGCGACAGTTTTGTTTTTATGCATGACAATGCAAGGCCCCACACAGATAGAATCGTTGGTGACTACTTGGAATGGGTTTTAATCCAATTTTTGGAGTGGCCAGAATGTAGTGCCGACTTAAACCCTATCGAACACCTTTAGGACGAGTTGTCAAGGAGGGTAAAAAGTTGTCCAGAAAGTTTGCAGGAATTAAGAATGGCGCTGTTGGGGGTGTATGGAAATATTCCACAACATATTCCACACCTCTTTCTACCTCATAAAATAGATGCCACGTCCAGTGCAAGAGATGGAAATACTCTATATTGAATTGAAAATTTTCTTTGTTTCATTAGCAACATTTTTCGACAAATTGTTTTACTCAGTTTAAGATTTTTATTACGTCTTGTATTTAGCTATATTTTACATTGTTTCTTTAAAAATGTTCAATAAACAATAAAAAATTATAACGATTACAACACAAGGTGCTGGCAATAGCACTGGTAGCTAGCCGGCCAGGGGGGATTAAATAAAAATATAATTATTGCAAGTATTTTCTTTGAAAAAAATTGCCTCTCAGTGTAGATTTGTTTTTCTGTATTATTTTATAATGTAAATAAGACACTGACAGAGATCAGCTAAAGGAAATGTAAGAAAATGGACAAGAAACATATGAAACATTCCAAAAGGTTATGATTTAAGACTGTCGTAGGGACAAACAAGAGAGTACTAAGTACATGAGAATTGAAATAAAGAATATACTTCTTTCAAGAGTAAAGAGAGGTAAGTTTTCTCTAATAGCCTAAGAGTTTTACTGCCTTTGTGTTTACAACTTTTTATATCTTTTGGATAAATTATACAACTGTAAAAATAATAACTAACAAATGTGGAATGGCCTACTGCTTTGTTTGGGAATGTATGTATAGTATTGGTGACTACTTGGAATGGGTTTTAATCCAATTTTAAGATTAAAAAATAACATAATAATAGTTTATAAGGAGCAAATAACTCGTTATCTACAAATATAAAATTATTATTCAATTGTACTTTTAAAAAGGGAATAAAATTATGTAAAGGGATAGTGGGTTTCTCATTGATTAAAATTGATTAGTGTACGACGAGCTATATTGGACTATTATATTAGCTATATTAGTGCATCTCCATTATTATCTAGAGCTCCTCATTAAACTTAAGCTTTTTACCAGATCAATAGCTTTTTCAAGGACTCCCATATTTATCTTTCGGCTCGGGCTTCTCCTTACCCACAAGTAGAAATCAGCCTACATAAGCCTATGCACCAGCAGAAGCCCTGTTTGTTCTACTTCCTGGCATCATCTTGTTTCCACCACTACGCAACTATACATGTGCTTATGAAGTCTGCAGTGTCCAGTTAGCAGTCCAACTATTACTTCAAGATGAAATTAAAGACCAAACTGACAGTATACCTAGGTAAATATGCTACAGTTTTCCAGTCTGAAATCATAGCAATTGAACAATGCGCCAGAGAAGTAAAAAGGTTACAAATACATTCCCGGAAGATAGCCATTGTCTCTGACAGCCAGGCAGCACTTAGGGCCTTCCACTTGCGAGGCGAAGGCAAAGAGTGTTTAGAACTGCATGGAGTCCCTGATGACAGTCAGTGACACCAATGACTTAACCCTGGCATGGGTCCGTGGAGGCAACCCTCAGAGGCAATGAAAAGTTTGGCATGTTGGCCAAAAAGGGGGCCAACATGGACTCTCTGTGTCAACCCTACTGTGGTTAGCAGCCTGCCACAAAAGAGGATAAATCTTAAAACGGATCCTTAATGATTCCAAAACATGGTGGAATAATACTACAGGTATGAGGCATGCAAAGAGATTCATAGACGGACCATCCGCAAAACTTACAAAAGAATTACTGGAAGGCAACCGCCACCGAACCAGGATTCTGGTTGGACTCCTGACAGGGCACTGCCACTTAAGAACGCACATGTACCAGATAGGAGTACAGACAAAAGAAACACTGTGCAGATACTGCCAGGAAGAGGAGGAGACCACAGAACACATTCTATGTTTTTGTGAAGGTCTATGTACGTGCAGGTTCTTGCAACTAGGTCAAGAAAAACCACAAGCAAGATCCTACACTAAGGAGCCGCTGGCAAAGCTGTGGAGTCTGATTAATAACCTTAAGCTGGCCAGTGAGTTATAAATAACATGGGAGCACAATAGATTTATTCAGGTCGAAGTGCAGTGGGCCTTGTGGCTGCCTCTTTTATCCCTATCCCTATACTGTCCTCACACGTCCTAGATTTAGTAGTTCTGCCATTAGTAACTGCAATGGACCTTTGATGAACGCTTTCACATTTATTTTTAATCCATTGTATGATGTATCCACGTTTTTTGCCAGTTTGGTATGCCAGGAAAGGATTCAGGGTGACCTCAATGAATTTTTTTTGGCCAATTTTGTTATTTATTTATGGATCAAAATCCACTATAAAAAGACATTTTACAATAATAAAAAATAAAAATAATACACAAAATAATATATGCAAAAAATAAAAATAATATATGCAAAAAATAAAAATAATATATGCAAAACATAAAAATAATATACAAAATAATATATGCAAAAAATACAAATAATATATACAAAAAGAATAAGGACATATATACATGGTGATATTATAAATGGTAAATATAAATGATAATTATAAAAATACAATTAAAGAGTAAAAACTGAACAACAACAGAAATGAGAGACCTAATTATTAAGGCAAAGGAAACAAAATAAAGCTGAAAGACAATTGAAACTACACTATTGATGTACTTATTTAATGAAAATAATGCTCTGTATAGATATATAATAAGACTAGAGTGCAAGATTTAGGTAACCTGTAAATGAAATAAATTGTAATAAACTTTTAACAGTATGAAATATAAAAGCATTTAAAAAATATAAACTGTTAAGAAAATTCAATTGTTGTTACTCTTGATCATCATTCGGCGTAGAGGAGAAGAGAGCATGTAGTTAGAGCTTTGGAATTCAATATAAAATAGTTTGTGGGTTTTGAGAGAATGTGAAAAGTCGTGGAGCTGTAGCTGAGAGAGGAGAGAAGGACTATCAATGAGATTGTTTAATAATTTAAGTACAGAAACAATATCAAAGTAATCCCTTCTTAGTGCAAGTTCGAAAAGTTTAAGTTCAGTGCGGATTCCAGGGTAGGCAGAGTTTGGAGGAAGATTGAGTTTGTAAGAAAATTTTTTTAAAAATTTGTTTTGTACATATTGAAGAATTTTTTGACAATTTAGATAGTATGGGTTCCAAACAGGTGTAGCGTATTCTAGTATGGGTCATACAAAAGCTTTATAAAATGGACAAAACAGAGGATTTTTAAATTCATAGGATGATGAAACTTAGCATCTTCATAGATCTATTTTTTATTGAAGAAATACATTCTTTAAACTTGAGCTTTTGATCAAAAAGTACACCAAGATCCTTCACAACCTCAACTCGTGTTAAAAGAGAATCATGGAGAGTGTAGTGATAAAGAAAATGTTGTTTCTTATGAGAGAATGTAATTGTGTAGCATTTGGAGACATTGAGAGCAAGTTTGTTATTAGAGCACCAGGTTAGCACAATATTGATAGAATTTTGTAATTGAAAGCAATTAGAAGGAGAAGTAATTTTGGAATAGATTGTCAGATCATCAGCAAATAATAAAAATTGAGCAGAAGGGAGAGCAAGACAGATATCATTAATAAATAAGAGAAACAAAACCGATCCAAGATAAGCCCTTGCGGGATTCCTGAGGAAGCCACAAAGGGACACTATTGAAATGATTTTACTTTGACTATTTGTTTTCTGTCAGAGAGAAAGCTGGATGACCAATTCAAGATAGTTCCGGTGAAGCCATAGTCCATTAATTTCCTTGACAGTATTGTGCGATTTACTTTATCAAAAGCTTTACAGAAATCAGAGTACACTGAGCCTATTGGTGTCCTGAGTTTATTGCATCTAAGATTTTGAAATCATCATTTTGAACCAAATCACTCCCCGAGATTAAAGGGTCCAAAATCTTCGGGTTTGTGAAAAAATCCAAGACGTTTATGCAGGACACATGAGCCGACCAAGTCCCGGACCTTTTAGAGATGGGGTACGAGTCTATGCAGGCATTTAACCCCTCGGGTCTTGGTCGCCCACCCTGCATAATATATATAAGATTTTGAAATTATTAGTTATCCCTCAACCCTGCATACCCTCGTACCCAGACAGTGGGATTTTCTTGATGGTCTTTGGCTTGTCTTTTTCCTGGGGTGTTTTTCCGCCCTAGTAGTAATTTTTAACTTAATCCATTTGAAATTGATCTTGTTTTGTGGTAGTTTGAAATTTTACAGGGTTCTGGTCCTACCTGGTGTTGCTGAGGTACCCTCAATTTTTTTTTAAAGTGGTTTTTGCACATTCGACTTTACAAATATCTCTTGATTGATGAATTGAATGTTATCGCAGTATTCAGTACAAAACTGAACAAGTCACCGCTTTTGTACAAGCTACATCACAGATTTTGTGACACATTGATATTGTGTCAGAAGGTGGGAGTTAAGGCTGACTCATCGGTGACATGCAATCACCAACTCGGCCATGGTTCCGGCTACCGTTTGACAGTTTTTAACTTTTTAGTCTTTTTACTCGGTTTTTCCTTTATTTGGTTGAAATCGTTCTCGATATTTTGCCTGACGATGCGATTCAACGAACACCAACTTCATTTAATAAGCCAGGAAAAACCAGACTACGAGGACAGGCTCAGCTACATCCAGCTTAACAGTAATTCTCCTAAAAGTGAGTTTTATTTAATATTTGTAAAAACTACATCTCTGAACGAGTGTTTTTTGTGTGAAAAATTAACCAAAGGAAACCGCTTTTGCCACAGGGCATTGGATGTTAGAAAAATAAACGATTGTGTGTAAATATTTCACCTTGAACAAAGTCTTCGTAGATTGATGTGCGGCTTCTATTTTTATTGGTTTAGCTGTGTATTTCAATTTTCTAATCCGACTTCAATTTGAGATTTTTGGCCAGTGGTAATAAGTCTGTTAAGTCAGTTGTTTAACAACAATAACAACAGGCTCTGGGCTCCCCTATATATTTAATTTTTTGTATAAAACTATTCATTTAGGTGATTTTATGGTCTAATGACCGTATCCTCAATTAATGGTGATGGGTTTTATAGGCGGACTTTGAAGATTGTAATGAGCTGGTATACATACCAAGCACATGGAGTACGTAAAAATTACACTGAGACATACAGACCGATTAGTCTAACATACTTTTTACTCAAACCACTAGTTGACAAGCTCGTAAGGACTCCCTAAAAGAAAAATCCTGAGAATCAGCATTATATCGAAGAATAACTGTAAAAAATAAGATTTGCTGAACAACTGAGAAATAGCATTAGGAACTTTCTTGGACATTGAATGACCATTTTATAATAGTCGTTTTCAAGCAATGGACATCATTGAAACAGCAAGGAACTGACAAAACCTGCTGCAAATGGATAGAATCAATCCTAAAAGGCAAATAAGTGCAGACCTCCATTTTCCAGGTAGAAGAAGAGGTAGCGAGAGGATATCCGCAAGGAGGAATACTCTCATCTGTGCTGTGGAATATGATTAACCTCATATGCAAACTAATAAATAATTAATCTTTATGGTCTTAAAAGTATTGGTTGAAATGAAAAAGTAAGTGTCACGAGCGGGATTTGAACTGGATCTAATAAATAATCTATACTCAAGGCTGTGCAAATGACATTGTTACACTAGTAGGAGTAGGAGGAAAATTCGTCTCACCGTTAAAAGACCCAAAGAATAATCATCTGATAGAGCAATAGTGTCCACAACTTAAAGCAACCCCCCCCCTGAACAATAATTACATTTACCAAGAAAAGAAACAGAAATACAGGATCTTTGGTTCTATAATGAAATGCTGCAGTTAAAAAACTAGCTTAAATACCTAGGGATAATCTTTGAGAACCATTTCATTTAGAAGCCTCACACATCATAACAAAAAGCTTTCCCTATACACGCCAGAATCCCCCAGGGTTCTATCCCCTTCCTAAGTCAAAAATTTGCCAAATTGGGCTTTATGCTGATGTCGTAGTTTTAAATTCGACCTGGTGGCCCGAAACAGCGAGGAGATTAATTAAGTACTAATAGGGTTCCTGTTTCTGTAACTGGTGGAAACTCAAAATAAATGATCGTAAAACTGAGGCTATATTTTTTACTGGGCATTGCCCAAGCTTTAAGGACAAAGTTTTTCTAAAAGGCTTGGGACAAAAAAATGAAATAATTAGGCGTTATCTTGGATAGCAAGCTTAACTTCTCTAGTCGTGTAAATGAAATTATAAAACAACAAAAGGTGGCTAGGAGAATCCTCATCTTTGTCTTGCAACTCTGGGCTGAACTATAGAAATAAACAATAGCTCGAGTGGTTAGAGCAGCGGTGTATTGAGCCAAAGGTCATGGGTTCGAATCCCTCTTGTGACACTAAATTTTTCTTCTCAACCAAGACCTTAGATAAAAAGAATAATTAATTGAAATAATTAATATGGTTTATTATGATTACTAAACATATATGGATTAATATAGAAATAAACTCCTCATCTACAAAGTTATGGTAAAACCTGCCCTCCTGTATGCTTGCCACACCTGGAACTACACGTCCAAGTCAAACGGGAAGAAATTTCAGTGCAAGCAAAATAAATTTTTGTGGCTAGTAATCTCTTCGAACGACCACTCAAAATTTAGCCTCCTCCATGAAAGTATAGAAATAGGATATATATGACGAAGTTAAAAGTCTCACTGCTAACAACTGCTAAATAAGGTGATGGAACACAGAAATCCTACGTGTCAACAAATTGGAAGGACTCTACAAATACTGGAGAAATACAAATAACAAATATTGGAAACACAGGAGAGTATAGAATATATATGACCTTTTTTTTTTATTTATTTAAAAGGCGGCCAACCACTAGGGTCATAAATCCCCTTGATCATCTATTATGTGTTGGGGGGGAGAGCCCAGTTGGCAGTTATGTCCCCGTACAAGAAGGCCGGCGGCCGAGCCATCATCCACATCCCTCACACGTCTGGGTTTTCTTTGTAAACCATTTTCAACCGGTGCCTGCCCCACCCCTACCAGGCCCACCAACCACCCCCATGGGAACTCGCCAGACGCTCGGTTTATAGTACAACTGTAAGATTTGTCGCAATTACGAAGTTTTGAACCCCTTCGATTGGCCCCTCGTCATCTAATACTAATAAAAGTCACTCTCCAGACTGAAAGATTCCCTAAGTGCCTTGTATGAAATATATAATGCAAATATATGTTCGACTGTAACTGGTTCATTGCACCATCTTTAGAGATTGCATTACCCTGGCATCACTGTTTTCAATGTTAAATGCCTATTGTTAAAAAGATATTGCCTTATAAAGATAATCATATCAATTGGAGAATGATTGGAATTAATATACACTTTCCTCGAGGAAATGTTTATAAATGAAGTGAATAATAATAATTGATAATTATTTGCACTTTTGATCCAACTACTGAATCCATATTCTTTTAATAATCATAATTGTTCTATAAAATTGTTTTTTAAATTAATTTAATTAGTAATACTGTTTCTTGTGTTTTAGATTTCAAAGAAAGATGGTTTAGATTAAAATCAAATATGCTTTTTTATTTCAAATTTACCGTGTCAGGCCAAATTGAATGCAAGGTAATATAATAATATTATATATATTCTTTATATATAAATAAATATTATATAAATATATATATATAAAACATTAAAATTCATTATTTGGTATGATTGAATGATATTTTTTGTAGAATTAATACAAGTATTTGTTTTTAAGCACTGAAACATTTTTTTCCCTATTTATTGTATTTGCCCACAGACAGCTTATATCGTTTTGTAAATATTTATTTTTAGGCAGCCGGAGTCATTATTTTAGAAGGTTCGAAATTAGAATACGAAGAACATGGTAGTGCTCCTTTTGCTTTTTCCTTGGTTTTTGCCGGAGATTATGAAAGAAGATACATCTTTTCTGCCAAGTCTGAAGAGGCTGTCGAAAAATGGATACACAATTTACGTTTAGCAACGTAAGTCAATTTTTTCATATTATGTGTTTATTCTTTTGTTATAGTTATATAGATTAGGGTAAATACTAACTGGGATGATATAAATGTATAGTATTGAATGAAACAGCAAAAATTAATAATTATAATTCTTACTTTTCTACTTTTCTCTTTGTTGATTTGTTATAATACAATTTTGTGATAAATGAAGATATTGGATGGTAAAGTAATAAAAGAAATAAAAACAAGATGTTATAAATTGTATAAGATTTATTTAAATTAATTACATTCCTGAAGATGATGGTAAAGAAAACATTATTACTTCAATCATTTTCGAAGCCTTATGGGCTCCTCTTCAGATTATCCTTAGAGTCATTTCTGGGCCCCCAAATATTCTGAAGAGGAAGCTAGTGAAGGACCCATACACGATCCAGCTAATATATCAGCCAGCTCTACTTGAATAGTCCGCTGGGATCCGGCAGTCAGAACTTGTGTTGGGTCCGGTTAGCCTGTGTATTAAGACTGAACAAGCGGCCAGTGATCAAATGACTCAATTGCTCATCCTGCAGTCCTGAGGCGTGAGTAGGCAAGTCAGACTGTGAATGCAGGCAACAGCCACCTTTCAGTACTTTTCTGTTGCCCGTGCTGTAAAGTTAGAGTTATTAACATAAATGAATATTAAGTAATTAAATTAATTAAGTAGATTATTCTGTTAAATACTAACTAATATAAATACAAAAATTAAATATAAATAAATACACTGACAGGCAAAAAATTCCACCCAATTGGTTTTTTTCATATTCTTGATAAAAGAAAATTCTGCCCTTAATTTGGCAAGGGGGTCCAACAAGGTCCTTGTTTTTACCAATAAATATTTTTTTATGCTGTGTTTTAAATTGGGAATATCAATTAGAGGTAAACACACTTAATCTGTAATCCAAAACAAGGATAAAGTATTTTTCAATGTTTACTTTTTACAGAATTTAAAATGTTGATTCAGTCTCATTGGAATTCTGAAGCAATAAACAGATTAGTTTTCATCTTTGTTTTCTTAATTCCAATTTTTAAAGTTAAGAATGCCACTTAGTGTTGAGGATGTTCACATAGTGTGGCACTTATTGATGATGGACGATTCATCAAATGTGCGGCTATTGCCATCGGTGTTTCCTACAAAACTCTGTGAGACACTTTTAGATGTTTTCGAGAAACTGGGTCCTACCGTTGAAGGCCCAGTTCTGGACACCCTAGGGTTACAGAACCACAGGATGATCATTTTTTTACTTTGAGAACTTTGCAAAACCGGCATCTTATGTTGTTCATTCATCCAGGAAGTTCGAGGTGTCAAAATTTCTGAACACACTGCTCGAAGAAGAGTAAATCAGTATGGACTGATGGCCCATAAGAGGACCAGAATTGACCAGAACACAGAATTGCACAGCTTGAATTTGCTCGAGAACACAGTCATTGGTCTTTGGACGATTGGTCTGCTGTACTTTTTACAGATGAGTGTAGATTTTCTCTGTGATCTCCAGATGGGTGTGAAAGAATGTGGAGAAGGCAAAATGAAAGGTACAAAGCCTGCAATTTTCTCCCAGAGCTAACTTTTTCAACTTAGCTCAGTTGATGGTGTGGACGTAAATTTCTATGGAGAGTCGCACAGTGTTGATTGTTGTTCATGGAGGGTCTTAGATGGCCACTCGCTATGTGGATGAAATTTTGGAACATCATACGTTGCCTATCCTCTATTAAACCAGTGACAATCCTATTCTAATCTACCAAAATTCCCGTCCACATGTCACTTGCATAGTACAAACATATCTTCAATAGCATAACATCAGGGACATAGCCTGGCCAGCCCGTTCTCCAGACTTGAACCCCATTTATGATAACCTCAAAAGACGAATAAGAGGACGTCCATCAAGCGGCCTGATACACTCCACGATCTGTGTGAAGAATGTGCTAACCTCCAGCAAAGATACATTTCCAGACTGGTAGAAAGTATGCCGAGGCGTCTTTGAGATGTAATTAAGGCAAGAGACAGAATTACGCAATATTGAATTTAATACAAATTTTATCTGTCACTTTTTTTTTCTTTTTTAATTGCTATTTTCCTTATCAATTTACATTTTGTTTTACTTTTTTAGACAAAGACTCCATTATTAAACGTTAAAAAACATGAAACCTCGATTAATATATAAAAATATATACAAATCAAATTATATTACAAGTGGGGGAATTTTTTGTCTGTCTGGGTATACAAATCCTAAATAAAATATTTTAATAAAATAGGTCATATTGGCAGAGAAGTTCTCACATATCAAGAGTACTGTGTAGCCCTCGGGAGGACCTGCCTTGTTAAAGAAGGGTCGTCCTCACCTGATTGAGAATCGGCCGTACAAGGTTGACACACGGACACTTACTTTTGGGCCAAAGCACACATATGTGACTGGTATGCAGAGAAAAGTTGCTCAATTTGTCCCACCTAATTGAAGGATGCAATTCCTTGGCTCTATATAGAGAGTGTGTAAGCATGCCACCCGATATGAGAATTGTGCTGGAGCACAGCAGAAAGAATCTGGGTCCCCTATTCCGATCCATGGAGGAAATAGGGTTGTTTTATTGCATCTTGTAATGATAGTTTTGCGTCCTTTGCTTGTGTTGAGAGTGAATGTATTTATTGGCATGAATGTGTAGGGTGATAGGGCTGATGGCAGAATATTGAATACCCCATCAACCCTCAAGTAGGTTAATTTAACAATAGATGTAAGGGTTGATGGAAGAGTATCGAGTGCTCCACTACCCCTGACTGAGTGAATGGTATGTAAATGGGTAAAAGTGTACTTAAGGGTGAGTGTGAGTGCTAATGGATTTAGGAATTGCACGCTTGTGTGTTGAATTGACCAAGCTGTTGACAGTACCCAGAGCCCAACCTTGATAAGTTAAATTTGAACTGACAGGCGTACTGTTCAGGAGTAACTGACAGGCTTGCTGGATTGTGCATGGAGCTCTTAAGACTGACTGACTCTATAAAAGTCTGGTTGTTTTCCTTCATCAAGAACCCCAACATTTAGCATAAACTATTTAAATTTCTGTTTAAAGTGTTAGATGAAGGGGCATCGGTGGCTACAATGGTTTAGGCGTTTAACGGTGCTATCACAATAAGGAAAAGGTCCCGGGTTCAGATCCAGCGGCCCTGCATTCGAACCTGACATTCTTACAATGGTCTTTTTTTTTTCTTTTTTTTTTTTCAAAAACACCAGCACCCCGAGGGTTCATATAACCCAACTACATAGCTAGTACTGTTTTTATTTGTAGCTTGATCTACAATTCTTGGTCTCCATATTATTGTTGGTTTTGTCTGTCAGATATACTTTGACATTTTTGTCATATTTTGTCGTTAATCTGGGTATCTTCACACTACTTTACTATTAAAAGGAAAATAACAAACAGACCAACACTGAAAATAGTGAAAATGTTGGAATGCTTTTGACGGGCAAAACCAGCTAGAATATGCAGACCGGAATGACCAAAAATGATCAAGATACAGGATCATTACCCCGGAGACTTCACTTCAATGTTTCACTACGATTTATTTGTTGATCTCTTATACATTTAAATTCAATAATTACGATTGTTAAGTCTTGTTTAATTTTATTGTTTTTTTTTTGTTTTTTCAGATATGAATATAAAAGGAACCACCTGTTGGCTTTAAGGAAGTCCATAGCTCTTAAACGTTGTGGCGTAAGTTATAATAATATAATATTAATCAAATGCATTTGGCACAGAGGTTTTTTTTCTTTTGATCAATTGGAAACATTCCAATTGAGTGGATTTAATTTTTCTCTGATCCAGAGATGCTTTAAAAAATAAATAAATAAACATTACTTTTAATGGAAATATTTCCTTTGAGACAATGGTGACACTGTCTAATTTGTTTATTTGTGTACATTGAGACTGAATGTAGTTATTAGCATGAATGTGTAGTGTGAAAGGGCCAAAGGTGGAATATTATGTAATATGTGTAGAGGGTGATGGAGGAATATCAAGTTCTCCACCACTCTAACTGAGTGAATGGCATGCAAATGGGAAAGACTGCATTTAAGAGTGAGTGAGAGTGGGAATGGGAGGCATTAGGTTGCATTAGGGGCTGAAATGACTTAGCTCTTGATAGCCCCTGGAGCCCTTCGGTGGCTGAACAGATTTATGGTTAACACCATAAAATAAACAATGATTCAAAATGAGGAAAGGGAGAAGTAACAAAAATTAATACACTTGCATTAAACAAACAAATAAACAAGTTTTTTTTTAAATTGTGGATAATGTTTAGTTTTAACCCTGTAAAATTCGTGTTGAATTTATACTGTAATGGCATATTCTTTTATTTATTTTGTTTTAAGCAAAAGAAAACTGTTCTATATAGTTTTAAAATTGGTATTTTGGTATTATAACTGGTTGATAATACATAATTATATTAATACATGTTATTTATTTTTAGGCACCACCCCTACCACCCAGGATTACAGGATCTAACTGCAAATCGACATTTCCTGGAAATTACCCTAAACAAAATAGTTCATTGCATAAAGAAGATTTAATAAGTTTCAATTGACATGATAGATGGTTGATATTTGTTATTTATTTATCAAAACCTTTAATCTCTTGCAGGGCTTTACTGGTAAACTACAAAAACACAATTCAGTGAGCTACTTACAAAAAAAAAAGATAGGAACGTAATGCAAAACAAATTTGATTATGTTTAGGTTTTTTTAAATTTTCTTAATTTTAATGTTTTGTTCTCAATTGTATATTTCTAGCAAGTACAAGTTAATGCAGTAATATTGATTTAGCAATAAGATTAATTCAAATAATCTGCAGTCTGGGTAAAAAGTGCTGTGATTTTAATTAAAATTATGAATTTCTAAATAGCCTTAAGCTAAATTTATTTCTGTCGGCATGATAAATGTGTATTATATTCTCAGGTGTTAAGTACACATTTTTAAAAGCCAACGGATGTAAAAGTACATAGTAGTACATAATGTATACTTGTCTTACATTAACTTGCCAGTCCCATAGATTTTTTCTTAAAAAAAAAGTATAAATTGTAATTTTTTTGTATTTATTATGAAATTCTTTTTGAAATCTGTCGGGTTATGAACCTGTAGCTTGGTCGTTTTTGATTTTTTTGATGATCAGAAACAACCAAGCTACAAATCGTGAAATTTTCTCCATGTTTAACTTAGTTTACATCAATTTGGATTGTCACCAGTTTGATGTATAATTCTGGAGAGCGGAAACATTAAAATATTTTATTTTATTACTATAACGACCTAAATTGGAATAAATATTTCATTTGTTATTTGTTATGTTAAATATTTAAATATGTTTACTTGCAAACATAAAATTATTAAATGTGCAAATTAATTGTTACTAGGGGAATTACTCTCGCCAATTTTCTTGCCTACTTCAATATTGAATTGTATACTTGATTCTCATTTGTTACCCTCTTTAGCCATAAGGTATTACTTAATGTTGTTTTTGTTAATTCCTGTAGACTTATCATATGTCTATTTTTATGTGTATTTGCATATTGCTCATTACTTTGTTAAATCTTTTAGCAAATGTAAATATCTTAAGAAATGTAAAGGTCCACGCTTAAAATATTATTTATGACCTGTTTAATTTTACAACAGTATAATAATATACAGAAGACTGGCATTGTATATTTTTGCTTAGTTATTGAGAATTGATGTGTTGTTAATAGAAAGCACTAGTGACAAAAAATATTTTTATATGAAAACAAATTTAAATAAATAAGTTTAAATTATTATGTTGTTTTTATATTGCACTTATTATACACTATTTTCTATTTTCTCAAAACGTTATCCTTGTGGCTTACACCGATGGACAAATTTAATGCACCACTTAATTTGTTTTAAATTAAGTCCATTATTTTTCTACATTAGTTACAGGTAATTAGGAGTTGTAGTAGTCAAAATAAACAGTAAATAATGCTTCATTTGTTCACTTTTGTACCGCTTAATCCCATTTGCATTAAAAGTACCATTATGCTCTTCCATTGATCAATTTAAAATCCAATTGCATCATTGTTCTCAGTGTAAAAAATAATTTAAAATGATGTGTCAGGATGTAGAGGGGTGTATTTGAAATATTTAAGGAAAAAAATAACTGACCAAAAAATATTAAACACTTCTTTTCGTCTTCTTTTATAGCACCATTGGTTCAAGGAAAATTCAGCCAGGCAATCTAAAAAGGTCACCCTGTCTAGTGAAATCTGAAAAAATAAATTGTGAAATATGAAAAAATATAGTGAAATACAAATAAAAAATTGTCAAATATGGAAAAACTAATAGTGAAAATGAAAAAAAAGTTGAATATGAAAAAATATATAGTGAAATATGAAAAAATATATAGTGAAGTATGAAAAAATATAGTGAAATATGAATAAAAAATTTTCGAATATGGAAAAACTATATAGTGAAACGTGAAAAAAAAGTTAAATATGAAAAAATATATAGTAAAGTATGAAAAATGTGTACTGAAATATAAAAAATGTAGTGAGATATTAAAAAATAAATAATGAAATATGAAAAAAATTGTGAAATATGAAAATGTATAGTTAAATATGAAAAAATCCCATAGTGAAATACGAAAAATATATCTATAATATTAAAATAGTTTTGGCTGGAAACTATGACATATTTATTATACATAGTTGGAAAGATGAACTTTTTTTCTGTAAAATTAGCTTAATTCGAAATTTGTTAACAATTGCTAGCAGCATTTATTTTAATCCAGAAGTTAGGTACTTTATGTATTTTGTTTGGCTAAAAATTGCACGGGCTATATCTTTTTTACATAGTAAAACTGCTATTTAAGGCCAATCAAATTTTCAAAAAAATCACTAAAAATGGATTGCAATTCGTGAAGTTACACAGTTTTTATCATAAGATCTCTTACATCTCTCTCTTTCTCTGTCTTTCAATCCCATTCTCTATCTCCGTTTTTCTCTCGGTCCCTATTTATCTATCCCTCTGTCTTCGGATCTTCTGTCTCCCTCTATGCCAAGCACTACAAAGTTGTGTTTTTAGTTAATTCAGGCTATCTTGTATTATGAAAAGCCCTCCTCTCTCACTCACTCTCACTCTCTCTCTCTCTCTCTCTCTCTCTCTCTCTCTCTCTCTCACTCTCTCTCTATCACATCTCACACCTCATTTGCTCATTCACTCCCAACCTCACTGATTGACTGACTCTCTCTCATTCTCTTTCACTCACTCACTGACTCTCACTCCCTTATTCCTTATCTCATTCGCTCTCTCTCTCTCTCTCACACACTCACTCTCTCTCTTTCTCTCTCACTCACTCACTTAATCAATCACCCTCTCATTCTCTCTCTCTCTCTCTCTCTCTCTCTCTCTCTCTCTCTCTCTCTCTCTCGCACGCACGCACAAACTATTTGAAATACTAGTGTTGTATTTGAATCATTGTATATGAATATTAAGTTATAAGTTGTTGTATCTTTCATTTATGTTTTTTATAGCATGATAATGAATTATGGACAATGCTTCTAATAAAATTATCTTTACAAAAAATTTGTTTTAATGGATTTGGATTTTTCCGTTTCCTTTTCAGTTTTGTGAAACGAAAAAATCGAAAGATGCAAACAATTTTTAATGAAAGAGAATAAACCTAGAAACTGTACAAAAAAAGTAAGCAATGGACATTAAAAAAATCCATTTTAGATGTAAACATATACATACTTTCTAGAATAATTGATTTTTTTAAAAATAATATAGTTGATTCAATTCAATCAATGGAAGAGTGACTGTTTTTGTAAAAAGTAATTTAAAAAATGGCATTTCATTTTTGTTAAATGCTTAATTAAATGGAAAATTATATAAAGTTTTGTATGTTTCTCGAAAAACGTCCTTTTTTTCGAAGACACGAAATTCTTTTGGTGTAACACAAAAACCACCGGTAATTTCAGTATTTTTTCAACTAAAACAAAAATTTTGTTGATATATTTTGTAGGCGGGCGATAACGCAATTCTCGTGCCCTCGAGGTGTGCACCCTTGCTTCAGGCTCTGCCCAGTGTCGGTCAGAAGTCAGAAGTGCTATTATAACTTAAAAACGGTCAAACATGTCGCAAGGCTATTGCTGCAAGTAGGCTGGGGGGAGAAGGCCCAAGGATTCCTTTCCGAGCCCGCCTTCGTTTCATTCCGCTCCTGCTCACAAACCTGAGTAAGTCTTTTATTTCATCTTTCATTCACTTTAGATATATAAGCTATCGTTAATTATACACTTTATTTTATTGGAAAACGAAATTTTTATATCACCCCTGCTAGTTTCTGCTTACTATTAAAAAAAATCACATTATTGATATGCTGAGATAAATTGATGAAAATAGCAAACTAAGGCGTATACTAAACATTTTTCATTTTGTTATAAATATCATAAACAGCGCATCAATTTTAACTCAACTCGCCATTTTTAAAGCAATCAGATAGATATTTGTATAAAATAAATTTTTGAAAAAGGCTAAATCCTCTACTTTTTTGGCTAAATAAAGTGGTAAATGATAATAAGTCATAAAGTGGCATTATACTGTAGAAGAAAACAATAAAAACATAGTCACACTACATGTCAATTTGAATCGCCCGTAATAGTTCATAAATGTTTTTTTGCTTTGTCTCGGTTTTTCACTAAGTTGCTCGTTTATGGCGTACGAAAATAAATTTTCCTATGTATTTCTACGTTTCTAATCCTTACTTTTTTGCTAAATAAAGTGGTAAATGATAATAAGACAATAAGATCATTGTTGTCATAAACTTGGATTACATTGTCATAAAGTGGCATAAAACTGTAGAAGAAAGCAATAAAAAACATAGTCACACTATATGTCAGTTTGAATCGTCTGTACATAGTTCACAAATATGCTACAATTTTAAATTATTGTAAGATGAATTTGTCGAGATTTTGTTGAAATTTTTTTGTTTTGTCTCGGTTTTTCACTAAGTTGCTCGTTTATGGCGTACGAAAATAAATTTTCTCCTGTGTTCTCAAAATAACAATGCCGTAGGGTCTGGAGTCTATTTCTATTTGCAAAATTAAACACAACATAGTTTAAAACGTTATAATTTTAAGTAACAATTAAACGAAAGCTAGAAACAAAATTGTAAAAAAATAAATTTTCCTTTTAATAATTCAAAAAGAATTATCGGTTTTGAGTATATATCGACCACTTTTCTACTCACGAATAATCTAAGATCATCGTATCGTCTTGATGAAAAAAAAATTCGACTGTTACCGCCAAACTTTCGATCTATTTTTAAAGTCATCATCAGGACAAGTCAATCTTAAAGGTGTCTACAAATTGACATAATTCAGTTTTTCACAGATGATTTCAAATTTCTTTGAAGACCAACTCAGCCCCAACATTGCCAAGAATGACGCAGTGGCCAAGGCTTGACAATGTTGGGACTGGGTTGGTCTTAAAAGAAATTTGAAATCGTCCGTGAAAAACTTAATTATGTCAATTTGTAGACACCTTTAAAATTACTTCTTAAAATAGGTCGAAAGTTGGGCAGTAACGATTGAATTTGCTTTTTATCTAGATCATACCGTGATCTAGAGTTTTTCGTCAAAAACCAATTAGTTTGAATTGAAATAACACTAAGTCCTGCACGATTACCATGTATCTTGTCAAATCCCTGGTTCTTCATAGAACTCTCCAGAGGAGAGGGTGAATTAAACTTTTATCTAAACTTTAAATGTATGCGATAGCGTGCGCGCAAGAGAGTGTTATGTATGGATGAGTGAGCGAGTGATTGTGACTCTTTTTATCTTTGCGCATAAATTCATAGTGAATTGGATTAGAGCACTTGCAGAAAATATCTCACGTCGCCGTGCACAACTTAACAGTTTACTTTAAAATAAATTTATAACATAATCAACGGATATGTCTGTATTTACTCTGAGTTTTCTTTATAATCTCGATTGTTTTTCTTTCAGGCGAGCGTTATTTTAAAACCTTGTTTAAAAAGAATAATGATTTTTCTTTCATGTTTTTAGGTTTTTCAAAAGAGGTGGTGAGAAAGAAGCTTAAATGAGGTATGTATTTGCAATAAGAACAAGTTCGGCACTTATTTACTACTTTCACTTGCTCCCTTATAATTTCAACAATCAGGTTAAAAGGATACTTGTCCCTAATAAATAAATACGATACAAATATTGATTGAAAACGTTTAAAATGTCAATTTTAAATTAATTAATCTTTTTATGTAAGGTTTTGGTCGAAATGAAAAAGCTAGTGCCACGAGCGGGATTCGAACCCACGACCTTCGGCTAAATACGCCGCTGCTCCACAACTTGAGATTTCTTGACTTGGATCCACTCGGACACCAACTCCCCATTTAACCTACAACCTTTCGAATTTTCCCTCCTTTTTGCCGTTGTTCAAAATTCGATTCAAATTCGAAAGGTTGTAGGTTGAGATAATCAACCTAGATCGCTAGCTTTTTCATTTCGACCAAAACTTTACATAAAAAGATTAATTAATTGAATGAAGTAATTTGATCAATAGACCACTAAATATAATGGAATTAATTTTAAAGTGATACCGTAAAAATGAATGAGGCACATTTTTCAAACTGAGTAAACATTAAGGATGATTTTTTTTTTTTTTGCCATCTGGTACACCAAACAATATATTGTATTTAGAGACTAACTTGGATTTTGGTGTATACAATCAACCTTCACTACTCCTATATTGTGAAAGTTACAAATTTGGAGTTAATGAAGTCTAATATTTCATGGTTTGCACACTGGAAATATTTGTTTGAAAAGTCCAGCTTGCCTTTCCTCCTATCCTTAGACAACCTCTGTGGCTGGGACAGTTATTTTTCAGTTGTTATTAGTCAAATTAAAAATCCAACATCGCGAAGAATGCCGGTCACTTGTCCAATCATCTATCCATCTCTCCCTTTACAAAGAAGTGCAAATTTCTCCTGCATTGTTCGACCTGCACAAAGCCAATTTTGATGGTCTTTGTCCCAATGAAGTTGCGATGACTATTTAAGCTCAGAAGTGTGGTTTTGCACTTAAACTCGGCTGTTTGGATTAGAGGATAATTGGGAATCTGTTCTTTGTACAATTCGCGTTCCGTTGAAACTGTATTTCACTTCTTCGGTGAGGTTCGGTTATTGCATCTCGGATGTTTCACTCCCCAGAGTTGACCTGTTACGGTTTTTAAGTGGTTCAAATTCGCGACCCTTAATTCGTTACTCTAGGCATGCATGAAATTACAAATTCGAGTTAAATAAGGAGTTTAACTTTTGATGTATATTGTATAATCTGTTTTTCTTTTTCTTTCTTTTTAATTTTACCAGTTGTTATTTCTCTTTTCTTTACATTTATTTCCTAGCCTATTATTACTATCTTACTTTATTCTGTTTTTTCCCTTTCTGATTGTTTAACCAACGACCTCTGTCTGTCAGAAGGATCCAAGATCCATGTTCATAAATGCTTTGTAAGCACAATTGTCTTTTTTCTTAAGTTCAATAAAGCATTATTATTATTATGTTTATAACTGGGATAATACCTATGACCAAAAACTGAATTTACGATTTTACATATGTGGGAAGCTTTCAAAATAGTCCACATCGAAACAGATATCCTTTCTTCTTTTTTAATTGTATTTTTTTAATGTGTGTTCAAATTTTTGTTTTAATTGAACAAATAATAAAATTTTTCGTATTTGACTTTGTGACTTTTCTATTTTGTATTATAGAGCATTATTAATATGTCATGCTGATGATGCTCTATAATACATCGCCTAATGGATGGATAAAAACCGCTGGTCTTAAGGCTGAGAATTCTAAGCTGGCCTGTTGAAAGAAAATGCCATGAAATACCGGTTAGACTGGCTAAATTTTGTAATAATGCCATCTTTGCATCATTAGTCTTATTTGGCTAGAATATTTCCTGAAAAAAATTAACAGTTCAACAGATAAAAATGTATTCTGGCTGGAAGGAACGTTAATTGTATAAAAAGTGCTTCGCATCGATGTAAATCGACTAGAATTATAATAACGTTTTAAGCCAAAAGAGTTCCAACTACCGAATTGGCTTTTCTTTTCCATTTTTAGTTTTTGGTTGGTCATCGTTCAAAAATCGCCGTCACAGTGACAACACCTTCGTCATAAATTGGCCAAATCCACTTCAATAAAAGGCTGTTTTGCTTTGTTCGAACAAAAATTTTTCGTCACAATAATACAAAATTTTGTAAAAAGTTTCCTTTCAGTTGATTTAAAATTACTGCGGTGATTTCTTTGAAAACTGGTAGCATACTGTTAGGCATTCTTCTTCTATTGTCCGCCGTTGAGTTCTGTCATCCTGCCACCAATAAACTGCGGATTATTATTTTAACTCTATGAAGAAATATTGTTATGTTGTCGGTGATTCCGACTGTCCATTTCATAAAAGAATACGAAATTTTTATAGTGTTTTGTGATTGTGCAAAAGGTTTTGAATTTGGATTTATATAAGTTCGAATCCGCACATGTATGTATATATACATACAAAATTGAGCCTTTCGCTTCTCACAGACTACCGGAAATTCCAGCTTTTGTAATTTACAATAAATTACCTGCAGGCCTCGAGAATCACCAACCGAGGTCAGACCTCGGTCCTAATCCGTCCATCCACCGACCGAGGTTAGCCTCCGGGTGCTGCTTATTAAAGTTAAGCTTATTTTTTGGTTTAATGCAAGTCAAATATTTTGTATTACTTCTACAATTCCTCATTTCCAACCATTGTTTACTTTATGGTGTTAACCATCTAGGTTGGGCTCCAGGAGCTTCAACAGCTAGGTTATTTTAGCACCTAACGCATTCAGTTCTTAGATCCAAACCAATTCACACTCTCACTTAAATACATTCTTTCCTATTTACATATTAATCACTTAATTAGAGTGGAGGAGTACTCGATATACCTCCATCGCCCTATACACGTATTATATAACTAACTTAATTGAGGGTCGATGAAGAAGTATCGATATTCCACCAACGGCTGCTCACACTTCACATTCAAGCCAATAAATACATTCACTTTCAACACACGCTAGGTACACAAAACTATCAGCACTGTATACAATAAAACAACCCTGTTTCCTCCAAAAATCGAATGAAGCGACCCAGATACTCGGTACCTCTCAATTATGTGGAATACATCTCTACATGACGGGCACACACGTGGGCATTGGCCGAAAAGTATGTGTCTGTGTGAAAACCTCGCATAGCCTATCCTTAATCGGATCCTTAAGCCATTCTTCAGAGAGTCAGATGGTCCGAAAGGCCTCCTAGAATGCTCTTGATACGTGAGAGCTTTCTGCCCACCCCACTCAGATTTTGCAAAAAAGTTTGTCCTTTTGCGACAAAAAGTCAATCTGGAGTTCTATATGTTTATAAATACATAATCTATATATGCGATGGAATTGTTGGAACTAGCAAGTATGTATTACAAAATTTTCCAACATTTTGAAGTAACTGTATGCTTTGTAATATTACCTATTGGATAAAGTTTAAATACTATGTATGACCGTTTAACTATTTTAAAGCCTCTTTGAACTATTACGTGTCCATGATTTATTCTTTAAAAGAAACATAATTGGGGATAGGTATAGGGATAAAAGAGGCGGCCACAATGCCTTCTGCACCTCGGCTGAGTAGATCTATGGTGCCACCTTGTTTTTTATAGTCATAGGCCAGTTTTAGGTTGTTAATCAATCTCCATAGCCATACCAGCGGCTTCTTAGTGTAGAATTTTGCTTGTGGTTTTTCCTGTCCTAGTTGCAAGAACCTGCACCTACATAGACCTTCACAGAACATAAAATGTGTTCTGCGGGCTCCTCCTCTTCCTGGCAGTATCTGCACAGTGTTTCTTCTGTCTGTACTCCTATGCAGTGCATGTGCTTTCTTACATGCCAGTGCAAGAAACGTAATACATTCTGTTAAAATTAAAAGACGATGATTTAGAATGAAAATTTACATTGCAAACGGCAGTGCAATATTGCAACAAAATGTAACGTTCTGACGAAAGGACGAAATCGAAGTGGCTACTTAGTTTGGAAATCTTGCGTAACTTTTTCTTCTACAATTGCATGCAATTCTTCCGAGATTCGGTACCATTTATTTGTACCCCGGATTCAAATACTTGAACAGTCAATTTTATTCAGGCGGAACGGAAATAGGAAGTGATTTTATCCTGGGGCTCTTTACTTTCAAGGTTGTCGCTTTTATTAGCAGGAAGAGTTCCAGTCCTTGGAGTGGCACAAGTGGATTTCATTGACCGGTTCACCTCCTGTTGAATATAGAGTTTTGTAGAAATTACATCCACCTTGGATTTTTAAAAAGGAAAACCTTTTAAAGTCCTGTCTCTGAGACATAAGTGAAACGCTTGGTTCTTTGTGTTATTTCCTTAGATGTTTTGGTTTTTCCTGTACTTGAGTTTAAAAAAAAAAATCACAATCAATAAACATGAGGAACTTTATATGCTGAAGTGTACTTGTCACGAATAATAATGATCTTGGTACGGCCTGGATGAAGGACAAAATTAAATTGTTACTGCCAAGCTTTCGACCCATTTTGAGGTCATCTAGGCAAAATAATGTTATACATGTCTACACATTGACATAACTAAGTTTTTAATACATGATTTCAAATTTTTTTGAAGATCGACTCAGTCCAACAAAGCCAAGGAATGTGTCACAACGTAAATAAAAATAATAAAAGAAATACAAGAAAATAGTGAAATATGTGAACCACGGTTTGTAAATCTTCGTAAATGCTCAGGGAAAGTGGAATATTTTCTTTTAACATTTATAAATAATTTTCCTCAAATTGAAACACTAATCCTGACCTAGATGGTTAATCATATCTTTTTACTGGGTCAGTCCAGCCTCCGTTGCATCATTCACCGGTTCCTTTCAACATACAGTGTACGATTAACATTGGTTTCTCTCCTGATCCCCTTCTACAAGCCTCCGCTAACTACTAGTTTTGTATTTGTGTTAGGTATGCAGTTTTGCAAAATAAATTTGAATATTGAATAAG